TGTCGGGAATGTTATATTCCATTCTGGGAAAACTGGCACGTTTGTGTCTGTGTGTGCCCAGTGATGGACTGGCGTCCTGTACCGGGTGCATCCTGCCTGAAGTCTGTTGCTTGTCGAGGTACGGTCCAGTCTCCCCATGAGGATGTATCGGACAGAGAGTTTACCAAATGGTTGGGTGAATATGTTAGAACAACCTCGTTACTGTGAGATTTTCTTACTCCTGTTACGGTTTTACATAGTTACTCTTGAATATTTACAGTTTGTATTAGAAAGAAGAGAACCCCTCGCCACTACAAGTGGTGGCTAAAGCCAACCTCGGATTTGATATTCCTTCTGTGTCTGTGCCAGAATCTAACGCGGCAGCTTCACTGAATTCCACTTTCTTCCCTCAAACTCCAGATTTCTGTAACCCAGAAAGTTTGCGCTTATCCGAACCTCCACCATAAACCGTCACTGAATGAATTCTGCTTTACTGTTAAGATTCCTTTGTTACCGTTAGTTTTAATTTCTTTTAATCGTGCAGAACAAATAGAGGAGTAACACCGTTAGATCCATCTCCAATGAGAGCACACCCCAAATAACACAAACAAAACGCTGTTTTTTTCTTTAGTTTCCTCTTTGTAAGCAGGATGTGTAAAATTGGATCCACTGAAAGCTGCAATACTTGGTTTTTCTACCTCTGCCTAGAGCAAACTCCGGAGGCGAAGACTAAACAAGTACAAGTAAACAAGAAGCGTGAGATTTATAGGTAAGGACAGGTGGGTGAAATAAGGTTTGACATCCTCCCCATCGTCTATATAAAACTGTATTATGTAAGCCTAAGTATGTTATAGCTTCAGACTAGTAAGAAATAAGAGCATGAATACATGAAGATATGGTGGTAGAGAGACACTTATGAAAATCACACATGAGATATGTAATTTTATGTATAATAGATAAGCCACTTGTAGTTATACATTGTGTATATACATCGCCTTTATATACAAAAATATTATATACATTATTTTTTTAACAATGTATAATATTATTTTGCCGTTAGTGTGCTTAACCAGCAGAGGGCAAACTAGACAATTTCACATAAACCCAGTTAAGTAAAATACAGTTCGAGAGTTTAAACAGTACATTTAGAACAGCAGTGATACTACAAGAATAGCAGTTGTTAATGAATGACGTCTCATTTTCTATTATTTCCTTAAAAGTTTCCTTAGAGTGCCTTAGCCCTTAGCCCATTCAAAACTGAGCTAAGCCAAATGACGTTAAAGGTTAAATATTGCTCTTCAGTATGCACAGTCCTGTTTTATAGCATCTGAGATAGAACAATTTGTGTACTTTAAGTAAAAAATGGAGCAAGAGAGAATTGATACTAGGGAACAACACACCTTATTTTATGGTTGATACATGCATTTTATTTTCTAAATTTAAATATGGCTGTATGATTCTGAGCTGTACATTTTTTTGTGATTAGTAAGAAGCTATCGAGTGCTCAGAAACAAGCAGTGGTTTTACAATTGTTAGGTCAGAACATTAAACTTCATTTTTGGTCTAAATGGAGAACGTATAGCCTATATCTAGACAGAGAACCAGGAATTCAGCATCTGATACAGTGTTTTCTGTTTTACATATGACTCTTGATTTTCACTCTACCCTTCACTGTGGCAGAGGTGCTAAATCACACACAGCCTTCTGTTTCAGTGCAGGTGTGCTCCAGACACAAGCTACCTTTTAGTACTTTCGCGTTCCTTATCGGGGTCTTTTCATCTTCCCTAGCAGCCCCCTACCCCAGTGCTCATTACTGCAGTTAGAGGGGACTCGCCATTCCTTTTTTCTCACTTTGAAAATGTACAGTAAGTACCAGGGGAGGGGGGTAGTGTGTTAGTGTGGGGGTCCCACAACAGACAGGTGCAGCACTTTCCCAGACTGGTGTGCTTTTCTGCAGGGTGTGGGAACAGTAGGTGTCTGTGGGGAACAGCCAGCTAAAGCATGTGATTTTACAAATCATGCTTTCTTAATAGTTTTCCTGATCTGTCTCCCTTCTTTGGGGGGGTTGCATTCCTTTTGAAGTGTCTGTCCATTGCAGGTGATGCTCTAGCCTCATAATTATTCCTGAAAGATCTTTCCAGCTATTTCACATTCACTGGGATAACAGACGAATTGCAATTTATATGTGTACATAGACATTTGCTGAAATTAAAAACAAACACTTCTTGAAAAATGATAACCTTCACCTGTGATAATTACTAACATAAACTTGACAAACACAGCTGTAATCAAAATGATTCAGATCACCACAGCAACAGTTATCAGCAGCTTTTTATTTTTTAATTTCCAAAATGAAAAGGAAACAAGGTTTAATCAATTGAGCCTAATAAAACACCCAGAATGAAACATTTCATTTAGCAAAATGTGGTTTGATACATTCCCACCTTTTCATTGTTCTGATTATAAGAACAGCGTCAAAACACAAACATCTGTCATGAGCAAGCTAGTCTGGCTTCATAAATGTAAATGTAATATGATTGTTGTCCCTTTTTAGATGTACTGTATTTTGTTACAAATTCTACAAAAAAGTAACACTGGCAGATGAACAATGTAGAAAAACTAGATTTTCATTTTAGATTGTCCAGCAGAAAATTCACCATTGATTGTCAGTAAATAGCTTCAAGTCTTTCATAAGAAAAACAAATGCAGGTTCATTTTTCGAACTCTTTGTTCCACTGCAAATTTGGCTCCCAGGTGTCTGAAGGGTAGTGAAAGAGGTTCAAACCACTCAAGAGATGACTGCGACTGAAAGGGGTAAACATGAACATTTCTTACACTTCACCAAGTTAGGAGAATTTTTTGTTGGATTTTATCAGGTGAGCAAAAACTTGGGAGTAAATACAAAAAACCTTTAAAAGATACATAATAAGTTTTAAATAAGGTTAATTGTAATTAGTAAGTGGTGCACAAGATTAATAATCATAAAAAAACAGTATTAAGGCATTCATTAGACATTTGTACCTGTATAGAGCTGAGCAAAGCAAACATAAATAAGCACCACTTACTCTTCTAAGGCTGTTTCTGCTGTATTAGTTCTTTTATCAACATAACTTTACCAAAGCTTATTTTCTTCTACATAAAAGTCCATTTTTCAGTACACCTATTTTCAGCAGCTTGCACTACTTAGTCTCAGCCTTGTCAGAAAGAAACAAGACCAACCTCAGAATATGTATTTATCACTGAATTTAAAATTCTCTTGATAAGATTGTATATGGTTTTAGCTTTGATGGAAAGCAAACACTTACTGATTTGCCTTTCAGACTCCTCAGTATTCACATTGTTTGGCAATAAGCTGTAAACGTTCATATGTTTAATCAAATGTTATTCTTCAATGATAAAAACAGAAATGCAATATAAAATGCTTTTCAAAAACTACCGCTTTGCAAACACCACTTTCCATTAATATCTTCTATATATATTCATAAGATATATTAACACATTTGTAGACTTAACTTATTTTGTGTGTATAGAGACATAGAATTAGAGGTGGTGAACTTTTTTTATCACACAATATACCTCTTTCTTTCTAAAATAACAACCATATGTTTTTTTTTATACCTAAATGATAATCAAGCATTTTGGCTAAAAGTTACACTGTTTTTAACAGCGTTAAAGACATTTTTATTTTTCACAGTAAAGAAAATCAATATTCTTTTACACTATAAGTATATACAGTATAAGCAGAAGCTTAATGCAAGACATGTTTTTATCCATCATTAAGCCTAGCTTTTTAGGTTAGAATATTTTTATTTTAATTTTAGAGACTGCTTGTCTAATTATTTAACACTAAGCATACACTAGTACTTGCTACTGATTGCTTTTGTTGTAAGTGCTCTATTGTGGTTGTAAGTTGTATCCCTCCCTACATATAAAGAACATAAACAAACAATATTTATAAGGTTAGATGCCCTATTCAAACAACTTGTAAGAGGACCTGGGGAAGGGTCATTCATAACCAGTATTTTCGGAACGGAATATACTTGATATAGACCTGAGCAAAATGGCCGCCAAGGAGAACCAGGTAACCCACTTTTGGAAAAGGCCTATTCAGGTGATTTACGGACTTTGGAACTTGGATAGTTTAAGGATAGGGAAAACGGATTACGGACTGGGATCGGAAAATCAACAGACAAGAGTAACGGAGAAGAACAGAGTGGTGTGAGTAACATCTCTTTTACATCAATTTTTCCCCCAGTGACACCACAAACTGTACTGTAAAAATTATGCAATCAGAATCTGACAGAATATATTCTTCCAGAAAGAGAGCAGATTCCCATATATTTATATGCACAAGTACTCAGATTTAATTCTGATTTTTCCAAAGAAGAGCCATGTCCTTAACTGACAGGTTAAACAAAAATGAACATTTTAGTCTTTGACTAAAGGGAATTAAATTCAAGTATTCAAACTCCTTGAAGGTATAAAACAAAAATAAAGTCAACCGATGTCTTTAGGGTCAACTAAATGGAGACCTTGAATAAGACGTTAAGTGCATTTTCCTAGGTTCTTACCTAGGCTCTTTTACTGTTTACTTATGATGTCCATGGCAGTGCCTGTGGGTCCCTTCTATACATATCAAATTTCATTGATCCATTGGACAGTGTTTGAATAAGCTAACATCACACGCTACCTATATTTGTATTTTATCTCTGGGAGTTTTTCAGATCGATAACCTTAACCTCATTGACCTTTATAGTAACTGGAAGTAAAAAAAGGTCAGCTCACACTGTCTGTTAAAAGCTACAGTATAACCCTTGATAACAAAACAATCCAGTGAACTCAATCTAATAGACAAAGCAACTGAATCACACTAGCAGAGTAAACCACAAACACTTCTGGGATCCACTCCCAGTATTTATATTTTAATTTTCTTTTTCTCCCAGATTCATAATTTTTCAGTAGTGTAAGCCAGACTTGAGATGAAGGTTTGCTAAAGACTCACACATTCCTCCATTTATTCTCAGCTTTCTTTTGACTATGACAGTAGTGCTTAGTGTGCTGAAAAAAGAAATTCACCTTCGGTGATCTGATTTACTTCATTAGTAAGAAGTAGTAAATGAGTCCACTTAGTGGAGATCCCTGTGTAAAAGTGATAGGAATCACTGATGCTTACTGTTCTGTGTACCCAGACATAATGTACAGCAAGCATTTTTCAGTATGAACACTCTCTTCAGCCATGCATTACTCCAATTTACAGAGGCAGCCTTCTACAAACTGAACTAGTTTTTAAAATGGTACTAATAGAAACTCTTTAGTTAGTGCTACTTACAAAAAACACTTTTTTGTATTAGAATAGTAAGATAACATATTGTACTTTTGAAGTGTTGTTTATAGTAGCACTCTGTTAAAGCTTTGTGTAAAGCAATTACACATATATTTTACATACAGGATTTGAAATGTTCATCCATAATTCTATGACCAATAACTAATGAGAGAGAGGAGATATATTTTTATATTTTGTGAACAGCCCCCTCATTACATTACTTTGTAATGCTTTACGAAACATTTTACCTATACATCTGTGCTCTATACTTAATGTACCTGGCATACGATTTGTATGTATAACCTCATATTAATACCTTCTTCAAAGGGAGGACATTACACTTCACCTGGCCTTAAAAATCATTGAACGGTAGACTGTATGGTATGTAGTCATATTAAAATATTTTGTTCCCTCTGAATACGTTTGAGGATAACTCTACAAGAAAACTGCACTGGAGCTTTCAATGTTAAGTATTATCCAGAGGTAATTTAGCTTGGTAGGTCTGTGTTTCTTTGGTTCTTCAGATTCTCTCTGAAGTATGAGGCAGCCCTCACTTCCCGTTTCAGTAATCAACTTCCTCCATGACTTCCATAACAACGGTTCGTGGGCCAGTCAGAATGAGGTTGCTGACTGTCCTGTAATCCAAGGAAAGAACGTTTAGTCCGTTGACAGAGACCACAAATTGGCAAACCTAGAAAAGGAGAACAAAGAAAGACTTTAGAAAACAGAAGAAATAAGGGTGCTGTGTCTACTGTCACTGCTTTAACTGATCTGATAAAATACTTGTGTAACAATTCCTCTTAAAGGAAAGGATTACATCATAAAGAAAAAATCTTAAAATGATGTTTAGTTTATACAATCCCAATGACCTTCACATCTAATACACAATTTAGAGTGCATCCTTAATGCACAATAAAAACTACTATTTAAAATAAAACAACATCATATGAAGTACAGTATATAACTAAACCCTAATTAAAAAAGAGAATAAGTGTCGAGTGATACTGTAGCATACAAACATGTTAACTTCAGAGAATGCTGTGGGGCACAATCGGAACTTTACATTCACTTTCATATAGAAACACTAATTTCACACTGGAATATTCAATGTTTTGTGGTATTTCCAGTACATTATAACAGTAATGTTTTTATACACTACATTACTTACAATGTTGTATTGAGTTCCAAAACTGACACTTGACTAGACACTGGAATCAAATTTCACATAGTAGTCATATATTTACATTACACATCACCTTTACATACAATCATTTCAAAGAGATAGCACATAAGAGACAGTTACAGGTTCACCATTTCAGGGCAAAGAGCTATTGTTCCTAGTCCATAAAGGTTTGGGAGATTACATGAAAATCATGACAGAGAACACATACTCTAAAAAACAAATATATTGTCCTTCTGCATTGTTTTCCCTGGTCTGTTCTGGCCTTCTTATGCTGAACGATTTATTTAAAACATCACTTTATTTGCTAGAAAGCAATAAACCAAATGTGCAATGAATCATGTAAGAAAAAAATAAGAAGAAAGAATGTACTTTATAAAAATGATTTTACAAAATTTACAAAATCTATTATAATAACTGGATTAACTAATAACAAACATTATATAAATGGATATCAAAATGGCTAAGAGAAAGAAAGGAATGTTTCAATAGAGGCAAAAATACATACTAAAATGTTTCTTTAGTACTGTGCCAGGAAAAGAATAGTAAAAGATGAAACAAAGTGTCTCAGGAAAAAACTAAGGAAATTTTTCAAGTGTTACAGGTATTACAAGCACTTAAAATAAACAAATATCTGGGTCCTAATGGTATTGTAATGGTTGGACTTCATGAAACAAGATATTTTCAACAGAATAATACTGATTCCCCTCAAAACTGGAAACATACAGTAGCATCTATTCGAAACATGCATAAAAACCAAACCAATTATATATCAGTCTTATTTCCTTAACTTTACTTTAAGTATTGAAGTAATAACTGGAATTAAAAAAGAGGATGAATTGTATAGCCATAAGATTCTAGGAGATTGTCAACATGGATTCAGAAAAGATGGGACTTGGTTACCTAATTTGTTCAAGGGGAACTGCAATGCTATGTTTATATTTTGGGGTTAGAAAGAATCTGCATTAATCAGTGTATTTCAAACCACAATGAAAGCATAATATACACAGTAACATGTAACACCTCCAATTTACATTACAAAATAGATTACATTTCCAGGTACAGTATGTGCAGCACCATGTTCTGTGATAGAGAACAAGGCAACCAAATGTCTGGTGAGGTGAAGCAGTCCTATTACATTTTAAACAGGCTTGTGAATACATCTCTTTTTATCCAATATAAATATTGCTCTCGACCTCAAGACGGTTTTGGCAACAAATACGACCTGCTTGTTAACTCTGCATGCAGATCACGTTGGAACATTTCTGCAGGGAAATGTCTGATACAAAACCTGTACTTATTCGCTTGTACATCACATTACATTAGTCATTACAGTGACTAGTGAGCAGGAAGGGCTGCTTCAAGTCGCATGTCGTGCAAACTCCAGGGGTTTGCGACAGCATGGCAACCATACAGTACTTTCACAAAGTACACGATTTTTTGCTTATTTTGGAATTTAAGTTTTTTTGCGATATTGTCAATTAATTTATTTTGTTACCAAGATTTAATAACTGGTCCAAAATATTGGGACTGCAGTTCCCCTTCGAGAGTTCCCTTATTAAGAATTGGCAGTGGTGAATACAGTGTATATAATTCATTAGGTCTGAGCTTTTTCTCCTGAAGAAGGCAAAAATGTTGTGTATTTTCTTTCCACTTTTTTTTTGGCATGTGCTATCAGTTCCTGGTACAAATCAGAGCTGCTAGAACTTGACTACATGTACTCATTGTGATCACTGGTTAACCGATTAACTGCCCCAAATTCACTGATTAAATTTAGTGTAAAAATTATTTTACTCACTTATAAAGGGTGGGGTGGGACAGTGCGGTGGCTCTGTGGCTAAGGTTCTGCGCCCTTGACTGGAAGGCTGCTGGTTCGTATCCCGCAGCCAGAAGAGAAATCCTGCTTTTCTTAAATTCTTAACCCCTGGGTTAAGAATTAATCCAGGGGTGCCGTATTAATGGAAGACCCTGCAGTCTGACAAACTCTGTGTGTCTGTGTTTCTCACAGCAAGTTCCTAATACAAGAAATCATATATGGCCAATAAAGTGATCTTATCTTACTTTAAATCCCTTTTGAACTTTGACCTTGAATGCCTGTTTGTTATGATATTGCATTCTGTTCCGACATGCAATGTGAGATCCTCTGATTCTGGTCTTTTCAGGATTTCAATGTCACTGCTGTCCTTTAGTTCTGTTTCTCCTACTCTCTGAAATTCTCTTCCCACTTCTTTTCATAACGCTCTTGCTCTTTCTTTGTTCAAGCTCAGATACATAACTCTTCTTTTTTTCATTCGCCTTCTCCAAAAATCTGAGTTAGCAATATGCTGATAGCCTAGTGTGAGTTCTGGCCTGTACTGTTGTTATTATGCTTTCTTTAACTTTGCGAATGTTGTTTTCCATTACAGATACTATATAAGATAAAGTTTGATTAAAAACTGGCCTCCCTAATAAATAAAAGTCAGTCTTCTAAAATATACAGGGCACTAGGATTAATCTTCATTCTCATTCCCTTATATTTTCCTCAGTTCACTTACACTGTTAACATAAGTAGGCAGACACCTTATAAATTGTCTGCAGTTTTCTAGTTTTAATTTTCTAATGTAGAAAAAAACTCCCTTTTAGGAGGTTCAAAGTGTTTTTCCCCAGTTTCAAAATGTAGAAATAACCCACACTCACTCAAATCAAGCAGCCAAGTTTATCTGATGTGTAATGCCAAATTCTCTGCCAAATCTGACAGCTTATTACTTTGTATACAATGTTAAAATCATTTTAGTTTTGTTACGGCTTCTCTGTATAAAACAATTTGACCTTCACTTACTGTATATACCAGCAACATCTTATTTTTCTGGGCTGACCCTGAATGTTGGTTAAGACTGCAAACCAAACCTGATTTGCAGTATTTACACTCTTAATAACTGTAGTTGTATTAAAACAGGTTTTAATAACAAGAACAAACAACAAAAACAACTAAGGACAAAACTGTAGTGGGTGTGAATATTAACAGCAAAAGGGTACCATAGAAAGTCACACACCGCATACTGTACGTGTTTTATTTTGGATGGTCAGCTGTTTTTAACTCTGCACAATAATTTAGAGGATTGTTTGACGGGTGAAAAAAAATGTTTAATAAAACTACAGCAAATGTTTCCACCTCTCAAGATCCCTCCTGTAAACAAGTTCAAATATATCTTCTTGTAAAGTTCAAAGCTCACAAGATCCACCTCACTGAGACTGAACAGATTGTTCGGTGGCATTACAATCATCATGCATTTTATCCCAGGTTATTCACTCACAGTCCATTAGTCAAATGCTGTACTTCAGCAAAAATGAAGATACTCATATTACTCCATTAGGATAATGCTGGCAAAAGCAACAAATTAAGACATTACAAAGTGAGCTGCTGTTCAGCAATGTCAAATGGGCTTTGTAGCTTGGAACTACCGAAGAATGTTTTGCAAAAAATAAGTACTCACAAATCCTCATTATTCACTCACCTACTCGCCTACAAAGCTGTCAGATTGAAAAGAGTGGTGAAAGAATAGGGAAAAGTGCCAATATGCAACACCACAGCTCTTGAGAGAGACACGATCTCTGTTCACATACGGGAACATGATTAGCTAAGTAAAACTTTCAAAATTGAATGGAATTTCCAACCTCCAAATTATTGAAGAAAAAGTTACAGGAGTTCACTGTATAAAAAATTGTAATATTATCGGTATTACTGTATTTGCATAACTAGGTCTAAATTGCATGGATAATTGCTTCTAGTTCAGCTGTGTATTTGTACTGTGCCAGACTCTTTCGTGCTCTAAACCTTGCCAGGAAAAACTCAGCACATATGCCCTTCTCAAGGCTGTTTAAAATCTGTCCTGCACAACATTGTGCAATGCAACATTTTCTACACACTGGGCTATGGCTCAAAGTGGAAGACAACCGATTTTAATTAAACTGCACACTTCTGTTAAAATATGTATACTGTATAACTTTTGAAAATAAGATATTTTTAATTGGTATATATTTATCAACATTTTTTGTGTTGATACATTTTTGGCTCATGTGCTTATGCAAAGGTTGCATCTCCATGACTCTTTGATTTCGTTCATTATTTTATTAGGGTTCTGACATTAATACTGTTGCATTTCTGTTTGCAAAAGAAACTTAGTTTGAATTGTCAGATGTTTCGCAAGACAAGTGGAACACCTGACTATGAGGCTGTACCTGTACTGTAGGCAGAATTTGTCCAGGTTGTGTCTCTGTTGATTAAAATACAGAATTCACTTTTGAATTCACTATCAATATCACTAAGGAATTACAACATAAATGTATACTTCATAAAGAATGTTTTCTCAAGAAATACTATTCATTTCCAACCATCTTTCCACAGTGGTGTTTCATTTAAAAATTGATTAAAATCTTGCTAAAGAGAATGGGTATACAAAGTCAAAAACAGATGTTCACAGTTTGCATGGATTGCAGAATGAAGTTGAAATGGACTTGTCTTGTTGTAATTGCCCATGCAGGTGTATTTGTATTGTGAAAAAAACTCATTTTTTTTCCGGTAAGAATAACTCATCATGTTGTATTAATTTACATTTTAAAATGTAAATTACTAATTTAAATATTTAATAAATACAAAATTATATTAAAATGATACTATAATACACATTATTCAGATTTCACTGTCACTTTAGTACTGTGTAATGGAAAAGTACAGAAACAAAAGAAAGTAGACATCTCTGAAATGAAACTTTTATCAAAAACCAGGCTTCAAAATCAACTTTCAGCATCTTACTTCATGATACCTCTTTAAACAAGCAGTACCCAGCATTATTTGTTAAAATATTTGGTTATTTGTAAGCAACCTTGAAGTGTCAGGTTCTTGGAGGACAAGTCACATAATTTCACAAATAACAATTAAAACTGTCTCTGCACATGAAATGAAAAGCAAATACTCCCATGTGGTGATAAGAGGAAAACAGGATTTTTTGTGTGCAGTAGCATAACCTTTGAGAATGTGTTGTACTTAAAACAATGTAAGTACGATAGCTTAATATTGTGGTGATACCTTTCAATAGTTCTGTTTGACTTATACAGTAGTTATGTAATGAACACTAAAATGGAAAAAGAAGATTATAGTTGCATAACTAAAGAAAGGTCTGTTTGAACTTAATTTCTTGGCAATATCTGCTGGGCTCTGTGGCACTGGCAATTTACAGTAAGCAAACTGTCAGATGAAAATATGCAGTTTCTCTGAGGGCCTCTTGTTCAGCAAAAAGAAATAAATGGCTTTCTCTAGCTTTATAAATTATTTCAATATTACACTTTCCAAGATATCCACAGTCAACTGAAATCTTACCATTCTTTTTGTGTAACGCAAAAGGTAATTCCAAATGGAGTTTTGTCTAAGTAGCACAGTTACAGATGAATAAAAAGATTATCATTAAAAGCTAAGTCTTCATATGCCAAGCCACGCTACTGTGTTGGCAGACACAGATTGTGAGACTATAAACTAAGGTTTTCATTTCTTATTATTTCTACAAGAGTACATTATTTTCAACAGCCACTTCTTTGCTTTGGTGAAATTCACACAAGATTGTTGCTAAACAATCTAAATCATATTCAAACATAACTGAAAGGAAAGTATAATAAAAACGTTTACCTTCATTAAGTACATCAGGGAGCATTTAATATTTCATGTAAACATGCATTTTTCTGTACTTGACATGCAACAGACTCCTCTTTCTGCAAGTCCAAGACAGCTTATGCGTAGAAACCTCTTAACACGTTAATGGGCAGATAGGTGCTTTTCTTATGCTAAGCCGCAGGATCTGAGAAAATGTGGTAAAAATCCTCTGACTTGAAAATGGGCTGACAAGTGATTATATAACAGGCCTTATCCACACATATAGTCAGGGCTGCCACAGAAAATAGCTGAACAGAGCCACACTTTTATTATTCAACACTCTTGCAAATCTGCAAGAACAAAGGTTAAGCAGAAAATACTATTCTGGACAAGTGGAGCACAAAAGTTTGTGCGCTCAACAGAAATGTACAGCTAAGTCAAAACTAAGCCTACACAGATGAAGCTTGTCCTGAAAAGAAAGCGATGATGAGGTAGTGGAGTATCCACGGAGACCAGATACAGCACCGTTTCTGAAACCTGCCTGCGCCAGGCCCGTCGCCCCTGGTGTTGTAACACAGAACACGCGATAAAAAAGTCAAGTATCCCTCGGTCTGGAAAATGAGCTTGTCTGCCTAGAGAGATGGAGAGAGACCTGTGCCTGCAGAAACCTACCTTCATTCCCGCAGCAGCAGCAGGGCCGCTTGGATCCACTGCCTGGATGTGACAGGGCTTGCTGCCTCGCACCACGAACCCCCAGCCCACAGCGTCCCCCACAATCTGGAAAATTAGACAGTGGTTACACAAACACGGAGCCATATGGCCAATTCATTTCGATAGCACTCAGGGCAGTGAAGCACTTCCTTCTACACAGCGTGCCATAATTTCCATTTTTTGTAAATAATGAAGGCTGGAGGGAGACTGTTTGCTAACAAAATACTGTGATTTCGCATAGACAAATAAACTCATGATTGACAAATGGCAGAGCTGAGACAACAAGAAGGTAACACTTTTAGACCAAAACATTCCAATTTTGTCTTGTCTGCCCAAAAAACCTTTTGCCACATGTATGCAGTATCACTTTCTTAAAAAACTCAGTTCAATATATAGCGAGTGATCATGCTATTGTTGACCTATGGTCCTTTTCTCCCATCTTTGCTACTGCACTCTGTAACTATCAAAGTTGCCCTAAGTCTCACAGTGGCACTGCTAACCAGTGTCCTCCTCGCCTGACCATTCAGTTTGGAGCAACAGTCTGATCTAGGTGGTGTCTGGGTGCTAGTGGTGGATTTCAACATACTCAGAGATATTGTCTTTGTATTGTTTTTATACCATTTTGATCTGTGTCTTTATACAACTTTTATCACTGGGTTGTTTGAAAGCACCTTGGACTTCATGGTTGAATCGTTGCTTGAAATTCACTACTTGACTGAGGTACTTTATTAGTGAAAAGGAAATTTGGTGCACATAAAGTAATTTAGGTTTGCCACAGCAAAGGGTTTGAATACTGACACAATTTTGACTTTTCCTTTTTTTTGTGTTTTGTACATAACAAATATTAATAGCTAGTTCAAAGTGCCATTACTGCATGAGCAACACAATGTGAAAACTGTGCCAGGGTCTGAACTCCACTGCAAGATCCTGTATGTACTGTACCATCCTAAAGCATGCCAAAACACGCAGCAAAACCTGAATTTGAGACTTGTAAAGCTGCCGAGCATTGTGAGCTCCACATTTATGACTTCTTTCTGTGTCTTTCAATGGTGGATTGTGTCGGATGCTGTAAAGAAGCCTTTGTCAGGGCTGAAACAGCAAACTTACTGTGAATGTCTTCTTTATAAAAGGGCCCCCAGGGGTCTGCAGCTCCTCGGGTCTGACTTGCCTCTTCAAGACTGAGAGAAGACACAGAACCTCACACTGTTAGCATTCTCAAATGCACAGACACTGGTACGCACTTTCTAGCAAGAGAAAATGCAAAGAAAACGTTTTGTTTTTAAAGAATTTCTCTTTCATTGCTTGTGTATCTCCCGGGCAACACTAAGAATTTTCTTAATAAAACAATAATGAACAAAAAGCTTTTGGTGCAAATTTGAGTCATTTTCCTTTTTTTAGTGTTTAATTTACCAACACATATAAGGCTAAGTTTCAGCCTTTTGTGAAGTCACATTAAATAAAATAATCTTAATGATGCAGTTTTTACCCTTCCATGTTCTGTGTGAGCTTCATTTCTGTGCTCATGTAAGTGATCAATCCATGAATTCTGAATCATAATCCTAAAATGGAGTTTAGGATTACAGCCCAGAAAAGGACTCCCCTCTGAGCAGATTTTTTGGTCTAAATCAACAAGCATTCGATTCATCAGCTTGGTTGGATGGTTTGAGCATCCAAAAACATAATGCTAGTCAATGAGCCACCATGAGGTTTATTTTGATTAACCATGTTACATTCCCTGTAAACACTGAGACGCCAAATCCTGCTATAGTAAAAAAACTAAAATATCAAGCTTCACACGTTAAGAATATAAAAAACTTCACTTTTCAGTAGGTCAAGTGGAACACAATACTCTCACAACTGAACCCAATCACATATAGAGGTGATTGATACTTACAATAGTCATGTCTTCCAAATTCAATTGTAAGTTCCTTTTATCTCTGCAAAAGGCCCATAAGGCCCAGGTAAGTACACTTTTTAGCACTGTAAGTGAATGCCTAGATTAATCTTTCCGATGTCTTTACAGTGTTTAGTATAGGATGATTCAGGATTAATATGCCTTTTATTGAAGTAACACTCAGAGGTCCTGACATATTGCCTTTGCAGTGAATGCATTGTGGCTCATTTCGTCCTCACTGTTCACTGCTCATCTGTTATTTATCTGTCCCTCTGAAAGTGCAGATACACTAGAATTACCCTGACCAAGTGCAATTTGACTTGACAAAAACCCCACGACATGATACTGTAAATGTTTGTTCAGCCCTGAGAGTAAGATCATAAGATTATTTCCACACCAAAGAAGCCGATTTTTATTAGTGTAAGCTAAGTTGATGTGGACTCGTTATGGTAGATTTGTGCGCCTAAATGAATTTAGGTTTGCCACAGCACAGGGTTTGAAATATGTGTATGGAGTAGGTTGTATAAATAAAAAATCTTAATTGCTACTTCTACTTCTAAATGTCATGACTGCAAGCTTTAAAATAACACATGGTGAAAACTCAGTAAGAATCTGAATACATTTGTATATAAATCCCAGCTGGTTAAAGAATAATTTGTTCTCTTTGACATTATTATACACATTTTTAGCTTGAAAAACAATGTTGTGCTAGAAACGGAACACTGGAAGATCTCCACAAGAGTTAAAGCCAGATCAGGGTATGTTTACAGGCCAGTGGTCTGCTTGGAAGAGGTCATGAGAAGCAGCGTGACAAAAAAGGACACCTGCTCAAACAGTTAAGACTTTCATGGGAACTACAAGTGATTCCTGAGAAGAACTTCAAGGGAAAAAATATCAGTGTTTCTTCTCTTTTTGACTTATATCTTCCATAGGAAGCCCAAAACTCCAAGCCTGGTTTTTTTATTAGATCATACACACCCTGGAGCTGGGATCCATTCTATGCAATGACTTTCTTGTTTGCATACGAGGCGCTGTACTTTTACTGCCAATGCTGTCTCTTTCTGGTAACGCAGCACGCAGGGGAATACGATTTTTTTATTTATTTAAAATCACTTTATTGGCCAAATACAATTTCTTCTGTTAGGAATTTGTCTTTTCGCCTACCAAACTTGCTCTCCTTGAGACACACAGACAGGGAGAGAAGCTTGGAGCTCAGAGCGCAGGGTCAGCCATTTATACGGCGCCCCTGGAGCAGTTGGGGTTAAGGGGCTTCCTCAGGGGCCCAACACTAGGATTCCTCTGCCGTCCGCGGGATACGAACGGGCAACCTTCCAGCCACAGACGCAGATCCTTAGCCACAGTGCCACCGCTCCACCATAATGTCACTTCATAATGTCGCTTCAGCACAGGTCAAGAGACGGCGGCGGACCGGACGTGACTCGTACCTGACTTGGGGTTGCAGAGCACGGGGGGGCTGCTGCTCAGGGTGGGGCTGCTGCTGTAATAGCCACTGCTGCCACAGCTGCTGCTCATGCTGCTCCTGCGCACGGCAGACACGATCTTGATCTCCTTGGTGGGGCTGACTGCCGGAGAAGGAACAATGCCATGGTTAGCGGTTTCCCCTTACGCATCATTTCTTGTGATTGGTGGATAAAGGCAGTTCCGGCTACAGCACTTATGATGTTCATCGAGTACTTATTTCATTCACGGATTTCATCTGTTAGGTTATGATTGCACAACATTACATTTACTATTTAATTAATTTGAATCATTTCATTTATAGGGAGCTTTCCACCACCAAAGATCCAAAAGAGCTTTACATGTAAAAAAGGACCCAACATCCATCAATGAAGAGCAGCACCTACCAGGGCGTCATATGGAAGCTATTACTATGTTTTCCAGCAGTCTCACTGCATAGTAGATCAGGCTATGAAATGAGCATTTGCTTCACCAATTGAAGAGATTTAAAGGGGAACTCCAGACGCAATTTCTAAGACCTTTTAATAAATCTTGGCAACAAAACGTATTAATTGACGTTACAGAAAAATTATCCAAAATGTGCATTAAGCACAAATTTAAGAACTTTGTGGAAGTACTGTAAATCGCCATGTTGTCGCAAACTTGAATTCGGGTTCCCATTAATTGCGACGTGAAGTGGCCCTTCCTGCTCACTAGTTACTGTAATGACTAATGTACTTCTATGTAAGAGCAAATAATTACAGGTTGTGCAGCAGACATTTCTCCGCAAAAAATGTTCCAATGTGATCCGCACACAGAGTTAACAAGTAAGTTGTATTTGTCAGCAAAACCCCCTTGAAATCAAATAAACGTCATGCTCACAAGACCGCTTGTTTACAATGTAACGAGGCCACAACACTTCACTGGAAGCTCTGTTGCTGAATAATTTTGAACTGTAAATTTAACAATAAGCTTTACAAGTCACTGTGTACATTTTACTTTCATGGTGGTTTGAAATGCACTCATCAGTGCTGATTCTTTCTAACCCCGAAATATAAAAATTACTTTGCAGTTCCCATTAAAGAGGATAAAGAGATCAATTAAGGTAGATAGTAGCCACGATCTACTTAATGATTCTGTCAAAGAAATGCAGAGCACAGTGTTCCTGGTCACCATACAGTGGGGCTTGTTTTAATAATAATAATTGCTTACACTTATATAGCCCTTTTCTGGACACTCCACTCAAAGCGCTTAAGATTCTGGGCCAGTAGGAAGAGTGCCACTACTACTGGTCCACCCACCAGTAGTAGTCCAGCAGTAACGTACTGTAGCTTTCCTTATAAGTGACTCCAGGATTAACCAGGCACAGTCATGTTTAGCTTTTGAGATCTGTCGACATCTTGATTTTTTTTCATAAAAACTCCTTAATTTGCTCCTGAGCTGCTTTTAGTGGTGCTATCTTAATCCACATGTAGGTATGAGAAACACAGGGACGAAGTGTATTGTTTTGAATACATTAGAATCTGTTCAGAATTCTATCCCACTGACCTTCACAAAATCCTCCACAACAGGAAGATTCAAAAGCTGTCATAAAGAATTCAGATAATACTACTGTATTTTTGCAATATTCCTTTTGAAACCACATTCTGTTCCCTTTCTGTCTGTGGGTTTTCATTCTGCTGTTTACATTTCTTTTTTCATATTCTTATTTTTACATTTTTTGTTTGCGAAACAATTCTGTGGATGTTTTATCAACAGGTTGATTAATGAAGACTATCCTCATTTAAATATCTGCTATAATGAGAATCCCTTTATTTCTCCAAAATCTCCCAAACAATTCAGTCTTGAATCTACTGTATATGAATCCATTTATAAAGAAGAGTTTGTATTGTATGAAACAATGCAAAATGCAAAAACAAAGAATACACGTACGCCTACTTCCCTGTCACCAAGGAGTACCCTTTACTACTTTCTTCTGCACTTTCAAATGTTATATGCTTTTAGGCAGTGTGGACATCAGGCCAACTCTTCTATTTAAAAACCGTTTGGCAAATTAACACCAGATATAATATGGAACATTGTAGAGAGGGCACATGGTGAATTGCCAAGGAAGTTGTCAAAATGAGATAAAACAGGCAGTTCTGCAGCACTTGCCCATGGCTGATAGGGTCTTTGCCAACAGCTTGAGAATTATAGCAACTGTCCAGCTTTGGCATTGATCCGACACACAGACAGTGCCCCAGTCAAGAAACTGGATGACAAATATGAGAAATACCTGAACCCATGAACTTTTAGCGATGCACACATTTTATGGACTGTAACCAAACATCTTTCACCTGAAAGTTAGCAACAAGAAAAAGGGCTCAAGGATTGACTTGAACTGCATACCATCCATAGCTGTACAGTGTTTAAGACAAACTGAGTAACAGTAAAGAAAACGTCTGTCCAGTGGTGCTGCAATTATTCAAATATGAGCATAATCAAGCACTGGATGCATTTCAAAATGCAAACCTCTTGTTTGCATTTGTGACATAAACAACCCTAGTGTACTGGGTTGTGACATTACAATCCCACCCTCAGGACTTCACAATGCTGTCAAGACACAAAAATAAAAACAGATTGCACAAACAGCAAAGTACTTCTGTAAGACAGAGGTGGCAAGAGCCAGAACACTGCATGGCAAGTCAAGAATCTGTTCACTGGCTGATCAACGATGACCGACTCTGTCACTCTGTCAGGACAAAGATAATCCACTTGAAGATGGTGTATCAACAGTCCACTGTTTTAGGTCTGCTTATTCCCATGTAGAAACCTATCTTTCACTGTATTTAGTTATCTCAATATATAAATTATTTCTCTACAACATACCCCTTTGCTATTCCAGGGATACTTTCTCTTCTGGGACAGATTTGAAAGAGGCTGTCTTAATAAAACCATGACAGTTCAAACCAGACTTTTATCTCCTGCTTCTCAGAGCTAACTCTTATCAGACAACACCCCGAGACAAAATAATGCTATTTTTTCCAATCAACACTTGGCTTTGAATTAGCAGGTACTTTTATCAGTGAATATGTCATCATATACTGTACTCTCAAAATAGGTCTGAGACGGAAAGGTATTCAAATCTACTCAATGTCAATCAAATTTAGAATACAGTTATGTCTTACTGACATTCTGGTCTGTTTTGCATTGTTGAGAGAGGAATGTGGAATGTCTGCTGAGGAAAAAAATGTGTAATCAGCAAATAACAGTTTATCAGACACTAGTCTTTAGCAAAAACATAGCAAACTGGCAGCAACTTCAGTAGTTACTTTAAAACTATTCTAAAAATATCACACACTAAAATTCAATTACATTACAGTGACAACTCTTACATTAAAATTTAAAATGTAAACGTACAGTATGATTAAAAGTGAAGAAGCACTTACGATCTGTGCAAGGCCCCATGTTTCACTTTCAGTGATTGTTACCCGAGACAGCACCAACAATTTTGTTCTGCTCTCAGAAGGTCACGGTTACCTTTACCTTGTGCTGTTATCTAATGTAAATGTTAAACCATAAAGCAAACATTTCTCATTACAGTGAGAAAGTGGGAGGTTCTTTTCATTGCTGTGCAGACATTAGAAAGTACAAGATAACAAACATCCTGTTGAAGAACGGTCAACTTTAATTACAGAAATAAAGTGTTTTCTACTTCCACTGAGATGTTACCCACTAGAAACAGGAACAAAAAAAATGTATTCACAAAATTATTGTAACGAGAATAATTCCTTATACTTCTATAGCACTTTTCTGGACACTACACTCAAAGCGCTTTACAGGTAATGGGGACTCCCCTCCACCACAACTAATGTGCAGCCCCACCTGGATGATGCGACAGCAGCCATAGTGCGGCAGAACGCTCATCACACACCAGCTATAAGTGGGGAGGAGAGCAGAGTAATGTAGCCAAATCATAGAGGGGGATTGTTAGGAGGCCATGATTGGTAAGGGCCAATGGGAAATTTGGCCAGGATGCAGAGGTAACACCCCTACTCTTTTCGAGAAGCGCCCTGGGATTTTTAATGACCACAGAGAGTCAGGACCTCGGTGTTACATCTCATTCGAAGGACAGCACCTTTTTAAAGTATAGTGGCCCCGTCACTATACTGGGGCATTAGACTGCAGGGTGAGCGCCCCCTACTGGCCCCTCTAGCATGTCTTCCTGCAGCAACCTTAGTTTTTCCCAGGAAGTCTCCCACCCAGTGAGGCTCCCAGGCTCACATCTGATTAGCTTCAGTGGGCTGCCAGTTGTAAGTTGCAGGGTGATATGGCTGCTACCATACAGCTAAAAACTGTAAACTAAAGACTTTTAGTTTATATCTGTGGTACTTTAAAAAGTTTCCTTTACTTCTGACTTTTATGATCTTGTAAATATATACCTGCAATACCCCATTCGTCATTTACAATTATGCAAATCAGACAAGAGGGAATAATGCAAGTCAGGCAGTATGAAAGCTGGACTTCATACAGTAGATGTGTTCACAAACGGTATTTACAATATGTGATCAGGATCAAAAGCAATACTTAACTGGAGTTTCCTAATGTCCAGTCACAAATGGTTCAAGCAATTTTCTCAATTCATCACAGAAGTCCTAATTACTATAAAAGACAAAGGATTACATTGGACTCATCTACCTATGTCACTGGTTTAATTGGCACAAAAAAAACCCACACTGGGAAAGACAGATTCCTTGAAAAGTCTTGGAAAGCACAATAAAAGAAGCTAACTCCAAGGAACGCTTTGAATGTGACATGGTTATGTTTATTTGATTTGTTACAGCCTGGATTTTTTTGTTTGGATGATTTTTAATCAATGTTCCCACCACAAACATAACACAGATTGGCCCTTTCAGATCCACATACCATTGAATTATACAGAGTGTGTGTATAACAGACGGGCGTTTTCCAGTAGGGCATATATTTGGAGGTTATAGAGAGTTAAAAGCATTTTTACAATACTGCCAACATTCTGTTTTGTCATACATGTATCTAACCTCCTATGGTAACATTTCGTAGCAGGTATTGTACCTTTTTTCATATTTGCAATGACAACTTGTTCTCAGATAAATACTGTTAATCTGTTGTTCAAAACGGAAGCCAACCTTGAAACTTTAGACTGTTAAAATGTACTGTATTACTGTATTATCCTTTTGATGGTGAATGAACAAAATGTGTGGCTCTAACAGTAGTCTAATAATCCTGGGGGTGTTAACATTCTCCTCTGAAATGTCCTGGTTCCCATGGCATCTGACAATAGCAGCTCCAGCTATTTTTAAGCATTACTTCCAGAGACTTGGATCATGTTAAAACTCTCTTTATTGAAGCCATTTACTGAGCTGACACAGAAGTTTAAGACTCTGGTTTATAACTAAGATCCCAGTTCCTTGTGTTAAGTCTCCTGGATAATGTGAAGTCTTCAGTACAGGCTTTTGTTACTTGAATACGAATGTGCTCCTTGGAGCCTGAGAAATTGCTTCATTAAGTTCAGATTAGGACTGCACATTAAATTCTGACAAGCGTCTGCCAAAGGAATCACCATAACCCAAGGGAGATGACAACAGAAAGAGATTTTTAAAATAAGGTTAATGACTTTTTAACTTTTTTGTTTCTAGTTAATCAACCCTCTTCAAAGTTCAGTTCACATTCTTGCCTATACAGAAAATTGCTGCTGGATGAGAACAGTCTTAGAACACTCTCATTAGCTGTCCCCTTATTTCTTTGATTAACAACACTGAGAATAAAATAACGAACAAGCAGGGCAATCCTGAATCTCATTCTGGACATCACACAGAACCCAATACAAAACACATGTATTAGTTATAAATCAGTCCTTAAAGTTCCAAACAACACCTTAAGTGATTGGCCAAAGCCAAGGAAGGCCACCACATGTTCAAGTAACAAGATCAAAACAACGAAAATTCCTTATTTCAAAATAACTCTCCAGTGGCTGTCCAGTTTTTAAAGCCAAAATAGTTCTATGCATATCACTAAAAGAGAAACCAAGGGCTGTATGTATATTACCTCAGATTTGGGTTTGCATGTATAAAGTTTTTAAACTCCTGCCCGCATCCTTGTCAGAATCACAGGATACATGAAGAGAGTCGTTAATTTTTTTGAGCGCTCCAGAGATACTGTTGTATCATGTTGTTTGATAACACCTTACTTTGGATGTCATCTCTACGGCACATACAACTTACTACTTTCTTACTGAAACAACTCATGCAAGTCATTGAGTACCAGTAAATTACTTATACATTACATCACTAATACTATTCACGACATATTAACAAAATATGTAGAGTACACATTCGTTTTTTGTTAGAGGAATAAGTACCTAATTTTCCTTTATACAAGAGCTGCCCATCATTTGTTAAATGTTAGTGTATTCTTAATAAATAACCATGACTCAGAAGTGATACCTGAAATAATGTGCTTCCAGCTTATGCAGATTTTCTATCACCAACAGTACAATACTATGAATAATATAAGTTTAACCAAACTATTAAAGTCTTTCTGCTATGTGTGCACATTCAATTTCTGTTTTAATTAATTTAAAAAAATCAAAATCGGAGAACAGTACTCCTTAGACATCACCATTCTATTTCAGACAAGGGTAGTGTCCTACATGTACTAAAACACACATTCTGTCATTTAGATGAATAAAGGAGTCCTTGAAAATAGTTCTAACACTATCTCAATTGAAATCAAACCATAGTTGACATAAACTCAAAGCCCATCACTATCAAATTACAATACAGTAATAATATGAGGAAATTGCAGTCAAACCAAATGTGTTGTAATCAGAAAGGTAGTTATTTTAGGGAATGACTGACTGAAAAAAACATGAATATGAAAGTCCTGAATATGTGTGTACAGCTGTTCAAATAAAAGAAGCAGTAAAGAAAAACAATAGTAGGAGAAATAATTTCTCAATACCTCCTTTTATTAAATACAAAATATTTGTATAGTTGATATGCCCATTACTTACAGGGTAGTGGATGTCTTTGCATTTTGACTTATTATATAAACAGAGATAAATCAACTCTTTTCAAACTGACACAACACTGTGAAGTTTGATCTATGCAATCGGCATATTACGAACAAGGACAAAAGTGAAAAATAAATCCAAGGGCATATGTTGACTGAGATAAGATTATTCTCTCTGGCTTCAAATCTGGTCAGTCAAAAATGAAACTTAACACGGTTTGCTGACAGTAAATATATTTCAGATAATATTAAATGCTATTAAGCCTTTAAGCAGATAACCTATAACATTCTTTCTTGAAGACTGGAGTCCTACTTAGGACAACGTTAATCAGATCTAAAACATACAAAATAAATCCTAAATGCTTTGATACTTTACATTAATCTATCCTGGCTATAGTATAAAAACGGCTTCATATCTTCCACCCCATTTCTCTGCTAGGCTGTTCTCATGGAGAGTTTATGACGGCGTGATTCAGCATCCGAGCAGGGTATGCATTTCAGTGAAAGTTGGTTCAACTTGATGATGATAACACTCCACTCTGGACACTGCACTCAAAGCGCTTCACAGGTAATGGGGATCCCCTCCACCACCACCAATGTGTAGCCCCACCTGGATGTTGCAACGGCAGCTACAGTGCACAATGATTGGTAAGGGCCAATGGGAAATTTGGCCAGGAAGTCGCGGTTACACCCCTATTCTTTTCGAGAAATGCCCTAGGATTTTTAAAGTCCACATAGAGTCAGGACCTCAGTTTTACGTCTCATCCGAAGGACGGCGCCTTTTTACAGTATAGTCCCCGTCACTATACAGGGACATTAGGACCTACATAGACTGCAGGGTGAGCACCCCCTGCTGGCCCCACTAACACCTCTTCCAGCAGCAACCTTAGTTTGTCCCAGGAGGTCTCTTATCCAGGTACTGACCAGGCTCACACCTGCTGAGCTTCAGTGGGCTGACAGCTGTGAGTTGCAGGGTGATATGGCTGCTGGCCGGCTAGATGCACACTTTCACATCCTTCAATCATTCATTCACTCCTTCCAGCACTCAGCTGGGGAGAGCTGCCATCCCTGCAGAGAGCACAGGGGTTACCTGAAAGGAAGCTGTTGTTGCCTGTGTCTTGATTCTGTTTGCGCAGACAGAAGGGGCTGTCGTGGCTCTCGGGTATGGACCGGCAGCTCTCGCTGAGCAGTTCCATCAGCCTCCTCCTCCTCCTGAAGTTCATCTTGAACTGGTACAGGAGGCCCCTGTCCACAAAGTGATGCTTGTTGGTCACTGCAGGAGGGGGCAACCAAACCAGAGTTACTATGCAGAAATTACTGGGAGCCTTTCCTGTATGTCCAGATTTTATTGCATTCATCTAAAAACATTCTAATTGAAATGTCTGAATTGCCAAATGACGCATTCTTCCATTTTTATTTTTCACTACTGATCAATAACGAGGAAAAAAAAACCCTTAATATCCATTGTCCTCATCGAAACACTGAAGGAAAATGAAAACAATGAACATACTGTACAAAGATAGCACAATGTTGGGATGTGTACTGAAAGGCTTAAAATGTTAGCAAAGAGGTATTCAGTTAAAAGCATCATATGCTCAACTAATACCACATTTAAAATGTTGTTTTCAGTTTCGAACACCATATTATTTTGTATTTCTCATCAGAAACAACTCAGAATGACAATCACACAGGTTAATGCAACTGCATTTTTAGACTTTTCGAGGGATTTCACACAAGGTTTAATAATCCTCAAATATCTAACCAAGGGTCACTAATGAAATGAGCAACCTGGATGACAAGTGGAAATCAGTAGCAGACACATTTATCACCTTACAACCTGATGTTTTCAGATCACAGGAGCTAAGCAAAGCTAGGCCTGGCCAGTGCTGGAATAGAGACCTCCAAGCAATACCAGCAATAGCTGCTGCTGTAAATCCAGTTGGTGTACCACTATGTCTCACTAGCATTAGCATAGTGATGAATGACACTGTGTTGTAGGAGGTGCTGTCGTATGGATGAGACGTCTCGAGTGCCATAGAGCTGAAGGTGAGATTTAGAAAATAAATTAGTTACTATATCAAGTAAACAAAGAAGATGAACAGAGTTGCCTACTCTGGTTGGTAACCCGACATTTTAAGATGTGCAATGTGCATATCCAAGACTGTAATGTGTAATTCCTTGTGTGTTCCTTTGTGTCTCCCAGTTCCACAAAAAAGGTGTAAATGCACATAATCCCTGTCTTCTATTTGTAATCCAGTCAGAATTAATAATAATAATTATAATAATAATTCCTTACACTTACTGTATAAGGCGCTTTTCTGGACACTCCACTCAAAGTGCTTTACAGGTAATGGGGACACCCCTCCACCACCACTAATGTGTAGCATCCACCTGTACCACCAGTATGCTCACCACACATCAGCTATTAGTGTGGAGGACAACAGAGTGATGAATCCAATTCATAGATGGAGATTATTTAGGAGGCCATGATTGGTAAGGGCCAATGGGAAATTTGGCCAGGACGCCGGGGTTACACCCTTACTCTTTTCGAGAAACACCCTGGGATTTTTAATGACACAGAGAGTCAGGACCTCAGTTTTACGTCTCATCCGAAGGATGGCACCTGTTTACAGTACAGTGTCACCGTCACAATACTGGGGCATTAGAACCCACATGGACCGCAGGATGAGCGCCCCACTAATTGTTTTTTTTTTTTCACTAGGTAAATTAATCAGAAATCTTCTCCCTAATCCACTAGCACATATGTTCGTCCTACTTTTATACCACTTTAAATCCCTAAAAAATGAAGAATACAGGGTATTCTTTCTTACAGTTTGTGGTAATGGGATGTTCAGAATTTAATCTGTGATTAACGGATTTGTTTTTTTCCTCATTCCTATCTTATTATCACTAGAACTACACTCTGCAATATTCTGGCTAAACACCATAGTGAGGCCTTTGTAATATAAAATCAGTATGAGAAAAAAATTGCAAGGTATGAATTATTTATGTTAACTGTCATCTAGCATTACACCTTTTCCAAAGTAACACGTTTTGTGGCCTAATTTATTTTACCTTTACAGTACCTGTGTGTGCCCTACGATAGACTGGCATCCTACCCAGGGTGTATCCTGCCTTGTGCCCATTGTTTGCCGGGATGGGCTCTGGCCCTCCTCGTGACCTTGTACTGGATAAGCAGATTAGAAAATGGATGGATGGATCTGAAATATAGTTTTATCTACTAAAATATGTTTTACTTTGAAAACTAACACAAACAGTATTTCTGCCCAGCCACCATATGGATACTTCACAATCCCTTAGTAACCTGAAGCTCTCTCAGCAAGTTTTTATCACTTCAAGGACTCCGCAGAGGAAGAGAGAGAAGCTGATAATGTTTGCTATCAGTAAGTTTTCTTTACACTGCCTATTTCCTGAAAAGTTATCAAAAAATCACCTTTAGCTTGAGGATGACGACTCAGCATAAAACAGATTCAAATGTGTTTGCATCATGGAATGAACTTGTTGAAGAGTCTACACTCTTTGTCACGAATGTTAGAAGGGCATGGCGTGGAATGGCCAGGAGACCAGTAGAGCGGTGAAAGGGGCAACACAGAGGTTAGCCCAGGCTCAGGGGGTCGGACGATGTCGGTATAGAAACCTATGCCCTCAGGCCACTGACGTGGGGCGACCTGGTACTAGGCGGGTCTCAGGACATTCGAACCGTCAATGCTGAGCCAGGAGCAGAGCAGACACAGGAAGTAAATAGGCTACACAACAAGACACACCGGAAAGACATGAATAATCACAGGGAACTAGGAACAAGACAGAAGCAGAGCGCCCTCTAGGTGTACAGGGCGTGACACTCTTGCCCTGCCATCACTTTCAAAAGGAGCACCACTACAGGTGTATTAAAGCACGGACAAAGCGCTTTTAAAGATTTTTAATTTATCATACAACAGACCACTCTGGAAAAGTCAATTGTTTCTTCATAGCTCAGCTCACATTACAACTCCTTTGCTTTCTCCCATCATCACATCACTATTAATAACAGCTAATCCAATTCAGGGTCATGGTGGCCAGATGGGCCCAAAGGCCAGTCCATTGCTGGGCACATATACTGTATAAAGTGGATCTATAGTTTAAGACTATGGATTTAAAAAAAAAATAATATTCAAAAATAAAATAAAAATTAGATCTTATGTGAGTGGCAGATAGAGACAACAAAGAGAGACTGATTTTGAAAGTGGTATTAACTCCCTATCTGTATTTTGATGTTTTTGCAGTAAATGTGTTTTCTGAAGAAACAAAATGTGTTACTTGAACCCAACTACATGAAATATAACATCATGCAAACTAGTACTTAAGGATGTGGCCATATACTTCTCAAGACAGTTATGCACTGTATTCCTTCTTCGCCTTTAAAGCTTCATAGCTACAAGCAATTTATACATTATTTGCCAGTATAATTTAAAGGAAAAGCCATAGTGAAAAGTAATATTTACACTACACAAAATGCATACTTCCTTCATAATGGGGATGCTATTAGATTCTCAACAAAACAAAGAATGACAATTTTATTTTTTTGTTTTTTAAAGTAGGGTATGTGCATAGGTATTTGTATCACACACATTGCAGTGTCTCTGGATATACTAAAACACCTCTGTATAAATACTGGGAAATAAAATGGCACAGGGCAGGAAGGATCTCATAAATCACTAGATGGCAGTATTCTGCATTCAATCCTTTAATCATGGGACCCTTCATCATTTAATACTCTGCAGCAACCTTTAATAAGGAGGGGAGGTATACATATGTCACCTCTGAATTCTTCATCACATTACTCTGCAATTAGTAGTAAGGGAAAATGCATCTTATAGAATATAACCCATTTTTAACATTGATTTTTCAATCATTCTCAGTAAAGATGTTCTCTCTTTCACTGGAGCAATGAACCTTTTATTCAATAGATGCACTTGAAGCACTTCAATGGCTAGAAAGCTTTTGGTTCATCAAAATGAAAGGCACATATTCCTCAGTGAATGGGACTGTCGCATTAGCGGTAAAAGTGCAAAGTGAAATGAGCTTAAGTCCTCTTTCTTCAGGCAGCAGTGCACTAAGCTCTGCACTGCTACAGTATATAAGAATTCAGGTCAAAACAAGTTTCTTCTTCCTCTGCTGTAATTAAAAATGGGTTGGTTTTCCTTAAGTAATTTTGAACAAAGCGGTGAATGTCTTCCACTATACTTTGCTGTTAGTCAAGTAACAACACATATCTAAGACTAATGTCTTAAACAATCTGTCCTCCTATTTTCTCAAAGTTTTTTACATACATTTCTAGAACGTTCAAGTTTTGGCACTGTTAAGAGCCTCAGAATGCACTTTGTAAATTGCTACCTACACATTAATATCTTATTTTTATCTTTCAAATCTTACTTTTTATGCTGTTTGTGTCAGTTTCTAGAATGTTCAATGTTGTCAAGTGTAAATTCTCATCCAAATGGTATACCTTACATCTATTCATCCATTTTCTAACTGTTTTACCCAACACAGGGTCACAGAAGAGCTGGAGCCTACCCTGGAAAGCAATGAGCACAAGGCAGGGTACACCCTGGATGGGACGCCAGTTCATCACAAGGCACACACACTCACACTTTGGTAGAGTGAAGAATATAATAAATACAAACTCCACGCAGAGAGCACCCCAGGAACTGAACCCAGGGCCTCAGTGCCGTGAAGCAGCAATGCTAACACCTGCACAACCATGCTGCCTCTATATCTTACATGTGTTATCTAAAACACTTCTTCTGCAAAATATATCATTCTGAGAAATAGTATTCATTAAACGTCTATTGATCCATTGAACTTTAACTAAAAAACCAAGGAAGCGGAAATCTGAGAGGGATTAATGAGTTTAAAAACATTAATAATTACTGGGTGAGCAACATGGAAACCCCCAGGGCTGAGCTCACGTTCTTCAAGTGTTAATAGCCGATTAACCGTTGTGGACATGGCCCATAGTGTAAAAGGAGTGTATTGTCCCACATACCCCGGCCATGGCGTAACTATTGCTACAAGGTGAAGTTTGAAACTGGCTTTCCAAAATAAAGGGCATCATGTGGAACATTGTATACCGAGCATCAAAAAGGCCACTATCACTTATAATTGCAAAAAAATGAACGAATTACAAAGTTATTATCAGGACGATGGTAAAATCATTTTTTGCAGAAGGTGGACTGATGTCTTGATGAACGGACATGTCATTATGCCCATTAACTTTTGTCATCGAAAGAAGTTCTGCACTGAAAAGTCTGAAGCTAGTAGTGTATGTCGCTACTGCTGGAAGCAGTACCTCTGTTACACACGTTTTGTTTGTGTTTGTGTTTCCAGTTGTGTCTTGTGGGAGTCCCATTCTACTCAAAGAGCCTGGACAAGTGAAAGCCTCATCCAGGGTCATCCCACAAATGTTCAATGAGACTGTTGAACAGATCATCCACAGCATAAGTGACATTCTCATTTCATAAGCCAACGGCATGAGAATGCATGTTCAACGCTTGCTTCAATGTCTAGTTGGCAGGTTAGGATGAGCACATAGGAAGGACACAGTGTCAGGCCCGTAAATCTGTTCTGTAAAAACTAGACTAAACTATAATTCTTAGGTCTCCCAATCAATGCTCCAGACAATAATTAGTTTAATCTTCTGAATCTCAGTGTCATGCTTAATGATGTGCAACGCGGTGATCTACTCAAAAACTTGATACATTGCTTAAAAGAATTTGGCTCACCTATACATTGACGGCAGCAGGACACCGTACTGTGAGATGTAATGGTGCTTTCCAGTGTTTTTCTTTCTTGATTTTTACACGGCTTGACATTCAATAAGCTGAAACACCTCATCAGCCACACCCTGTCAACTCACTGATAAGGCGGTTCACTACGATAGGCAACAGCTAAAGTCACCTGAGTGCAGTGTATACTGGATTCAGTTATTACAGCCACGTATTATTTTTTCTAAAAACACACGCATAAGAAGAGGCTCCGTGATGCTCTGTATAGTCTTTTGTAGTTAAGGATCCCTTCACCTGACTAGACCAAGGGCTGTAAAGGGTGGTGCCCTTGCATTGTCAGATCCCTGTGTGAAAGGTGCCAGGTGACCAGGGCTGGCCTCACCATGCTGAATGATGCCATGTTCCAGCAACCTCCGGCCCAGCTGCTCCGCCTCCTCCCGGGTGGACGCCTCTCCCTCCTGGACCAGCCAGTCCACAAACTCGGAGGCCACCAGCGTCCGCTCAAACTTCACTCCATCCTCCTCCCTCGTCTGCACCAAAGAGCTGTCTGTGGTCATCAGCCTGCCAGTAAAGAGAAGAACATGTAAGGTCTTGTTTAAAAGTGGTCTGGAACTTCAGCGCATGGTGTCACAGCACCTACAGCTTCTATCAAGAGATTACTAGATGTAAAACTGTCTTATCAATTTTAATGAATGTATAAAAACCTGCAACGACAGTTACATTATTCGAAAGAATGAGCAGAAAAGTGCATAAAGTACTTGGTATACATTATAATTTAACAAGTAAAGGTTTATTCCATGCTGAAAGGAGACACAACATTTTGGCTGTGGAGCCTTCCTCTTCTTCTTCACAATCGATGAAGGCTCCACAGCCAACAAGTTGTGTTACTTTTCTTCTCTTTTCAGCAGGGAATAAACCTTCACCCGTTCCTTTGCACTGTGCACATGCTGACGTAGCTACCGACTTGAAATGATCATTTAACATACAGTATTATTTACCATAGCAAACTAGCACATTTGTGCTTGTGACATTGAAATAAAAAATCAATGTCATCTTGCCAAATTTAATATACAGGAATATAAATTCAACAGATTTTGCCAGACAAACTTCATGATGCAGTGACGAGAGGCCTTTAAGACCCTATGCTCATTGTGCTTTTTTTTCTAAATTCATTACTTGTACCTGTACAACATTTAGCAATTTCTACAAAATGTTTTCAAAAATACACTACATTGTTGCATCTCTCTGTTTCTGACACACATTTAGTTAAAACTGAAATCCTTATCTTTTCAATAAAGTCTGCATAACACAACTGCAGCACTTGAGCCCAGTGAAAGTCAAATCTGAATAATCACACATTCGATCTCTACCCTTTATGTGACCAAAATGGGGAAATGCAGTTTTATCTAATCTGAGTTCACTGACTTTCACCAACTCCGGAGCACTGGTGTGACCTACAATAATTTAACCCTTTTTCCTGGCTGAGAGTCTTGGCAACATTTTGTTCTCGTCCCATCAGCTATAATCCCCAAGTAAAGAAGGATATTATTGGGGGAACTTAGTTTCTTTTCTTCACTATACAAAATAAATTGGAACAAGTAAAGATGGTAAAGAAGGCTCACACGTGAAATGCTGTGTTTCTTTTAAGCATGGAATAAACCTTTACTTGTTCCTTTGCAACCTACAAATGCTGACACAGCTACTTAATTGAACTAATACAAAATAAATATGTCAGAACACTTCTTAGAAAATTATAAAACAAATCATTGTATTTATGCATGTGTGTTTTAAAAAAAATAAAAGTACATAGCTAAAATGTTTATGGTGTGATTTTGATTAATGTATCTGAATTGAGTGATTAAAAAAGGTCATAACCAATTCAATGTTATAATTCCAGTAAGTAACCTTCAAATGAAATTTACATTTCTCTTTGTATATTGTTTACGCAATCTCCGCTATCCTCAGGTCAATGGCACTGGCATTTACACAGAACTCCTGGCAATTTGCATCACAGTTTCTAAGTGCTTTGACAGTAAATGATATATTTATAGTAGTTAAAAACAATACATTACAAGGCATTCTTTCCTGCATTACACTCTGTTACAAGATTAAAAGTAACTTAAAATTTCAATTATCCACATTCATAAATCAAAGATGAAAAAGGTAAACATGGTTAAAGGTAAAGTTAAAAACTGCAAAAGACAGAAGAACATAATACAAATACATATTTGCTTACATGCATGCAGATTTAATCAATTAAATAACATGGGACATAAAAGTTGCATCAGGTCAATATCATTACTGTAACATTTTAATAGCTGCATTACCACTCTGAAACCTGAGTTCCTCAGATTTCACTAGCTAGCAGAGCAAGTCCTGGTCAGAACAGGCCCAGGAAAAAGAAACAGCAGGTTGCTGCTGTAAGCAATGCTGGTGCACTGGTGGTCCAGTAGGGCAGCACACTTCACCCTGGATGATGGTGGCTAGGGGCAGTATGGTGACAGTGATGGCCATATTGAGGTACTGTAGAGGTGCTTCTGATTACTTTGTCATGGACAAATGTGCATTAAGATTATGGGTGGCCTGACTAAATTCCACATTGTGGCCTAGTTAAAGTCCCACCTTAATTCAATGGTGGATGGTGGAAGGATTTTTCCACTCCACGTTATCTGCTATGCAGTGGGTTGGCACACAATGGCTACCACATGTCACCCAGGTGGTGGGTGAAGAGAATCCTCTCCTATATGTAAAACACTTTGAGACCCCTTGAAATGAAATACACTTGCTGATGCATTGAATTATTATCATTTGTTAGCCAAGGATCGGGATCAGGTTGTCTTCATAAAATAGCACAACCCAACACAAAGACAAGGATGTAAAACAACAGGCCAAGGTGCAAGAGTGTGGTCAGCTGTGCTGTAGTTTCTGTGACAGCCCAAAGGATTCTTCTGCTGTGTGACAACAACTACTTTCTGCTTCTCTGGTGTTTTTAACACCCAAGACTTGTGAGAAGCAATACACTAACAGTGGCTTAGATCCAGAGTAAAAGGATAAATGTAAATTTTAAATCAATTAAAAATATAACCTTTAGTCAACTGATAAATTGTTCTGTCAAAATACAGTCTAGCTCCTGTTCTGTTAAAATGCAGTCTCTCTCAGTCTAGCTCTGGCTGCAACAGATTAGCTGGCCAGATAAAAGTAAAAAAGTTTTAATTACGCTGGTGTTTTGGCAGGCATAAGAGCTGGCAGAGGCTAGACGAGGATGTTCAAGAAAAGCACATGGCATTGCCAATAATTTACAGCTGCTTCCACCTCATCTTCATGACAGACAGTGGCAAATTCCAAACTCCACAATGGGTGGTTTGCATTCTGGGAAACATTATTAGTGACAACCAGAGACAAGGTCTCTAATTCTTTACTGCTATCTTTAGAGACATCAGATAGGAATGACTGCAAGGATGAGTGCAACATAAACAAAGCCTTTACAATATTTCCAATGAAGAAGAAGTAGTTGACCATTAACTGTCACTGATGGCCTACTTGATCTGTATATCTATTTGTTCAATAACTGTGTAAATTTTAATCTCTGAGCACCTAAATTTGATTCTTCACTCTTGGTCATGAATTCTCTATATAAGAAGTTTTATTTTTAAAATGTGCAAAAAGGATCTTGACAGCCGTGCACTCTGGCATGCATTCTCAAGAGCGGGCTTTTTATTACCCTGTCCTTTGAAACAAAGGGTTCACAGTACAGCCAGTCATAAATCACAGAGCGAGTGTTAGCATGTCATGAACTAACACTGGTTGCTTAGAGACCGTCTCATAATAACACGGCTTCTAACTTTCTGCTATGGCACCAGAAAACCTTCTAACCTTTATGAGGTTTGCAAAAACAAAAATCGATTATCACCACGAATGTGTTGGGGCAGAGCAGTGGCTCTGTGGGGGGCGGAGCAGTGGCTAAGGATCTGTGCTTGTGACTGGAAGGCTGTCGGTATGTATCCCGGGGCTGGCAGAGGAAGCCTACTCCGTTGGGCCCCTAAGCGAGGCCCTTAACCCCAGCTGCTCCAGGGGCGCTGTGCAATGGCTGACCCGCGCTCTGACCCCAAGCTTCTTTCTGTCAGTGTGTCTCATAGAGCAGGCTGGGGTATGCGAAAAAGACAAATTCCTAACACAAGAAATTGTATGTGGCTAAGAAAGTAATCTGAGCTGATCTTGATAGATGTGTAGTGTCAAAAAGTAAAAACTTTTTGAATCTGGAAAGAACAAAAAAATGCATCAACGATATGTCCCGTGTAAAAAAAAGAAACAGAACGCAGCATGAACACAGATACAAATGACTATCTTACACATTCATCAATGCATCTACAGTGCTAGTACACTACTGAATACTGATAAAAAAGCAGGATCCCAAGCAACTGAAAGTGCACATAGTCAATCACATAGTCATAGTCAGCATCAATTGCTAAAATTTCCAGATTAGGGAAGGAGGGTAAAAAAAACTAAAATAATTAAAACAATGGGAGTTTCAGAAAGTTCTCTTCCTTCAGAACTATGGACTCTTTTATGTATTATTTATTTTCCATGTGTTTGGAAGTGCATATCACTCCTCGGAGGCTTTCAAACACATGGAAAATAAAGGAAAGGCTTGGAATTGACATGCTTCTTTGACATGAACCACCTGCAGAGTTGTTGGGCGTTTCATTCTTCACAAGTTTCAGAGTACACAAGACTGAAGCATTGGTGCATCTCTCACTGACATCACTACAAGCCTTCAGGTACTCAAGAATTCTGGGGAGTCACTGTTCAATAGAATGCTGAAAGACCAGGGTAATTAAATTTAACCCTATATACAGTAGATGATGTTCAACCAACCATGCTTCACCACTTGGGGAATCTTATTCACAGTGCATAAGTGTTCTGGCTTGAACCCAAGACGTACGTATTATAACGCTCAACCTGTGGTCCGAATAAGTACCTCAGCCTCAGAAAACCGTACTGACTTGATGCCAATGTGCCTGCCAATGCAGTCAGCTCCTAATGTATGGGACACAGTGGCTTACTTTTCAGCAAGATCCATATATGGAGTTCCACACTGGCACTCAAACACTGATAAAGAAGACAAAATTCACAAGTGGACAAGAACAACTATAATTAGCCAGTGGTCGATGTTACACAGATACATAGTAGATCAGTTTTAGTAGTTTTGCTTTGTTGATGCCTTGGGGTTTTAGACTGAAAACTGATGGTTGTACAAAGAAACATCTGGGCTTCATGAAGTCTTAATGATTACAGTGCACAGTAAGTGCTTCTGAATGCATTTAAAGGATATGTTTATTTAATTTCTAAATTCTCAGCTGTGGAAAAAAATAGAAAAACACTAACAATTTGTCAAAGATGACTAACAGCCAATGTGACCGTCTGGTGTACTAAGAATATAAGGAAGTCAGAGATGGAAGGATAAACAAGTATGAAGAAGATACATTGCATTCTGAGAAACAGGAGCTATTGAGCTACAGCAGACTGTTGATATTTATCACTGTTTCCTCTTCTAGATCCAAAACCAAACTGTTATTTCAGCACTGAAGGGAGTTTAGTAAATTCAGAGAAAGGAGACATACTTCCCTTGGAGCTAATAACATTTCATTTTATAAATCAACTAGGCACCTTTTTTTTTCATCCTTGTTTATGTGGATGTATGATTGTTAGGGACCAGAATTTGTTTTATTTAAATCAGCATTTTAAAGGGTAAGATCACCTTTGGATAATCAAGTTTATGAAAATGCTTAAATTTACTTTTAAAAACATTTATATCGAAATGTATTTAGTGCTATAAGGCAGCTGGGAGAGAGGATTGGATGTACAATGTTAGACGCTAAGAAAACATTTGGACTGTATATAATAGTTTCTGTTGTTTGTGAATACTTGCAGTTTTGTTTAATAAATATTTGTATTTACATTTTTGCTAATTAACAATCTGTGAACCAAATTGTTCACGGAAGATTAGAGAGGCCACTAAACTTTTCTTGATATTGCCCGAGTAGGTGAAGTGGTGTTATTATTTGACATTTTTGGAAATGACTGTACTGATGCTGTCAGGCCGGACTACTTAACTTAAATATTTTACTTCCTGTATAACCTCTTGCACCCCCCCACTTTACTATAAGGATATGAACTAAAAAGTATCCTTTTATACTATGGACTCCATAGTATGAAGCTGAACCCAAACAAAAAGGTCCATAAAACGGAATATAATACTGTCACGGACGTCCAAAGGGACAAACCGTGGGGAGCAGGAGAGCAGAAAAAGACCCATATGCGTAGCGGCGAGACGGGAAAAAGGCCCGGGCTCATTAGTGCAAAGAGTTCAGGAATGCCGTATAGAAACCTATGCCCTTAGGGAGCGGACGTGGGGCGCCCTGGTGCTAGGCGGGTCTCAGGACATCCGAACCTCAATGCTGAGCGAGGACAGAGTGCAAGACCCGGAAATATATAGCCCAAGGGAAAGACAGGGACAGGAAGGACAGCAGACCGGAAACTAGGGACAGGACAGAGAAGGAGCGCCCTCTGGCTGCAGAGGGCGTGACAAATACTTACAAATGAGAAAGTCACATCATAAATACTACTGACTTTGATAATAATTTAAAAGTGGAAAGATTAATCAAACTTGATAGTCATATAATTTACAGCGCAAATGTCTATGACTTGGATTACAGTGTTCTGGGTTTCACTACAATAATTATCAATCACCTGACTAATGTTACATTTTAGTGGATTGTTCCTAAGAAATGTAAGTCTCCCAAAACACCGTAAACAGAGCTTCTCTCTGAATAATGAATGAGGTTTAATTTTTCTCAGTCCATCTAGTTAATGTTATGAAAACAAAAAGACTGGTATAGACATCGATACCATATTATATGGTATGGTATTCCAAAAACTGATTCGTTGCCAAGAATAAAAAATGAGTGTTAGTAAAATAAATACGACCGACTTAAAAAAATAAAAGTCATTTCAGTCTGTACTTTATATATTTTAGAAGTGCATGAAGGAACTATGAAGGGAAGATGGTATATTTTGAGAAGCAATGCAAGAAAAAAAATAAACAAAAGATTCCTCACTTCATAGTTTTTGCTAATCGTGACTGAGGAGTGGAAAATATGCAGGCTACTATACTATCGCATACTACCTACTATGAAAGCAAAACTTGGAACCAAAAATATGTTGTCAGACACGGTTAATGGAAATATTGATACAGAAAATCAGAATAATTCAATCTGCATCATTACAATGTTACATTGACTGGCTAATATTACACATTTACAGTGGATTTCAGGAATTTCAAATCACTGTATGCAGCATACCTGAATGTACGAATTGTACCCGAGGATGCTAATGCTGATAATAATAATAAGCATTATTATTATTAATAATTATATTGTTATTATTATAGTTGTGGACCCCACCTATTATTTGTTTTGATAGTCATCTTTGTAGTTGCCATTGAAAATCGAATATACTGTAACATACTTTTCATATAACCTTTGCCCTCGCATGAAAATCTTGGCTTCATTATCCAATGGGAAGGTTCCATCATCTTTCCTGAAACGGTAGAAGAGCTTTGCATCTTTGAATTCTTTGTGTTCATCACAGACTGCAAAAGAAAAACAAGACAAACTGTTTACATACTAAACACTACAGAGATTTCACTCAATATCCCTAAAATAATATGTTCCGCATATTGTATTACTAAAAATATATTCAGTATCTGTGCTATGCAATACCATAGCTCCTTTAAAGAGCCCACATCAATATTTTTTCTTCCAGAATAGTTCAATCTATTGCTAGCTTCAAAGTATGGAGACATTTCCTTCTTCCACAAATTTAAGAGAGCATGAGAGCATGTAAGTTTAAAATGATTCATGGTTGTTTCCACTAGTCATTATTTTCTAACCAGACAGTTTTTTTAAAACTTTCATACCCAACCAATGTGGAATCACCAATTGTAATTTGTTCAGCTATGTAGCTACACATCCTGTACAACTGAGGAGAGAATGACACAGGGACATGCACTGTTCAGGAGATAGCAGACATATCTGCCGGTAAATACACACTGCACATACAGTATGTTTACATTCTAGAGTGCCTTAATTGTAAGCAGGCCGACTGGAGGGGGAACATGTCTCTCATCGATGTCACTGCAATCCTACAAGTGCCTAGCAACAGGAATCGCTGTTGCTAAAAAATTCAAATAAATCTGATGGACTAGTCCCAACCCTACCCCTGATAGCATGCAGGCGATTCTGCACAGCTTGGGGGGATCCTTGTCACAGTCTGATATTGACTGACAAAGTGCCTTTACTACTGTTAGAAGCATTCAAAATCCAAAAGACACATTCACAATGGCAAGCCAGCAGATTTCGTCAAAATGAACAGTGAAACACGAACCAAAGGTCACAGAATTGAATATCGATTCAAGAACAGGAGCACCTGGTTTACTCGTAGGAAGTGTGGAAAAGTCACCCCAGCCATATTATTGTTGAACCCGATACCCTGGTTTCTTTTTAGAAACAGCTGGATGAGATCCCTGGTCTGCCAACTAACAAATGGGTTAGATAGGCCGAATGGTCTCCTTTCGTTTGTAACCTTTCTTTTGTTCCTAACCGGTAGAGTAACTTGAGAGCACTGGCAAATACAGGCAGCGCAAAAAAAAACTCAAAGCAAATTAGCTCAAAGCAAAAACGGGTGGAGCCACTGATCAAAGAAACACTGTGAAACACAGAGGTCACTCTAGCACAAAGAAAAGTGGCTGTAGAACCAGCTCTGCACATGGAAGCCTGAAAATGCATTTCAAGGGTATCACAGTCTCCACACAATCTTGCTGAAAACATTTTTGCTGTAGTTAGGCCCATCAGCTAAACAATTAAATAATTCCTTAAGACTGCTAGCAAGCTGGGAATCATTATTGAGTAGGAGGAGTTGAGTGTTCAATGGAACAGTTATACCTCTAAAGTCCAAGATCACATCAGTCACATACACCCAGAAGTGTCCCATCACAGGACATTCCCAAATCGTGTAAGTTACGTTTTGGTCATTCGTGCTCTACATCTGTGATGTTATGAGTGATCTTCATCTGCAAACCCAGGTCTAGTGCAGCATATGTTCTATGTACAAGTTAAAAAGGGAACAGGTGGCATGCTAACATTTTTATAGACAGAAAAAATATTTTTTGATGAAGAGAAAGTATAATATCAGATATCATTGAATACAGGACAATCATCAAACATTGGGTGTCTAACCCTGGTCCTGGAGAACCTCTGTAAAATTTGAGCTCACATGGTTTTAAAGATTGACAACAACTACTGATTAAATAAACAAGTAATCGGTTCAATTAAGAGAGGCCTGATCCTTATAGTGCATATATTTTGCATACAGATCTCTAATAGTTGTTATTTTTATACTTAATATAAATATAATAGTGTTAACAAATTAATGTGTCCATTTCAACCAATGCAAGTATTACTTTTTTATGCAGCCAAACAATTTCCATATTAAAAAACAATAATATACTGTATGTGAAACTTATTTTTTTTACTCGGCCAGGGCTCAACTGTTCTTGTTCTTTAGTTATGTATGAACTACTAAGAAATTATTGAAAGGTATTAAAAAAAAAAAGATGTGTCGAGTCAGATGACGTGTAAATCATATTCCATTTGTTCTATATGCTTTCTTTCAAAACTAAAGAAACATCTGTGAAAGAAAACCAGTGTGTTCATTATGAAAGCCCATTGAAGACTAATATAAAGCAATTCAGATAATCACTAAGCTGCTTTGAATGCCCCTGGATGGTACAGACATTATGATTGTAGGTTACACATATAATAATAAGCATATTATGTGGTATTATAAGGTTCAATATTTCTGCACATACAACAATTGATGCTAACGATACTGTATATTGTGCATTAGTAAGGACACCATCACAGCAACTCCAAAAGAATGTAAAAACAATGAAGAATTTGTACGTTTCTAGAAAATGGTACAAGGTAAGAGCATTGCAGCAGCTTTTCACAAAATTGTGAAGAACACCTACCATGATGAATGATGCTCTGGTCCAGTAGTTTCTGCAAAATCTTGATTGCCATTTCTCTGTCAGATGCTTCCTTATGCTCCATCAGCCAGTCAATCAGCTCTTTAGCTACGAAACAGTTGGGGTAGGTCCTGAGATGGTGCCTGCGATCTTTAATAACCTTTCCCTCATGGAGGCGAAGCCTGAATGAAAAAAAAAAATACAACATGTCACATTAAACCGCAGCGTAATAAAATTAGAAATAATCAGATATACCATAGTTAGATAACAGTGTGTTTCCATACTGTGGTAATAGTTATTATAAAGGTGATCAGGTCCATAGGTTTTTTTTCATTACATAAGGCAATGCCTCTGGGAAGTACATTTTGTATCTTTATAAAAATGCAGCTTTACTTCTTATGTTTATATGTTTAAGGTAAAAATAAAAAAGTCCAATTAGTTTACAGATGTTGGAGTAGTATCACGGAACCTAATGACTTGTGTCAGTCACTGTTTAATTTTCTAAGGGGTTACGCTCTCTGTGAACGGTATCATGTTGATTTCTCTTAAGCACTGTAATATTGGTAATCCTGGCCCTAAATCTGGTTTGCACGTTGACACCCTTGTAAAAAGTACAACTATGAATAATTTTCCAAGCATAACTGAAAACTGATGGTATCTCCCTCTTGTAAAGAGAATTTACCCTTATTAATACTCTCTCTTTTCTATCCATGAACTGTTTTCAACAATCCTTATTCACACATTACCTTGAATGCTTTCTGTGTTCAATTTAAGAATTAATATTTAATATGGAACCTCTGGTAGTCTAAATATATCATCGAATTTCCTCTGGTGGTCAAAGATGCTAGCTGAGAGTGGTTTCATGTATTACAGCTATGCCTAATTTTCTGTCCTATTTTAACATTTTCACAAAAGGTTGATTGTTATCAAACAGCAACACTGGCAAACCGAATAGCTCAGCCAAGTGCTGCATATATTGTAAGTATATGCTCCTCCAAGGCAGTAACATCAACAGCTACTGTCTCAGTTGCCCACCATGACCCAGAACCCACAGGCTACTGCATAATTTTCAACAGGATATTCTTAAAATAACTGTGCAGCAATATACAGCTTCAATTCTTGAGTCTGTCCTCTGGACTCTCACCACACAACATATGCAAAGAAATGCAATACTAAATTCTGTATTCAAATGGCCTACCACTTTGTTTAAATTACTTCCTAAAATATTGCATGCATAATGTTAAGAACTAGTTGTTGTTTCAGAAACACAAACTTTCATACTCAAATTTGCCATCTTGAATTTCATCCATCTTTTTTCTAAGCACTCTATCCTATACAGGGTTGCAGGGGAATTGGAGTCTATCCTGGCAACTGGTACAAAGCAGGATATACCCTGGATGGGATGCCAGTTTTTGCAGGACCCTCAAAGACACAGACACACTCAGACCAAGGTCACATTTCCCAGAAACCAATTGACCTGCCAGTGTAACTTTGGATTTTAGGAAGAAACCAGAGCAAATGGCAGAAGCCCAAGTGAACACGGGGAAAACACACAAACTCCACACAGATAGCACCCCCAGGAATTGAACCCCAGGCCCCCCAGTGTTGTGAAACAGCAATGCTGACCAGTGTGCCAGCTGCTATTTGTATTCCTGTTTGTTTGATTAATCATTTTCTGCACTTTTAAGAGGGGCTTTCGTCCCATAGCGACGTGCATACAGGAGAAGATCCACTTCATCCACAGGGTCGTCCACAGCAGCTGTTTTGTGTCACCAGCCCCTCTACACAGCAGGTCAGGTGGAGAAGGGATAATTTAATTCTCTTAACAGAATATACTGCCAATAACACAGATATTTTTAGAAGCATACAGGAAATATTCCATTATCTGTCAATTTTAAAAAGGTTTATCTTCTCATTCTAATTAAAAGGTTAATTTTCAGAAATAGGAAAGGAAATAGTCTATGATGCATTTCAGGACATACATGGACAAAACACAGATGTCCTCTATTTAACATTCTACAACTTTCAGTGCTCCAGGTATGTGATGTTATGAATTTTGATTCATATCTCCAGACAGATACGGTGGCACAGTGGCACAGTTGTTAGCACTGCAGCCTAGCAGGGTGAATCCTGCGTTGCTTGCAGGGCTAGGCTTAGACTCCCCTACAACCCTGACTTGGATAAAGCAGTTAAGCTTGGATGGATCTCACTACAGATGTGACAAATGCTACATGAAGTTAATCAGCCACAAACAGTTGATGAGCCAGGATCCAAAGTCAACATGTTTCATCAGGTGTTTGTAGCTTAAGAGACCTTGGGGAGTTCAATAAATATTAAACCAAGCAAGACTAACAAGTAGCTGTGGCAGAAAATGAACAAGGAGTGCATCACTTGTGTTGCAATCTGTAATGTGGCTTGTTTAGGTTAAATACACAATAAAAGATAATCACAAGCTGAATTATTAGTCTATGAAAAAAGTAAAAAAAGTCAAAAGTTTTTCTGGACACATTATTTTATCAATTATTTTAAACAAGCAAAATGTTTGATTTGATTCATCCAATGTTAATTTCTTGTACACTGTTTGTGTACAAGGAAATAAAAAATAATTTACTATATATTCAGCAAAAAGACAACCAAACATTGGCTGCTATGACTGTAATGGCTGTTCATAATACAAATCATAAAACCATCAGCCCAGCTTGCTAAAATCAAAACACAATTTAGCAAGTATTATATTTCTATTTAGCGTTTTACACACACATTATGGCATGGATACATTTGCTGAAGGAAACTGCTGTTAATTCTGTTGCGTTGCTTTTGTAGGTGGCTATCTTTAAAAAAAATTGGAAAAGAAAATAAACTGAAAAATGTAGCTAGCCTTTAACACACAGAAGACTAAAATTCTGCTCCAGCTGCTAAATATCGTGAGGTCCCTTGAGGTGTAGCAAATGTCTTGTGTAAAGAAAATTAGCTGACTGTGCTCTTACATGCCATCAACTATAAACAGATGCGAAAAAGGTCACATATGAGAGTAAGCTAAACAAATGTAAAGTTTTCTTTTAATTCAAATGTGACTTTTTAATCTTCCTTATCAGCTGTTGTTGCCTACAGTATGTTGGTAATCATACATACTGTAATATTGTACTTTTCTTGCAACAATATAGTAGGGTATTTATATTAATACTAGTATAAACAACACCCCTGATTGGAAATCAGGAAATCAAAAAGTTCGTGAAAATGTGCACAGAAATTTGGAAACCATTCTAAACAAAAGGGCCTCAGACTGTGTATTTTCCTATGATACTGACCTAGTAGTTCAAAGCACTGGGACTAACTCTTACATGAAAAGCAAATATAATGTCATCAAATTTTTTAACAGAAGACGCATTCTGTTCAAAAGGGACTGATGAACTTGGCAAGTCCAGAGTGAACATACAGTAAACTTTATACTACACGTTTTATGCTAAATTTCCTTCTATAAAGATGTGATAGTGACCTACTGACAAGCACCTCATTTTATGGGTGTTTAACTCTTCATGCCAGGAACATTCTTTAAACAGCAGAGAATGAAAACAGAATATGGAAATGATTTGACAAATTACATGGTGATATTAACGGGTTAGCTGAAGCCTTAGTACAGCAGGTGTTGCTCCCGTTAATATCACCATGTAATTTGTCAAATCATTTCCATATTCTGTTTTTATTCTCTGCTGTTTTCAAGCAGGGGTAACCACTCTCGCCTCCAAAAAATCCGGAAGTAAAATCCATTACTTTAAAGGAACATTTTAAGATATGTGTTCAGGTGGGTAGCTGTGTCAGCATGCGTAGGCTGCAAAGGAACAAGTAATAGGTTTATTCCATGCTGAAAAAAGAAGAAAGAGAACACAACGTTTCGACCGTGGAGCCTTCTTCAGGTGTGAGAGAGACAGGGCAGTAGGCAAAGGTAAAGTAGCGGGAGAACAAAGGTTGGGAGGGAGGAGGAGTGAGAGGCGGGAGCAGGGGACAGAAAGAGAGGCCAATCAAGAGGTGTGAAGTCAGAATGGGTGCAGAGAGGTGTGAAATGAAACTTCCAATGAATGGAGAAAATTTAAAAGAACAGTAGTCTGTCGTTAAGAGAAGGATATGGTTATTTTAAGATATGGTTTGCAATAACTACTGTGCGATCCAGGTAAATACTTCAGCCTCTCAGTGATCTTTTACCTACAAATCGACTTCCATGACAAGCCCAGACACTTTCACACAGCCAGTTCGTATCTGGGGTTCTCCTCACAATCTCAACTCCACCCAGTCCTTGGCCACTGAACACTAAATTTAGAGTCAATCTGATGACCACGGGGAGCCAAGTCATTGTGTAATCTGACAACAGAATTTTACTTTTCAAAAGTCTGCAATATGTTCCATCTGCCTATGACAATGAACTCAGAAGATGCTTTATACCCTTTTTAACAAGCAAAAGAAAGGTTTCTCATGTAAAGAAAAGTATTTTTTCCTATTTGCATGAGCTGTCTGAGAAAATATGACAAAATATACTGTATACTATATGTTACCTATGTATTATGGAGCTTTAATCAACTTTAATTCACTGTACACTAAAATAAAAAAGATCAATTGAGCTTGTACAACATATTTTTGACTCACAGGCTTATCCGCATGGAGATTAATTTAACAGATGTTACAGACTCCAAACAGGCTCCAAAGGGAAATGACTTCACTTTCAGTTCTCAGTATATATTTTCATGAAAACTAAAGGTGGTAACAAACACTCAGACTTCTCCTTTCCTTATTGTTTTATGCTTGTTACTTCTAATTTTCCAAATTTTACAACTATGTTAATAGTTCATAGATCATAACAATACCAACAGATCAACATCAACAATAGATGTGTAATGCATTTTATATGGAAACTTCATAATCTGTTTTAATTACCTTTAATAACTGTAAATTCCTGTAAATTCATGAATGTAATATTTGATTTCTTTATGACGGGCTGTTAGGCACTATAAGGGATGCCCTCTATTATTTTTATATTTTTATCCAATTGCAAGTGTTTCTCTAAACAAAGGGTACAGATGAAAGGTCAAAGCTGTTGCAGCTTTACTTTCTCTAGGAGTGTGCTTGGCAGCAAATGTCATAATTCCTAAATTAAATTCAAATCATGCTCTTCAGAAGCACTAAGAAACTGTCTCTGTTGTAACCCGTGACATTGAGACAGCAATTAATTCACTGACATTATTGGGCTTATTTTCCAATCTTCAGCAAACATAACCATGTCGTAGTTTGAAAACAATTTTACTTATGTAATTAGCAGCATGGCCTTCAGCCAAATTTAAAAAATGGAGAAAAGTTATAAAACAGCATGTCCATTTTTCAGGAATCTAAAAAAAAACACTTAACATTGAATACTTTTTAATTGTCACGGCATTTGGATTGGTGGCCATGGTTCAAAGGAATTTCTGGCTGAAGCCCACAATCGTATCTCTTATCTGCAGAAACACAGAAGGCAACACCAAGAAGAGGATAAGACAAGCTTTGCTTCCACTAGACTTCTTCTTTGAACTCTTTCACACTATCATTCCACACCTGCACACTGGACAAAGCTAGTCTGAGCGGTGTTTTATATTTTTTGTTTTATATTCAAAATGGGGTAACTTAATCACCTTATTAAAAGTGCTTAAAGTTGCTTATTAAAGGAAATAACATGTTTTTTTCTTATCTGAAGCACTTTTATGTGTGAAATTGTGTTAATAATTGCTGCCTCTTGTTCTGAACTTAAGATAATGATTGTTTGACTTTTATGTTTGCGTGCTGTTAGCCTGTTACCTATTATAACACTGCTCATCTATGGTTTAGATAAACGTGCCACAAGACTTCTCAAGTGGAAATATTAGCACCATGCTTCAATATCTATACATACAGTATATATCTATCCAGAGATAATATCTAAATATATATTAAACAGATAAAGGAACCAGTAAACTTTGCAAGTCCAAAGTTAACATACAGTGAACTACTTCACACATTTTATGCTAAATTTCTTTTAGTGACCTACTGACAAGCACTTCATTTTACAAGTGTTTTAACTCTTCATACCAGCAGCCTCTTCAGACTGTTATCTGAAACTTGGGTACAGTAACTGGGGTCTATGCCCGAGTAATGGACAAAACCTGCTACGTCTCCAGAACATGAAGAGTAGATTGAAGTGGCCCGAGTGCTTGGTCAGGAAACCCACCAGGCATGAAGATTTTCACCGAAGAACCAGTAGGAACATCCCATTAATATACAGGAGAACTGCAGTCACAATTTCTCACATTGTCTTGGTGTCGGTAACAAAATAAATGAATTGACGGTATAGGAAAAAAAATGAATGACAAATTCAGAATTAAGCACAAAATCGTGCACTTTATGAAATGACTGTATGGTCTCCATTTTGTCGCCAACCCCTGGTCTCTCCAAGAGCGAGAGTTTGGGTAATAGTGATGTGAGGCAGCCCTTTGTGAATGTGCTGCAAACTCACACACCCGGATTCCCAACCTGAGCTCCTCAAGTCAGTATGCTGCTTCCCTTGTGCACGACAAGTGCCCTGTTCACATTTCACAAAACAACAGGTGTTCCTTCAAGATGTAGCTTGTCACGCGTTTTTGTGTGAATGTTTTGGGCCCGGACATCTCCCTCCCCCCCAAAAAAAAAACAAACAAACTACAATCGCCAGCTCCGGTCGTCGTGCAATGCAAAGTCGTATTTCACCGTGCACATGCGAGAGTTCAACAAAAGCAAAAACCGCAAATGCTGTATCGTTTCAGGGGCTGAACCCACTGCGTCGCCTCGGCTCCTCGAGTCAAACGCGCGCGGAAGAGCTCCTCCTACCTCAACTGCTCCCCAGTGACCAGAACCTCCGCCACGCGCTCCAGCTCTGCAGCCTTCTTCTGCATGGCGTGCTCGATTCCTTCCATTTCTAGGGACCTGTTTCTAAGAAACGGGGTTAAAACATGTTACGCCTCAGAAGAGACAACTTCATAAAGATAAGACCTAAACATACATCACGCCAAATGTGTTTTAATACCGTGCGGTGTTAACGAAAAGGCGTTCACGTTTTTAACATGCAGCACGGCAATTATTAATAGAAAAAAACTGCGTTTCCTTTAAATCTACCTTTGCGCCGTCGGTTGCCTTTATTAAAATCCGTTCGTCTATTAACGACTTAAGAAATGACATTAATGCTCTGGGGATTAAAGGCGCGGTCTAAATACAGCAAACTATGGTTATCAATGTTCTGTCAAAGACAGCTCCATTGTATAAAAAAATGTTTTAAATTAAACACTTACCTTAACATTCCAGGTATTGCTTCGATTTAAAAAGTGGAAGTACCCTACATATTGTATTCGTGAGGCAGGCTGAACTTGACAAAAGCGGAGATACTCATTTTTAAATGTTATTTATCATTACACGCCGAGCCACCTTAACCCATAAATAGACGATCGCTTTGAATTACCCACTTCACCCCACCTCTCAAACAGATAATTTCCAATTTTATGTCTAAAAATAAAACGCAAAGCTTCAAATTATTACTGAATTGAAGAAGAAATTACCAGCCTAGAAGCCAGTGGATCTATGCGGACGGTAATTAATAGAGTAGCATTCCACAATCCATACGTCTGTCAGTACCAGAAACCCTTTTTTTCTCAACAGTTCGCTATATACTAGGTGAATATTATTATAAAGCATACAGTTTTTTGCGGATTCTAATTTTGCATTCGATACCACGACACTGTGCTGTGCAGACCTAACACTCCAACTGCTGCATTTCAAAACGGATCAGACTACATGCATTCCTGGGTGGTTACGCGATAAAACCGTTGGAAACCCAGGAATACACTTCTTCGGGTTATCAGACAGATGTCAAACGGACCGGTGTGTCCTGTTGGCCGCAGATAATCCCATTCGCTGTCACATTCCCGTTTATTTACCAGTGCACTAGGTGAGGCACGTTTGAGTCTTTGTGGCGAGCCTGCCCACTAGCTAGGGCTGTCACTGGGGGGAGTTGTCAGACGAGGCGGGGCGTGGAGTTGTTTTTCTCAGCAAACAACCTCTTGCGAAATGCGAGTCGATAGATTTAAGTTAGTGCTTTATCTTAACAGGTGTCGGAACAAGAAAAGCAAATGCAAAATATTATAAACTTCCAATTTGACCCTTTTGGCATCACACTGACAAATAAGACAGAAATTTTGATACCGGCCAAGACCACCTTTTGTTCCTTTTTTAACTTCATTTTTTGTGAAAACTGATTATTTTTCCATAGTTTTCCATAAATAAAGTGTGGGAGTTTTTTTATATAAAGCAATTTAAAATTCACAATGCATAAAACAACTGCTCCTATTTTTTCCATATGTAACTTTGGCATAAGTACTGCAGCCGATGTCGTGGATCACTGGTGTGGGTTCTGACGCTTTGCCATTGCTCGGTCTCGGCATGCTGAAAAACATCGACCGATCATGGTCGTCTTGTCAGTCTCTCTGTCTTTAGTCCCTGAGACACTGAACATGTCTAGATGCTACTCTCATCGCTCACTGTCTTTTCTGACTGTAGAATCTATGCAGGTCGGCGGGTTGGAGAGAGAACACGCTGCTGACAACTTGGTCATTAAAGATCCCAGGGGGAATTGCTCATAAAGGGGCGTTAACCCTCGGTGCCCTGGCTAAATTACATTTTGGGTTTGTATGATCTAGCCATCCTGAAGTTTCCCCTTTAATCCAACAGGTTAAGCAGTTTGTCGTTTGTCCACCCGTTGGTACACATTGGCGGCCACAGGTCCACATGTCACCAGGAGGGTTGTGCGCACCTCGAAATACGTTTTCTGTAGGTCACGGACGTCACCTCTCGGTCTTTTACCTGCAGTTACTGTTACGCCGCTGAGAATAGAAATCTGGCATTACTAACAGACGCGTTAAGATAAGACATTTAAAGATGAGTAAGTACGCCTTTTAGTGGTTGGGTAATTAGAAGAAAGAAAAAAACAATAGGTGATACAAAGAATAAATAATGCTTTTCATGGGGTTTAATCAATGCGTACCATTTTAAATGTTAAATATATGTATATGAAGATATGATAATTGTAAATCAAAACAAAAATGATTGCGAACGTAGGTGTGTTGAACCTTATATTGTACTGGAAAAAGCGGGTGAAATGCAGCACTATTGCTTTGATATCTTCAAATCATTTACTATCACTTTTTCACTTGTAAAACTGTCAGAGGTGCATTCATATGTCATATGCAATATATATTCACGAATATATGCACGAATTCTAAATACAAGCAACCATTACAGGGCACAGAACAGGAACAGCATGGACAAAAATCTTTCTTAATCATACATGAGAACGCATTTTGTTGAAAAACACTCAGGCATACACGCAAAATCGGTAAACGAAAATGATGCGGACATCCACTAACACTAATTACCAGCGCATTTTTAACTGAAAAAGAGTACTGTACTTCATTCACTAAATAGTACGTCGCAGATGACGTAGTAGTTCCGTGTTTCTCATTGGTCAAGTATGTTGTCAATCAAATGTTCTGTGTACTTCCTGTTAGGAATGCGGGAAAATCTAACGGGGAAGACGTCTTCGGAGAGACCTATTTTTATGTACACAAAACCTTTAACGTATTCGTTAAAATGAGGACACTAGAGGAGGTGAATGCAACATTACAGATCGCTAAACTCAAAGAAGAAGACTTGCAGTCCGTAGTTCATTGTTTTTCTTTTGCGGAAAACGTTTCGTCTGAGGATTATTGTCTGATGGAATTAGACGAAACTCTGTGTAAACACATTGAAGACGGCAAGAGGTAAATTTGGCAAATATTTCGTGATGTATATTTGGATCTACAGTGTAGGCGGATATTTTAGACTGTGGAACAGCAATCCTGTACTGAATTGTGTTCATCATACTGTAAATGGCAGAATACAATATATGAAACGAGATTAGCTTTCTAGTAAAAGGAGCCCTCTAGGGTTAATCACTTTAGTTGTGAACAAATTTATTCATATAAAGGGTACGTATTCATTATAATCCAAATATTTATTGCCTTCTTATTTTTATGTTTCAAGAGCTGTTTAAAATAAGCCCTGTACTAACGCAGTTGTTTCTGTTTTTCACAGTCTTGTCATAAGAGGAGATAAGAATGAGCACGCTGTACTGTGCAGCGAAGACAAGACATACGACCTCAAGATAGCCGATACGTCCAACCTGCTTCTCTTTATTCCAGACTGCAAGACACCCGACCAGTTTCCAGAAGAAACAGGTAGCCAAAAGCTCATTCAGACTCAGGTATCTCTCGTGACCTTTTACTTTTCATCACAAACACAAGGTCTTATTCAGACTCACTAATGAAATGGTCATCATACATGCATGAATGCACTTCATGGTGATATTTAACGATTTCCGGGGCTCTATGCCACTCATTATCACAATGAGGGCACATGTTAGCATTTAGTCTCTAGTCTATTTAATCTGTTAGGATTCCTGTCTCCAAACATGCTGTGGAAACCCTAATCGCTCCTAACCATTTTTTTTTTCACAAAAGGAATCATGAATTATATAGGACGTTACTTGAATTGCCAACTGATATTTGCACGCTTTGTTTTCTTTTTTTGCCCTTATTTAACTATTTAAAGTTCAGTCTCATGATTTAAGCAGAACGAATGATTGGTGATGTCATAGATTACAGTTGTTCTCTGAAGCCAGCTGGCAGTGCACATTGCATAAACTTGTGCTATGCTGATAAACCTCGCTTGCTCATGTTATCACATGAGGATTTTAATAAAAACAAATAGCAGCGAGAGTACACAAGAACATAATGGAATCCCATAATTGAGTCAACAGGAAAAGGCTGTTGAATTTGATTCCTTTTAAGAGCCATCGTTGAGTATGTTGTGGTTTCAGCTCAGATTTGCAGTAAAAGAGCTACAACACAAGAAAACAGGCTTAAAAAACCATGATCAAGAGCAAGAGATCAGTGGTCCATGAGTTCAGGTTGTTAATTTGCCCTGTTTAGCAAGTTTGTAAAGCTAAGGCTTCACTGAAGCACTATATAAAAATTGAATCCCAGAGTTGTAACTTAGTCTCCGCAATCTTAATGTGGAATGAGAGAAATGTGGGTGCTTTGTGATAACTAGAAAAATGCTTGCTGCACTCCAAAAGTGCACAGTAACTGCACAGCTCCGTCCTTACCTGTTTAACAGGTGAATTTTAGGTAACCTGACCCATACAGTCAAACAGTTGTTATTTCACTCAGTTGTAAATTCAGTATGTTAAGCAATTACATCACTGAAAATGCCACAGGTGGGTCTTTTTTAAGAGCTTGTCCTATCTGGGATGAAGTTTATATTTTTAATGAAATTTGAAATATGAAAAATGCATGATCATCTAGGACAGCAGGAACATTTAACTGCGATCAAGTTCAGTAAACGTAAAGTTGGATGGATATGGAAAAGAGTTTTGAGTGTGGAACTATATTAGTGTGCGAGCTATAAATGAAGGAGAAATTCATTTTATGATGAAATGTGACCTTGTAGTCTTCTTCAGGTGTGAGGGAGAATGAAGATGAGAGTGTGAATATGATGCAAAACTGTGGATAAGTAGGACAATTAGTTGATAATGGAGAGCTGGGGGAAGCGAAAACCTAGTTTATGGATAATTTTGGCTTCTGATGTCCTTCTGGAGTCAGAGTCCTACAGTTCCCATGACAGCAGACATTAAGAAAGGTCTGTGTGATCACTGCAAGGAGAGGTAAAATTAGGAGCTATCAGCTTGGAGAGGTCTATTTCTAACTTTGTTTTTTTAAAACAATCGGCCAGGTCTTCTTCCTGTTTCATCAATGTAAATGTCCGGGCCCTTTCTACAACAGATGCAGTGAACAAGTTTATTGGACAATCTGGCCTCTGGATGATCTTGAAAAGGCCAGAGTGTTATGGAAGACAGGGAAATAATACTGCTGTACAAATACTTAATTCCCATGAAAGCTCTAACAGGATTGGCATTGTTTTAATTGCAGTTTTATTGTAAAAAGGATATTTAGAGGCACATTATAATAAATGAATTTGTTGTGAGTACATGGATACAGACACTAGTCAAGGAACAATTCAATCTGACCTAATGTTGGTTCTGTTGGTCTTTAAAAGAGGTGTTTGGTTTAGTATAAAGGAATGGATGACATAATTCATCTTTTATTTTACTGCTCTGTCCTTAGATTTCAGGGTTTTCCAATTCCTACTGGGAGCTTAGGAGATGCCGCCCAAAGTTAAAGAAGCTGAAGAAACTTCTGATGGAGTATCCCTACGAAGGACCGGAAGGAGAACAGGAGAGGGAAGGTGCTAAAGAAAAGGTGCGTTTTAAAAACAATCTTACCTCCCGCCTGTCACTCATGTGAGAAGTGTTTCTCTGGCAAAACGTAATTAATCCATCAGTGGTGAAGGCATTTTGGTGCACCAGTTAGTCACACTCAGGCAATAATGCATTCTGACAACTAAGCAACCAGTTTCCAAACCACATTACTGAATATGCTATTAAAACATAAGAGCCCACGGTGCTCTTTCTCAAGCACATACAGTGCTTGCCAGATGTATTGGGACAGGAAAGTCAGCACTGTTGTTTTTTGCTTTACAAAAGCAGGTTTTGTACAAGCACGTTTTTGTGATCATGAGATTAATATGAATACATGCAGTGTAATATATTTTGGATAATTCCATGCAGACATTTGATCATATTAGACTAAAAACATTTTGTGCTCAGCCCAGTGATTTCAAGTGATCGTACATATCGAGATGCACCTACCTCTAAATAATTTTCATAGTGCTTATGTCAGAATTTGGTTGCAGATCCCTTTGAGGCGATACCTGCTGCAGGCACTTGGAGTTGGTCTGCTCTTTTTGGAAACTTCTCGAAATCTTTTGACTTAATTATTTCTTTCCTTCATCATTTAAAATGCTGCTCAATTGCACTAAAATCTGGAAATGAACTTGGCTGGTGCAGGATTTTTCAATGTTTATTTCTCATGATGAACTCCTTGGCTTCCTTGGCAGTATGTTTTGAGTTGTTGTTATTCTGTAGCATGGAGTGTTGTCCAATAAGTATGGAAGCATGTTTTCATTACGTAAAGCAGACAAAATGTTTCTGTAAACTTCAATGTTTCTGACCTACCATCAATATTATGAGTTACATCAGTAAAGACCAGTGAGGCACTTTCCGGCCATGAAGTTGAAGTTTGCTTCCTGTTCCATTTTCAAGTGTCTTCTTAGCTTTGCGGTTTAGCAGGTCTGGTTGAGCAGCTACACATTGCTGTACCTAAGGTGATTTAGATGGTGTTGTTTGCTTTCCTTTGTATAAATATTATGTCTTATGGTTTAGAGGAGTTTCTTCTCGGAAATGCCAAAGAAACAGGAAATCTACAGAATTTAATCAAAGGGTCATCAGACCTAAGTTGTTTTTTCACTGCAGGGCGCTTTTTCCTTGGCCAGTTCCTGTAAAAGGTTTCACTTCCTTGTCCCCGAAAGAGGAATTGAAGTAAACACAGAAACATAAAACACATTTCCTTTCCAAATCTACAATAATGCTTTGACAGAAGTCCCATGGAAAGTGTTTTTCCCTCTTTAAGGATTATGATTCCAAAGTATGGTTTCTCCAACGTTAAGATACGTCCAATCATTGTTTTGCAGAGAAACTAGTGAATGCAACTGTTCACTTATATATTTTCAACTGTTACCAATATTTTAGGAGGCAAATAATCTGTTCAGTATGCAGTACTTAATCTTATTTCATTATGTGAAGTACTTTATGGTCTGCAATTATTTTTTTAACTGTTTCAGTATACAATGGAAGACTTGCAGGACAGAATTCAAGCAAGCACCAAAGAACTGTTTGCTCAGCTTCAGAATATTCATGCCTGCAACATAGGCGGTATGTATAGCTCAAATAAAGAAATCAAAAGACAATGTTTATAACCATAGCAGCACAAACTATTATTTAGTTTCACATATTTTTATCTTAAATGAGTGTTGTATGTCAACTGCTTTTTTAAAATTTAATTTCTTGTAACATGTCTCTTGGTGACCTTACTTTTTGGATACTCTATAGATATTCCAGTAGAAATAGTTTCTTTCATAGGCCCAAGCAGAAAATAATAGTGGGGAAAAGAACACCATCACTGCACAGTAGGCCAACATTAAAGTCTAATTATCAATCATTTTATTATTATTTGTTTAACTGACGCCTTTATCCAAGACTTTAATTTAAAAATTGACAGTGTCAGTGATGCGGATTGTCACTTTGTTAGAATGTGGATTGAGACCTGTTGCGTGACAGGTGGCTTGTCTAATCAGTTTTCCGTAATATTTCCTCCGCATGTCTTTAATAGGGTACTGGAGGATCTTGGATTCAGATTACGAAATTAAACTTTTGGGTCACGTTACACAGTTAGTGGACTCCGAATCGTGGTCCTTTAGCAAAGTGCCCTTGAGTGTCTGTCTGGAAGAGCTTGGACCTCTTGAACCACCGTAAGTACGTGTAAAAAATGTTAATGTGAAGTGATTTTTGTGAATATTTTTCAGGTCAGAGATACTTCAGGATTATAAAAAACAAAAGTACTAAAAGTTCACTCAGTTGTTGACAAATATAAATATAATAAATGAAAGTGTCTTGAATGTTTTTAGTTTGTGCGTTGTGTGTGTGAGTGCAGTCTTTTGACTTGCTGTTACAGCATTCAAGAGAACCCAGCATCTAAATTCTGCTGCAACCAGTGTTGCAGTTTTAGCAAATCTATGGCAAAATTAGGAAAACCTAAAGAGCTAAAGGAGGAAGAAGTGACCATCTTTGTGTCGATCGTGTTTAGTGATAAATCTTTTTTTTTTTGCCGTTCTGCAGAGAATTTTATCTTATCTTATTTTATCTTTAGAATTTTTGCTGTTCTGCAGAGCTGCTAAATCATTAATCATCCTTTTAAATGTTAAATTGCCTTTGGCATTTTTAATGGCACTTTACATTTGTTCCTTAACACCTTTTCATTCTGAGACTGTCGCTGCTGAAGGCCTCATTCAAATTGATTGCTCCATACGAAATACGAAAGAGCAGCGCATGCAGATCAGAGCCTCAGAAGTCAGGAGATGGGGGAAAGGGAAAGCAGGCAGAATGCTAAAAATGACTAATAGAAATGCTCGGCTTGCTGCATATGTGAGGGTTAAACAAATCTATAATTGTCTTTATCATATTTAACATATCATCTAGGATTTTATATTTTTTAACAGTGTGGCAACTTTTTGGTTGAAAAGTGATGTTTGTGGGTTGTTTTGACGTCTTTTTAGTTTTGGGCATCTGGCAACATTGTCTGTAAGTTGAGGGACACTTTATCCTTGTTTAGCTTGTAGTTGTACGTAGAATAAAGGGAGCTTCTTGTAGTTTTACAGGTCATTAGTTTTCTCTGATGTTATTTCAGCGCTCTTGGTCTCAATACTTATTTTTCCTCTCTATAGTTTAATACAGAAGTAAACACTAGACACAATTGCTGTGGCCTGTGTTTATATTGTGTTCAATTCTAAGTTGCAGTGTTACAAACTGATTTTTTCTTTTTTGTTTGCCATTAGTCAATGCTGAAAATCAAAATGTAACAAAGTGTTTTAAAGAACTTTGAATCCATTAGGCTATGTTTAATGCATTTGTAAGCTTTTATTGTCTAAAGTCAAAAATTGAATTACTCCTTTTCATTTTTCCTTGAAACCATCATGGTACAAATATAAAAGAACACCGCAGAATGTCATGACTTACTATCATTGTATGTAGCCAACAGTTTTAGCATCTTGCCTTATTTCCTCTGTAGAACATTTCAAGGTACAGTACATTCAATTACATGTACTTTATTAAACGCATAATCTTCTGGAAATGTCTGGTCTCTAGACACCTCTTCCTTTTTTATTTAATTTGTTCTTTCTGTTTTAGAGAGATGATAGAACATTGCCTGAACTGTTATGGGAGGCGTTACACCAATGAAGGTAAGGATTTGAGGTTGGATTTGTTTTAAGCTGTAACAGACGTCTTCAGTGAAAGTTCGGGAGGAATGATGGAAACCAAATCCCCCCATCATTTCTGCTCTTCTAACTTGTAATACTCTGTGACGTCAATTCCTGAAATGCTGTAAAAAGTAAGGCCCTCTCCTGCTCGCGTTAATTTTCTTTTGCATACCTCCTCCACCCCTTCTCCTACTTTGCTCCTTTGTTTCTCTCAGTTTCACTCTGCATGAGGGTCCCAATGGTTGGCTGTCAGCCAACCAGGTAAAGCCAAAACTCTTTATTTCAATCTTTTTTTCTCAGAAACGTTCATAACTCATTTACTAATGGGATTTTGTTATTCCTCGTAAAATCCCTGTTTTTAGAAAGCAGAGTGCAATAGGAATTCTGCTGATATGCTCTGTAAGCTTATTTGGATATAGACACAGATTGCTCTGTCTCAGAAGTGTCAGTCTTCACTGCATTAACACTTAATAATGTTGTTGTAATGTCGAGTAGCTTTTTTGGGGGATTTTGAGGCACATGATTAAAAACACTATGTATGATGACAGCACAGATCACCATTACCAATTAACATCACATTACCATTCTTCAAATGAAAGGTTACAAGTTTTCACTGTATTTTGAAAATTTGTCCATCAGTTTAATGAATTAAAGAACATTTGGGATTTCTTACTTCTAACAAAATATAGCAGCAGTTCAGCTAGTTGAGCTCTATGATGACGGGTTCGAGCCATGATCTTGTCACTAGTCACTTGTAACTGTAGTTCCCTGAGCTGCAGTGTGCATTTGGCTGAGTGCCTCTGAGAACTGGGTGAGAGGAACTGGTCAGTGTTTTCTTGGTTCTCAGTGACCCCAGGACTTGCAGGCACACGGTGGTGGTCAGTGTGGGCAAGTTTCCTCTCCATTGTTTGCTGAATGTCTTCTATGGGCAGTGTAGGAGATGATTTATTCAAAGCTCTGAAAAAACACACAGCTTTTAACAAAAATAATTGAAGAGTTTAAAGTTTAAGAAATGTATTAGCACATATAAATACATTTTTTATAGACGGTTATAAGTTGTCTGAATGATTTTGATTATTATACATAGTTATGAAACCCACAACAAGTAATTTTTATAGTTTTAGACATGTTTTTTACAGATCTCGCATCTAAAGAAGTGTGATTTTAAAAGGAGGGAAGGCAAACATGGACAGTTCTTTAAGTTATAAGCATCCCCTTGCTTTATATTTGAGGAATTTTAGCTAATTTTAGCAACTCTTTGAGGAGAGGTAACGTTCATTAATATTAGAATACCTGGAATCCTTTAATTTTCATAGTTGCCCACCACTCCACGCTTGAAGTGTTGTTTGACATCTATTCATCCAAACGATTTCTAACTGCATCTTACAGTTCAGCGTCGTCCCCATCTGCTGGGGAGGCTAGCGGTGTAAAACAGCCTGGTCGCTACATTGTATTTAGAAGTAAAATTCTTAGATCTTTCCTGTTTTATAGAAATCTTTTGTCTCTTCCACATAATGTATGATATTGAATAAAACATTGTTTTCCTATGCATGACTACTGTATGAAGATATGCTTGTAGAGGATGATGAGGTGTAGTGATTAGCATAAACTTCCCCATTTCGGTTCACTGACCCGAGTACCTCCTTGTCCTGTTTCACTAAAAAGGGAAGTTCCCTGTGGCCTGTGGTGCTAAATTAGGAATTGTTGTAGGTTATTTCTCTCTTATGCTGCTCAGAGGGCTTTGAAATGAATTTCCTTCCTTTCTGTTACACAACACATGTCTTTTGTATTAAAGTAAAATATAATGCTTTACTATATTCTTGACATTCATGGAATTTACTCACATCTAAAAATTCAATTTGTGATCCAGAAAAACATATTTAAAACATGCTCAGATGTTGATTTGTAATATTATTGGACATTTAGTAATCATTACACAGTAATCACAAATATCACTGATAATCAAGCAAGTTAAAACAGTTGTTGCTTTTTCATTTTAACACTAAAGCTCAGCAATTACTGTATCAGGTTTCCTGGTGGCAGTCATTTCTATTTGATGCTCAACTTATAATTATTAGATTTTATAATTTATTAAGAAAGACATTTTGCAGAGAAGAGTATGTTTGTAATTCTGTCCTTAGCATTGCACTGTAACAACATCTATTAAAATGAGTACTTGTTATGAATGGACGTTAAACAGAACTCGTTTTGTAAACTATTTGATATTTTAATGCTTGGTATTTAACTGTCTTGGAAATGTCCTATAAATTTCTGAATCTTAAGAAGGTTATGAATAGGAAAATAATTTATCTTTGGTTTTCTTCCTTTAGTAATCTTGACTCCTAGCAAGTGAATGTGTAAGTGGGGGTACTTTTGTAAGCCTTACTTTCATGAGATGGTGCCAAAATATCCATTTTGTGTTGCTGGAATGTTCACTGTTCATTGTACCCATCCAGTGATATCTTGTTCTTGCTTGTTTTTTCAGCTGGTGAAATTCACTTCTCGCTAAATGAAGACAAAGTCTGCCGAGCAACTGCCCAGATGCTGTTGCAGAACGCAGTGAAGTTTAACCTCTCCGAGTTCCAGGAGGTGTGGCAGCAAAGTGTTCCTGAGGGCATGTTAACAAGTCTAGATCAATTAAAGGTAGATGTTAACAGTCACCCTGGCAACTGGGTGTAGGTCCAGACCTGAAAAAATGAATTTCTTGTGTTTATATCGAGCTTCCACCACTCAGATATAGCACCCACCTGTGACACATGGGGCAGCCATAATGCACTGGCATCTGTACATAGTAGTATAGGGAGAGAACTGAGAAACGACTTCATCAGTGTAATTAAGGGATAGCATTAGGAAGGCCATATTGTACAAGCCCAAAGTAGAATTTTACCTTCGATACCGGGGTACCAAATAAGATTGATTGATTGCATGCAATTGATCTCCTTACTTGTTTAGATTTTTCTGCGCTCAGTCTTTGGTTTTGTTTTCTAAGTGTATTGTTCCATCGACTTCATCAGAGCAGAAAGTTTTTCAGTATCTCCTCAGCTTCATAATTTATTAATGTATGCCTTATTTTGACTTCAAATATTTTAATAAGCAGCCAATTTATTGTGGACAGACACAGATGAGAAGGCCACTGCATCAGACACTCCCACAAGGAGTGTTGAGTATTTGTTGTTTCTGCTTAAGTCCAGTTGGTTACGTTTCCATGCAGCACACATGTACGAGGGCACTAATAAAACCCAGCAATGGGGGGGAGGGAGTGCATGTGAATTACAAACCCCAAACAGTGATTCAGGAATCAATTTGCCTGGGTTTAAGAACTTCACCAGAACAAAAACTAGAAGAGAACCACTGTCCTGTAGAACAGTGCCACCATACTGGGACATCATTTTTATGGGAATTGTGGTCCATAGGCAATTCAACACCATTCGCAGCAGCAACCTTGTATTCCTTGGAGGCCTCTGAGTTTCGTTTTCCTTTCAGTTTTCAAATGGAATTTCAATATGGGCTTACTCATCATTTCTAAGAAAGTATCATTTCTAAATTTGCCTAAAGTATTTTAGGTTAATGAATCATGGAATAAGTTTTGTTTTATTCATAGTATAATAATACTCTAAAATAGTATATTAGTTTAGCTGTTAAAATTCAAAGTTCAATTTAAAAGGAGACATTTGTGAAACTCCTAATAAAAGAATATAAAATAGGGGAATTAACACTCTTTCATTTATTGCTCTTTTCAGGGTTTAGCTCTTGTAGATCGTAACTCAAGACCAGAAACGATCTCTCTGCTGAGAGTCGAAGACTTGCCTGAGGAGACACAGGACAGGTTTAACTGCCTGTTCAGCCTGCGCGAAAAATGGACTGAAGCAGATATTGCCCCATATATAAAGTGAGTAAACTAAGATCACCTAGTTAACCTGGCTCCTATCCCCCTTACCCTTGAAGGAAACCTGTCAGAAACTGTTAGAAACACCAAGAGCACTCTTGAGCATACTGACTCAAGTATCCACAATAAAGTTGTAACTCATAATGAATGTGAAATGATCAGAAGGTAACGATTTTGGTGCCTCTTCCACTTTTGTCCGACAACCAGTTGGTTGGTCCTATTTATACCTGTTTATACAGTGAAGTCTATGAGGGGATTTGGAAGCAATCATGTTAGAGACACAGATGTGGTTGGTGCACTGTATGATGATTCACTGAAGGGCTTATGTCCACTTCCCAGGAAACTTTAAATATCTTCAAGTACATTTCATTTGCCTCATGATGAGCAATGATTTGTTATTGTCTGTTTATTAATAGTCTGTGTCTTTCGTTGGGATGATATGTAAACCTAATTATATTACTACATGAGCGAGATGGGCCAAACGGCCTCCTCTCATTTGCAGACTGTTCTTATCTTCGTATAAACATACGTAGATTTATGTCAAGCGAATGCAATAACTGTGTTTCTGGGTTCCAGTTCAAATGAGAATGAAAAGTGCAGTTCTCAATTTCGAGTCTGCTGCCGATTATGAAACCTCCTTCACATCTACTGCCATCCCCAGAAGATTTTTTGTTTGGCAATAAATCATTAGTGGCTTGAGGAACTGGTTTAAAATTGATTTAAAAGAAAGTGATTTAAAATGAATGTATTTTGAAATAGGGTGTGAATTTTCATTGTGTCATAGTGTCCTGTTTTGAATTATTAAAATATTAGAACTATATGTAGTAGTCAGGTGAATAAAAGATCACCCTGTATATTCACAGTAAAGAAAACGAGTCACCTAGATAAGGGCATTGCTTTTATATGCAGAACTAGTAATAGGTGCTTTATTCCCTTTTTCATTTATTTAGTTTTTGTAACTTTATCCTTTTTTAATTTTTTATTAATTTTACCATTATTATGCATGATTAAGTGTTTTTTATATAGAATCTATTCATTTCTACTTAGTTTTCCTTTTAACTTATTTCATTGTCATTTATAACTGTAACTGTTTTTTATCTGTTAGGGTTATCGTTTTTCTATTTTGTTTCCTTGTTAAGCATTGGAGTCTAAGGCACTCTATAAGTAAACTTGGTTTAACTCAAGAGCTGAATGAAATTGGGGAGGAGACCTCAAATTACAATAGTAATCCAAGGATAAATCATTGGCTTTATTGTAGCTTTCAAATACTTGCAGCTCTGCTGGATCGCAGTATTCATTTGACCTGCCCACACTTAGTGTGACAATATTTAGCCAGCAGCCATATCACCCTGCAACTCACAACTGGCAGCCCACTGAAGCTAAGCAGGTGTGAGCCTGGTCAGGACCTGGATGGGAGACCTCCTGGGAAACTAAGGCTGCTGCTGGAAGAGGTGTTAGTGGGGCCAGCAGGGGGCGCTCACCCTGCAGTCTGTGTGGGTCCTAATGCCCCAGTATAGTGACGGGGACACTATACTGTAAACAGCCGCCGTCCTTCGGATGAGACGTAAAACCGAGGTCCTGACTCTCTGTGGTCATTAAAAATCCCAGGGCGCTTCTCGAAAAGAGTAGGGGTGTAACCCCGGCGTCCTGGCCAAATTTCCCATTTGCCCTTACCAATCATGGCCTCCTAATAATCCCCATCTATCAATTGGCTTCATTACTCTGCTCTCCTCCCCACTGATATCTGATGTGTGGTGAGCATTCTGGCGCACTATGGCTGCCGTCGCATCATCCAGGTGGATGCTGCACACTGGTGGTGGTGGAGGGGAGTCCCCATTACTTGTAAAGTTTCCAGTGGAGTGTCCAAAAAAGTGGAATATAAGTGTAAGCAATTATTATTAATTATAATATAATAATCATATGACCAGCTCATATTACCCACTACTACTCATATGATATTTCAATGAGCTAAGTGTATGTCTGATAAATACTAAGAGTATGGTACTAGAGTACAGGGCTTGGTTTATTACTATTGTGTGTAATAAATGTATGTTTTAGGCAAATTATTTGTTATTTTGGAAGAGTAACTGCTATTACCCCCTCAACTAACTCCTCAACTATCTGTTGTATTAGTGATCCTGACTCTGCTTGCACACCTAACTGCGAAGAGAAAGATTCCATTCTTGCTTAGTGTATCTCTAGAATAGTACAGTATCTTGGCCGCAGTATCGATGGATGGTACTTTAATTTCTGGGTACAGTTCTGATCATGCCAGTACACTCGTGGAAATGCTAATAGTATGTACGGTTAAAAGACATAATCCTCCCTTATATGATAATTGAAGTACTAATACATCGGCTTTAAGTTGATCAGCATTATTTAAATTCACTTAAAGAAACAATATTATCACACCTTTTTTGTAATCAGTTAAAATAAGTAACATGAATCCCTTTCTCTGCCTCCATAATAAGGATTTCATTTCATTTGACTGTAATGAAATTGGCACTTCTCTGATGAAGTCGTTTCCAGCCAGTCATTCCCGTAATTGCAGTCACAGAACCTTGTGTTCCACAAAAATACGACCACCTTGAGATGCGGAGTAGTGGGTGTTTGGGCAGGAGGCAGGGATAGGCTCACTCACCATCTAGATTTGTCCCACTAATCCTAATCTGTTGTGCAGATCATTTGAAACCACAGTTTCAGCACAGTTTCATCCAGCTCTTCTCTTCTTTCATCCAAGATCCAATCACACATAGGCAAATTAGCGAATATTAAATCCGCAGATGTTGAGACTCTACTGGATTTATAAGTCATCCAAAACTGACCTTTGAATCTTAAACTGTAAACAAAAGCATGACGTCTTAGAGGGTCTTAACATTAAAATCCTCTCTGACACCTCACTTGAGGGCATAAGAATTAACCAGATAATTGGTAAACATTTGCAATTTTATTTTGCGAGAAGTGTTTGTCATTTAACCATTGTATTGTAGGCTTGTCACGCTGAATACTCAACACTGTACATTTCATGGTTCCCACACTTAAGTTTCCTTTTCTCTCCGACAGGGATTTATGTGGTGAAAAGCAAACAACCGGGGCGCTGCTAACCAAATACGCTCGTTCTTCCATGCAAAATGGAGTGAAAGTCTACAATTCCAGACGACCAGTAGCTACATGAGCATCCCTGATACAGTTTGAAGGTCTCACGTGTTCTGTGTACCACCCATTGAATATTCTCATTCTGAATGAGACATTTCTGACTGTAAAATGTACACAGGCTATTCATTGCTTTAGCAGGTATTGCTCTCCTGGACTATTAAAAAAAAACAAAAAAAAAACAAGGCCTTGAAGGGTTTTTTTTTGTTTTGTCTCTTGTATTTTTGGGGTTGAGAATTGATCTTTTTTTTTATTTGGCTTTTTTACTTTTTGAGTGTGACTGCCTTTTTGGTTTTAAAATGTGACTGTGTATCAGCATCTCCCGTGCCCACTCAGGAAAGAGAGAAGCATGCAGACACAGCCCTTTGACACGCCTTTCTGCACTGCAGTTGGTCATTTGGAATGCTGCAGACTCCACAGTGCCTGACAGGAGAGCTTGTACAGATTGGAATGGGGCTGGTAGTACATTTCCCACTTGCATCACTCCAGATATCACTATTTAAATTATTTTGATTGACCTTACTGGTTTCTGGCATAAGAAGATAGTAACACATTTTTTGCTGAATTTAGGACTGGGTTTCTTTAATATCATAAAACATAATGATATTTTGCTAGCCAGGTTCCACCTTCATCAATGGAAATGGACTCTTTTTAAACCTTTTAATTTTTTTTTTTTACTCTTGATCTTGCGCCCTTTGCAACAGTAATACTAGGGAAATGGTTGGTGTATTAATGTTTCACTCCGAAATTAATCAAGGAAGAAACTGACAACACCCCAGGTTGCAGAAGGACAAAGTTATAGAAATAACGTTAACAAAAAAGGGGGCACTTAAGATAAATACTAGAGCGCTGAGTACTTTACCAATTGTACTTTAGGAAACGACATATTATTCATCAGCCATGAACTAACCTCCTCCAACAATCACTTAACTATTAACTGGAAATTTGTCAGGATAGCACCCATAGAAAGGATAATGAAACAACCATTTACAGAACAGTTAACGCCAGTGAAGAGTATACAATGTTGTTTAGTTGGAATTTACCTCCTTCCTTCGCAACAGAATTTTGTTATACGGTACAAGATGAAAAGAACTGATGGAAAAAAATAAATCATGTGTTCACATAGTCCCACAGCGTCCAATTTAAAGAAAACAAAAGCTGCAAGCATCATGTCCAAAACATAAATTTGGTCTTTTTATGCAGGTTTGGTCGTTTGTAATATAAATGGAGGTATTGCACACCCAAGGCTACATGTTGCGAATGTTTTAGATCATGGGATTTATAAGTTTCCCATAAACATTTGAACGGCTTTTTAAAATAAAATGGTATTTTCCTCTTGGCCCTCGAGAGGATCTGAACAGCATTAAAAGCGCACCCAGACACGCCATGGTCTGAGAGGTACTTGACGGTTTGGTGACCATTACATTCAAAGAGGTTGTTAATAGTCCTGCACTGCATTTAAATGTTTTCCTTTTCATGGAGGTTCATGTGCACTGAACTAACCATTTACTTCTACAGTTTGCAACTTGCCCTTGTATTGCGACACATTCACGCAACACAGGAGAAGTCAAGAATAAAAATCAACAATCGAAAAAAGATATTTCGTTATGTGAATACATTACGTATTAGCTGCAACTACAGGAGATGGGGGCTACATCAGGGACTTTAAAGACATTTCACGTGAATGATTTTCTAAGTTTTTCGGTATCTCCGAATTCAAGAAATAAAAGCACCTATCTGAATTGCAGTTATAAAAAAGATCATATTAATTTTGATACAATTGAAACCGTTTCAAAAAGTATCGCTGCTCCCTCCTCTGGTTAAGACCTGGAGTCAGTCGTAAGATAAGGTAGTTTTTTTTCTTCATTGCGTAGTAGCACTTCTATATTTGTCTTGGAATTAAGGGATTGGTATTTCCATGCAATTTAATTCCAACTGACACCGTAACAAAACTATAAAGAAGTATGACACGATAGATACGTTGTATTGATTTACATTTAAGCTTGTATAAATTTGAGCATTGTAATCGTTGATCACTAATATTTCATATGTAGTTTCTTGATTCCTGTATCTTTACACACAATTTCGAAATATTAATCATAATTTAGTTTAAACAATAGGATTTAAAATACTGTAACGCTTACGGCCGACAGGCACTGTGTAAGAGCCAGCGTACCAGAGCAGGTGACGTCACCGCCCTTCCCTGTGATAGCAGGACCACAGCTACTGGGCTGTAGAGATATCTCTCTTTAGCTCACGGGGCTGGGTCGCTGCAGAGAGACGCGGAAGTCCCGGGATCGAGCCCCCGATGGTGGGGGGCCGACCTAATGCGGCAAGGGCGCCCGCCTGAGCCCCCGTTGCGTTACAATACTTTACTATATTGAAATGCTTTACATTAACTCAATCCCATGGTTCACCTTGTAGCACGAGCCTGACGTCATCCAAACACAAGCGCGTGCTGAGAGAATTTACAAAAACGAAAAAAGAAATGTATGAAGTTATAGTTATATATTATTTCAGATCAGAATTGGTTATTTTGAAATGAGTATTTTGAAATTAGTCACTGGAAAAAAGAGGATTTTTTGCGCGGTAGGTCAAAGGTTACAGACAAAATGGCTGATTACGAAGTTGAAGCGATCATTGTGTTGTGAGAGGTCTAGGAGGAAGGATAGATTTAAAGAGAGTATAAACCAAATCGCCTAATCAATTTATAAGGCTTTAAATACTGCCCAAAATAAGTTTATACTGATTTTATTGTAAAAATAAACATGTACGCGTTTTAATAATGTCCTAATGCTCACTGTGCCACTGTGTTCAATGAGAGCAATTGGAGATACAGTGTGCGGTCATTTCTTTGTAGTTATTTGTTTTATTTCTGATGCTGCAAAATGTACAAAGCTTCGTATCCGAATGAGTCTCGGTGCGGATTTCGCACTTTGAATACGATTCTGGCAGTATCGCTTAATTTCTAAAACCGCGTTTAATGTTCCGCGCGCCACACAGAAGAGATGCGACAGTGTTAAACGGTGTATGATGTTTCCGAGATAATATAAGCAACCTGAACCTTTTTTATCGATAGCATTTTTTTAAACTGCAGAATGAACAGGAAGAAAGGCGACAAGGGATTCGAAAGTCCACGACCATACAAATTATAAGTATCCAATTTATTATTATGATGATGTTTAAATACTTGGTGTTTTGATGTGCGTGACTTGTTAATTACATTTAACTGGACAACTGTATCGTGTTGCATGTTTTTTAATTCAAATATTCGTAGAACTCGTTCACGTTATAGTTGTCACTGGGTTTGTAAATATAGGGATGTTTCAGGAGTTGTTAAAAATATGTATTTTGTTTATTTTTATAGAAGTGTTTTTGTTTTTATACAACCCATCAGGTGGTCTGCATCAACAACATTAACTTTCAGCGAAAATCTGTCATTGTAAGTAGATCGATTTACTTTCACCATGCAGGGTTTGATCATTGACCACGTTGTTTAATAATGCAGTAACATTTTTAAACACCGACTTCGTTTTTTTATAATGAGCTGTTTGCTTAAATACAGCTTTATTATTAGTTGAAAATCTTAATACAATTATTTAAGTCTTAGTAAGCGTTAAAGAATGTATCCAGCGTGGCACGAACCTTCAAAATGCTGCAGATTCAGAAGAGACCGGTTAAAATCTTTAACACTAAGAGTTAGTTAAAATTTTATTTGCAAGTTGTGGAAAACGTTTTAAAATGTATTACACATACAGTTACCATGCATTGCGTTGTCAGATGGTTTTTGCATTAAGTTCCAAGTTTGACTGATCTCCAGTCAGTCATGCTTTTGTAAAGTTTTAGAGATTTGTGTTTGGTGACCATTAAATTCACAGAGATTGTTACTATTCATGCATTACATTTAAATCTTTTCCTTCTTTTCATAGGGCCATGTGGAACTGACAATCTTTCCAACTGTGGCCAATCTAAACCGGATAAAGCTCAATAGCAAACAGTGCAGAATATACAGGGTACGAGTGAATGATCTTGAGGCTCCGTTTATCTACAATGACCCAACACTGGAAGTGTGTCACCATGAATCAAAACAGTAAGTGCTTTTTTTTGGAAAATGGAGTTTACAAAAGTGAGAAAGCTGACTAATGAGAGTAAATCTTTTGGTTCCATCTTAACTATTCATTTGCTGTTTATTGTCCCACCAGTTTCACCAGGAATCTCGGAGAGTCAGCTTTCATGATCTTATACATCCATACACATCATACGTGTTTTTCATCTTTTTTACACTGTTTGACTGAGATAGCTGATGAGTCAACACACATCCCAAAGCTTTTTGTTGGTCCTTTTTTCAGTTGAAGTACCACCTCTGTGATATTTAGACTGCTTGTAAAACATACGTAGAGACCCGCCATACAAAATAGCTCCACTGTTGTTTTCCCCCACTGCTTACTGCATTCCAGGAGGAACTTGAATTACTTCTCCAGTGCCTACGCCGCAGCAGTCAGTGCTGTTGATCCTGATGGTGGGAATGGAGAGCTCTGCATCAAGGTCCCGTCGGAACTTTGGAAGCAAGGCGATGGTAAGATTAAAAACTATTTTGTTTTCCTTGCATTCGGCAGACCCGTAGCCCAGAAAGCTGATTTTCCTGATTGTGGTGCTGGTACCAATACAGTAAGGAGTGAAACCCGTGCCTTGCTCTGGCTATCTAGCGCACCAGCAAAGTCAGATTGGGTTCTACAGTAATCACCACATTCTGGATGGTTCTGGATGAAGAACCATCTAGAACTAAAAGGTTCCTGATCCACTCTGTCACAGATGTAGCCAGAGAGAAGCCTATCCCTACCTACAACACTTCGGCATTTTCCTGTAATGGAGAGCTTTTGGAAAGATTTGGTTTGCGTGTGCTTGGATATTGCTGGTGTGACTGCAGAAATGTGACTGTATGACCCTCTACCATCTGGAAAACTGTACCGGAGCTTTTGGGCCCAGATTACCAGACTCAGAGACAGTTTTTACCCCCGTGCTATCAAACTATTAAACTCCCAGCCTCTCTCACCTACGATCTGAACCTCACGGTGCCTTCTTTCTTACCAAAAACTCAAACACACATTGAAATCTACCTCTACCTCACATGTCAAGAAGCTCACTCCCCATCATTTTCTATCCTTTATTTCATTCTGGTGATGTATGATTTTGCACATCTGATGTTGTTCTGCACATTACCTGTTACCTGTTGTTGTTTTGCACACTGCCTGTTGTCTCTGTCTTTCTTTTCTTATACAATTGTATTGTTGTTTTTTGTACTACTTATTGTCTGATCTAAATATCTAAATAGCATTTCGTTATACCATATACCTGTATATGGTATATGTATATGAGTATAATGATAAACTTGAACTTGAAAAATCTATCAGACAAGGCTGGCTGGGGAGTGAGATAACCTCACATTTTACTTAGTTGCATTAATTTACAGAAGTAGCTAGTGTAGGTCATTGTCAGATGATTTTTCTTATCATATAAACTTATGCTAGTCCCTTTTTTGTGTCTTTCGCTGGTTGTACTCTGATATTTGTAGTGTTGTATTTTGATTTTTCTGTTTTGAAAATAGAAAAATGAAGCCTGTAAATCCATATGAACTTTCTACATAGCAAAATTAAAGTTACACTACACTATCGAAACATCCTCGATTCAGGGGTTTGAAAGTAATGCGTAGTATAGAGCTGAGGGACTCCACATAGTCTAGATTGGATTACTTGGGACTTCACATCTTCATAATACCAATTTATCACTTTACCCATTGTTTGGGAGAAAGTTGTGTTGCAATGAGATTATCGTAAATTTCAGCTTCTATGGTAAAGTGACATTATAAGATGTTCACAGTTGGAGGGAAGAAAAACGACACTTGGGCCAATATGGTTTTCGTCAATCATAACATTTTCGAACTTGCAAAAGTAACAAAAAATAAACATTAACATTATAGCCTTCTGTGTAATAATTTTTTATATAACATTAGTTTTGCTTAACACCTAATTGTAATCCTGTTTAACGTGTCAAAATATTCTAAGAACAGGTGGTTCTGAAGCCCATTTTGCCTTGCTTTCAGAAATGAAGGTGCTGAAAGTGTACATTGAGTTTTCTTTGGACCAGCCGAAAGGAGGGCTTCACTTTGTAGTGCCTGACGTGGAAGGCAGCTTGGCAGAGAGAGGAGCCCATGTCTTCTCATGTGGATACCAAAATTCTACAAGGTGAGTTAATTTTGGCAACCAGATCACAGTTGCTTTTGACAACATTTATTTTTCAGAGTAGGATTCCCATAATGCATATTATTGGAACGCTTGTTTTCCATTGCTTTGAAAAATCAGAGACCCTGTGACTGACAGTGTGAATCTCTATCTTTAGATCATCATACTGATCACTTACAGACCTGTCGCTTTTTGTCCATTCAAGGAAATCCTTTTACAGCCTGTAAATAATCATCTATATTGTCATTAACGTGTTTTTCACAAAAGGACATGTAAACATGAATGAAAGTCATCACTGGCTACCTTGTCAAACAGTGGGGAAAAAAGTAAATACACTATAGTAAACTTCGGTTTAATGGACTTTGCATAATGGACTTGGGATTTAATGGACAGAATGTGCTAAAGGGGAATTATGTCGGTGAAATCTAACTAACGATGAAATGCACAAATAAACAAAGTAAAAACTAATACTACATACGTTTAAATTCAAGAATATCAGGGGTGCGCTATATGGGTAGGTCAGTTGCTTACAATTGGTGTGTTTTTTGTGTTTTTTATACTTTAGTGTATTTAAAGCACATGAAATAAAGATCTTCTTTATTTATGATATAAAAGGAGAGGAAACATTTTCCTTGACTGTGTTGATTGCAGTTGTAAAAAAAAAGTCAAATGATCCAGTAAACATACTGTATATATATTTCTCATATAATATTGTGTTTTGGGGAAGGCAAAATGTCATTCATGATTTAATTTACTTTCTGCAATTACAGACTTCGCTTCCCCCCTATAAGTCCTTTAAACCAAGGGTTTGCTGTATATCCTTTAATCACAAAGGGTGGAAAACTTCCAATGCCGTCAATTAAGAATTAGGTTGTTGCTTAGATTCTTATAGAAAATCCAAATCACTTAAGAAATGTTTTTCTTCATTTTCCAGTTGTGGCAGGTTGTGTAATGAAACGTTATGGGTCTGCCACCAGAGGCCTCTGAAAATGGCCTCAAAAGATGGGATTTATAAAAAGTTCACCTTGGTGTTAATCTGTTTTGCCTGTGTTGTAAGATTGTAAGCCAGAAATTGCCTTTGAGCTTCAGTTTACATTGGTGTCTGTTCAGTGGAGTTTGTGTGAAGGTCCAGATCATATTCTTGGTTCTCGTGCTGGTGGGACATGGCTTCAGTTTATCTGAGGTTCCTGGTATTGTTTTGTTTCAGGTTCTGGTTTCCCTGTGTGGATTCCTACTCTGAGCTCTGCACCTGGAAGCTTGAGTTCACAGTGGATGCCTCCATGGTAGCAGTGTCTTGTGGAGATCTGGTTGAAACCATCTACACTCATGACATGAGGAAGAAAACTTTCCACTACATGCTGCCGATCCCCACTGCAGCTCCGAACATTTCCCTTGCTGTGGGGCCCTTTGAGATCCTTGTGGACCCATATATGCACGAGGTACTTTGATTTAAAATGAGGTGTATCTAGTTTTAGATTTTAATTTCTATTCTAATTCCCTGATGTTTTTTTTTTAATTTTCTTTAATAAAGAAAAACAGGTTTCTGAAAACTTGCATGGGTATTTTAGTAACAATTTATGAGCCTTAACTTAGAGGTGCAGCTATGTGTACCATCATGAAATTTTGGCCATTTGCCCTCAAAAGAGCATTGCAGGCATTTTAAAATATTGTACCATGCTACAAATATATTAATGAAGAGTATCACTGAAACTGATTTGCTGTCTTAAGGGCCTTACATTACTGTGTTATTCATCTGTTGCTATCAATTGATATACCAATGACTTTCTTCAAAGTACCTTACAAAGCACATGTAATGTAATGCAATGCTTCTTTATTAGCCCTATACAATTTTTTGCATTAGGAATTCGTCTTTTCGCATACCCCAGCTTTTCTCCATGGAGACACAGACACACAGAAAGGGAGAGAAGCTTGGGGTCAGAGCGCAGGGTCAGCCATTGTACTGGCTGTATTGTACTGGCCTGGAGCAGTTAGGGTTAAGGGCCTTGCTCAGGGGCCCAGCGGAGTAGGATTCCTCTGCCAGCCGTGGGATTTGAACCAGCAACCTTCCAGTCACAGGCGCAGATCCTTAGCCACAGAGCCACCGCTCCACATGGAAGGGTACTGCAGCAGTGTCCCACCTGGGATGTGACTTCTCAAACCCTAGGGGTCTGTGCCCCCTAACAGCTACATCATACATACATTTGATATTTTACCAATCAAAATGGACAGCTAGGCACATAATCAGGCCCTAAGCTGACAAATAAAAATAACTTTCTGATCAAATAACAAAAACAAGATTATTTCTTATTTTCTGTTTTGTCCCATTTCAACGTAGTCCATACACTTTAAAATTTAAATGGTATTTATAACTATAATCAGGACCCTACTTAATTTATCAATGAACTTGCAAATCTTGCAATCTTATGCAACTACCACCATTTCCAGCAGTGTATTAGGACAGTCTGCTGTATTTGTATGTGATACAAAATGTCAGAAATATGTAACAAACTGGGATTTTCATGGTGGCCTTCATGTTTTTCTTCATTTCCTATTAAAACTAAAACTAGGTTGGTATCAGTATCTCCTGGCTCCTGATTGGGAGATTCAGGGGTTCATTTGTGGAGCAGTTATTTTTTCTATTAAAAGAAGGTCAGTCTTCAAAGATAAGATCACTAGAAAAAAAAACTTTAAACCAAACATGTAAATGGGATATGTGTTAAAATTAAGATAAAGACATCGGTATTTAAGTTTTAAGTACATGTAATCTTTTTGGGGAGACTAAAAAGTAATTTAAAGGGAATGTAGTGTTAAAAAATATTTGAAGCACAGGTACTCTTCTATTGCTAACAGTGTGCCCATATTTTGAGTAATTGCAGTACTTTTTTTAAAGTACGTTTTTAAAGTGTTTTTTAAGTTTTGCAAAATAATAATAATGTATTTCCCTTTCATCTAATTGTTTTTATTTAATTGTTACTTCATTTAAAAAGCAATACCTTGGTACAGTTGAATTTCACAATCATTAAAGAGATCGAATTACTTTTTGTGCATATAAAGTGAAATGGAAAGGGTATAATAAAAATAATTGTTTATTTCTAAACTTCACAAAACATAAGTAAATACTTGCATATTTAACAAAGAATGGAAAGAAATGTAAAATATTAAATAAGTTAGGATACTGCCTAAAAATTTATACTTTCACCACTTCCATTAATTGCCAGTAGTGGGAGTAGTGTACTGCATATTCAAATGCATTCTGATTTAAGAAAAGGGAAAATCTAATAATATTGGCTGACTCTCATACATTATGTATTTGTCTTCCAAAATAAGCAACATAAATCATACACTAACTTAATGAGAGGGCTTAATTTCACTGTAATTTCATAAAGTGACAATCTCCCAGAGCTAATTTTATAATACATAAAGTTATTCTCGAAAACTAGGGGAAGTTTACCTTCATGTCACGAACTTTTAAACAGTAGTCTTTTATACTCCCAAGTTACTTGTGCTCAAGATAACTTTTTAAAATAAGTGGTTATATTCCTTTTCAGAAGTTTTGTATTATTTTACATTGTAATTGTACACGCACTGCTTAAATCACTATAACTGTTGATTTTTAAAATTATTTTCCTCTACTTTTATGTTTATTTTTAAAAACAACTCCTTACACAGGTTTCTTGTGAATGTAATGGATTAGGTTTTAAAAGTAATTTTCATCAACACTGATCATTAGAGAAACTTTAGCTAGTTTTTTTAAAAATCACATTTTCTAGGCTTCAGAGAATTGACTGATTTCATAGTAAAAAAAAAAACATATGAAGGGCTATGTATATGCTCATTTGGGAGCTAGTAGTGTAAAACCGTGTTCTTTGAAATACCGGATAATGAGCTTCAAAGCATAGCCGTGCAGTGTGTTTTAGACACAACTGTGAAAAACAAATGCCTTTTTTCAGTTTCTGTTTGCTTTCTCTTGCATCCTTGTTTCCTCATTGGTTCTGAAGTTGACTTCTTGGTGGTCATTGTTAACTCCTTGCAAGATGTTTACCCTATTGTGTGGTGAACCCTGAGATATGAGACAAATTTTAACAATAATAATAAACTTTATTTATTCATGTCGGAGACGCAATAAGAAAAGAGACAGCCAAGTGTCAGGTTTGGTATGGATGTAAATATATACTGGAAAGTAGGGGGCCCAGTATTGAGCTCTGAGGAACACCAGACTTAACGAGTCCAATTTCAGACCTAAATCCACCAAGAGAGACAAAGTGACAGAGATCAGTGAGGTAGTTTGAGAACATTAGAGAGCAGTGTCAGAAACTCCAGATACAGTCTCAAGACAAGAAAGTAAGATATCATGGTTAACAGTGTTGAAAGCAGCACTACGATCAAGAAGGATGAGGATAGAAATAGAACCAGAATCAGAAGCTATTAGAAGATCGTTAGTGACTTTGACCAGGGCAGTTTCTGTGCTGTCAGAACCCAGATTGTGTTTAAAGAAGTTATTTGCAATGACGTGGTTATTTAACTGAACTGTAACACCATTTTCTAGACTTTTTGCAAGAAAGGGTAAGTTGGAGATGGGGTGAAAATTGAGACATGTTTGTTTTTTTTGGCACAGGGGTAAAGTTTTGAGGACCGTATATTGCGGACAATGTGGCAGAGAGAAGTGAAACAGGACTGAAATAGGGTGGGAATGGAATCTAATATACAGGTGGTGGATTTCATATGTGAAACCAGTTTACTTATTGATGTAGAGTCAAGAAGAGAGAAGTTAGAAACAAGGGAACCAGTAAATTTAGGCAGGCAGGAAGGAGGTATGGAAATGATATGTTTTCTGTAGAGAATGTGATGCCGGATGTTGTTGATCTTGAAGCTAAAGTCAGCTAAAAATATGCTGCAAAGTTGCGATGATGCAGGTAATTTTAGTGAATAATGAATTCGAGGTGAATTATGTGCCAACAACAGCTTGTTCTTCTTTGTTTTTTTCAGGTGACCCATTTCTGTTTGCCCCAGCTCTTACCATTGCTCAAACACTCCATGTCCTTCCTTCATGAGATCTTTGAATTCTTTGAGGAGATACTTACCTGTCGCTATCCGTACTCCTGCTTCAAGACTGTGTTTGTCGATGAGGCCTATGTCCAGGTGTCATCATATGCGTCTATGAGCATATTCAGGTATTTACTAGACAGGTGTGATTTTAATGTCCGTGCTTGTTTGCTCTTGCTCTTGGCTCAGTTTCTTGATTTCAGTCAAATTACACAACCCAGCCAAAAAGAAGACTTGAAAAAATTATTGCTCCCCTTTGTAATCAAGTTAAAACCAGTTTCTGCCTCTACACTCCCCCCAAGTCTGGCACTGCCCTTGTTTTGCTAAAAATATTAGAAATGTGTTTTATTTTGAGTGTTTTATTTGGTATTTCAGCTAATGTTGTATGTGGGATGGAGAAATTTAGTTATGTATTCTCCTTGAAAATACTGCAGTGTAACGATTTTCCTTTTGGTTTAATGAACAGGTGTTGAACAAAGCTGTCTTCAGTTTAGTGCCATTTAGAGATACAGTTTTGTAAGGGACAAAAGCAAAGCAATAGAACACTAATGCAACGTGTGTTCTCATCTGTTAATGGCTTGTTTTTGCCTTTTTACATTTATTGATGCTGACCTTGTTTTGAAACCCAGTGCTTGTTTTTCATGTTTCCCCCTGCTTTCAGTACAAATCTTCTGCACAGTGCAATGATTATAGACCAGACCCCCCTGACCAGACGCTGTTTAGCTCAAGCCTTGGCTCAGCAGTTTTTTGGCTGCTTTATATCCCGAATGTCCTGGTGAGTAATTTGAGACACAGTCTAAACCAGCTTGAGCAAGAAATTAGAACTGGGAATGCACATTAGAAATTTAGGCATGGAACTTTATGTCTTTGGGCACGTAACCCTTTCTATGGAAGGTTTTCAAGTGTTTGAACTCAATAGTTGGCAGTTTTGATACTTGTTATTTGTGTGATTTTTACCTGTACGTAATATGGTAGTTCAAATAATTCAATGTTCAAAATGAAGACTAACATCATCATATTGGTCTGTGGTCTGGCTTTTTGGATATTACTTGTAATATGCTGTAATTTCATAAGAGAACTCTTATCCAAATGTTTGATCATTGAACAATAGGCATGTTGTCTTTTGTGTGTTTTAAAACTTGAATCAGATGTATGAGCTTGCCTGTTTATACTGATCGAGCACCAGCTGGCTGATTGAATGCTGTTGCTTTTTGTATTGGGCCCATTCACATGTTTAACATTAATTATGCGGTTTGAATCCCCTGATGTCTAATTAAAATTAGTACCATGGAGGTCTAAGGAGCAGGGTTTCTTTATTCAAATAATGAAAAGTGTAGAAAGACATTTAGTTATTGTAACTGAAGTGTAGAAATTATTTTGAGAGTTCCTTTCAAAATAATTAAACCTAGTTTAAGAATTGAAACTTTGCTAAGATTTCATTTGGTTAACTACAGTATCTCTTGTGTCTCAGTGTCTCAGTTTAAATTTTAGGTTAGTAACGTAAAAAAGATAGCTGGCCACACAAGACTGTAATTTCAGAGGTATCTGAATATCAGTATGTAATTAGTCTTGGTACCAGCTCTGTTTTTAATCAGTTTTTATCTCAAAACAAGACATTCTGTGTTTTTCATATGACTTGAAATGTGTTAATTGCCCATAAAGTTGTCCATAGGAGTTAAATTGTAGCCCCACAAATGTGTGATTATATAACAGCTGTTCTGGAGACCTTTTAACTCTAACTATACTTTTTCCAAGCGTAAGTGATGGAAAGTCATGCAGGGTATTCTCATTGCAATCTCAGAATGACCAGTGAAAGTTTCCTGAATCTTTAAAAAAAAAAGGGATTTAATTTCTTAATGATATATAATGTACCTGCCAATGTATTGCTAACCATAGTATATTAGGGATGTTGTTGTTTTCTTTTTCAAAAACACAATTGATAATGAATTTATGAAGTGTGAAAAGTAGATATGTTTCCTGATTGTGGCTGAAGTTAAAGTTCTGTATATAAAAGAAGGCCTAATTGTTTTTTGTATGTGTTCTAAAGGTCTGATGAATGGGTTCTCAAGGGGATCTCGGGATACATTTATGGTCTGTACCTGAAGAAGACTTTTGGTGTGAATGAGTACCGACACTGGATCAAAGAGGTTGGTGCGCATTATGACATTATTACCATAGGCTAAGTTACTATGTTACTAGACTTTTCGACAGTCTTGACGTGTAATCTGTTTTTAATTTGATTTGAAGGAGCTAGACAAAATAGTGGACTACGAGTTGAAGACTGGCGGGGTTTTACTGCATCCAGCATTTTGTGCTGGCAAAGAGAAGGATAAGTAAGTCTCTTACACATTTCACAAGAAATCATTAAGCCCTTTATCCAGACAGTCTTTAGCTTGAATTAATAAGCTTCCTTATAAGAGAATTTATCACGTACGGTTGTGAAATAATAAATAAAGAATTTAAGAATTAATAGACTGGAGTATCAGCTACTTATCTACATGTAAATGCATTTGTAAGTGCTTTTCAGTTCAGTAATGTTTTAGAAATCTGACAAGCAGCTTAAGTCAAGAAAATTATAAGAAAATGTAAAAAATATTTCTGATGCACAAAGAGAACACAATATTAAAACAAATAGATACAGATATCAAACATGTAAATGAGAAAATGTAAATTAAGTATTGATCAGTATCTTTCAGTAAGAAACGTGACTGTTGAAGTAAAGGCATTTCAAATGTTGGTATCGGGTATGAACTTAAAAGCAAGCACATCCTTGGCAGCATTGGCACACGGTCTTGATCAGCCTCTGGACAGGGATATTCTTCACTCCTCTTGCACATCTGCAGTAAACTGGGGCAGTGGTTAGGCATCTGCAATTGGGTCTTGTTGATGGCATTGTCAAGTTGGGCCTGCAGATGTTCTGTCGGACTCAAGCCAGGAAAAGAGCCTGGGCGGAACATCTTGACGTTGTTCTACTGCCATTCTGCTGAACACTGGGGTTATGTCTTCCTCGAATGTCTTGTGCTGTAGCCACTGCAGTCTTGAAACAATTACACAGATTGGTCATATGCGTATGAAAGGAGTGGTGATTGTCTGCCTTCCAGGAGGTAGCTTGTCCCTCTTGGACCTTGTTTTCTGTTTGCTCTGGAATGTGTTGGTTATGTTACCTCATTCTCTGGGTAACATCTCTCACAGGTAAAAAATATACAGTCATGCCAGTAGCAACCAATAGTCATCTCATAAGCTGGACATGGTAGTGTTATCTGCTGCTAATCAAGATGTCTTTTTGAATGACTGTTTATATGTGTTCTTAACACATTTTGACAATTGTAACTGAATTACCAAAAGCTGAGCACCTTTGCTGTTACATGGATCAATACTATTTAAAGAATAAAAAAACAACTTGCTTAATATTTACAATATACCCAGCTGGCTATTGTAAAACATAGACTTTTTTCATTGTGCCTCAGAGTCTTTATATCTTTTCAGGGTGCTTATTTTGATTTGAGTCTTGAGCTTTGAGTGGAGTAGTAAAAATATTTTCTTATATAGTTATGGATCTTTGATAGACACCTGGCCACATCTGGTGTTTTTGCCAAATCAAAACTTTGCATTACCTAACCTGGACAGTTTATTTTACATTAAAATCCATCTGTCTTAATATAAAGATCTATGTTCATTTTCACATATTTTATTTAGACCTGCACAGATTTGTTTCCTAATGTCTGAAAAGGTTTGCTTCTGCTTTATTTTCTATATACTTGTGATCTTCAAATTAACCTGTTAATGTTGAAGTAATGTTCCTCCTGGATTGTTAGGTGAAACATTTAAAAAAATAGGTGGTGCTGAATTTTTACCACAGAATCAGGATATCAAGGCATAGTGGTATTGTTTGTGCAGTCCCCTGACTTGTGGCTTAGTTGAGATCTGTATTTTTTTAACTATACTATAATGACTTTGAATTTTGCAGTCCCAGTCCACACCTGCATTTCTCAATAAAACACCCCCACACTTTGTCCTGGGAGTACTATAAGATGTTCCAGTGTAAAGCGCACCTTGTCATGAGGCTGATAGAAAACAGAATCAGCATGGAGTTCATGTTACAGGTGAGTATAGCAGTGACCTCTGTCTTGACAAATACTACTTTGACATTTGAAAAATCTGCTAAATTAAGTGTTTGAATGATTAGAGGAAAAATACATTTTCTAAAGAAGACAACAGGCCAATGACTGTACTTTTTGTATTGGTACAAAATGTTCCCTGTTTTGGGGTTTTTTTTGTTTGTTTTTTAAACTTAGATTAACTAAATCTAAAATCTTATTTTATAGGTGTTCAACAAACTTCTGAGTTTGGCCAGCACTGCATCATCTCAGAAGTTCCAGTCTCACATGTGGAGTCAGATGCTGGTGTCAACATCAGGATTTCTGAAATCTATTTCTAATGTCTCTGGGAAGGACATTGGGCCATTGATAAAGCAATGGGTGTATCCTTTTTAAATATTGAGACTGGGTTCATCACGCAACAAGCACAGAGTACAATTCAGCCAACAAACCTCAGTTTCATTCTCCTGATCTTAGTCCATCATCTATGTACCACACTCCTTTTGTTGTTCCAAAACCATTTTTGTATGATCCAATCTCCCTTGTGAGCCCAATTAAGTAAAAAGCTGCACTTAATGTTTTTTAAAGGATAGTAATTTCTCACTCATTTGTTTATTGAACATTACTCTAAAGAATTTGTCTTAAGTTGGTTCCAAAATGTTATTCATGTAATAGTCACATTTCAATAAAAACCCAAATGTTTTAAGTTTCTTTAGAATGTATTTAAAGGCAGTATTTTAATTGAAATTACATCCATATTGGCAGAAGCAATTAAAATAGAAAAAAAAGGGGTCTTAATAGATTAAAATCAGAATTTGTAGCAGGCATGCAAAATTCAATTCGCTGCATAGCAAACCTATAGCCTTACAGTGGTGCTTGAAACTTCAACTCAGTGATGTTGGTGGGCTTTCTTGCATGAACTCCCTGCTTCAGGTCCTGGCACAACATTTCTATTGGATTAAGGTCTGGACTTTGACTTGGCCATTCCAAAATGCAAAATTTCTTCTGCTTCAACCATTCTTTGGTAGACTGACTTTTGGTAGACTGTGTTAAGGGTCGTTGTCTTGCTGCAAGACCCACCTTCTGTTGAGCTCCAGTTCACAGACGGATACCATGACATTCTCCTCTAGAATTTAAAAGTACAATCCAGAATTCATAATTCTGTCAATGATGGCAAGCTGTCCTGGTCCCGTGGCAGCAAAACAGCCCTTCTAGCAAGTTAGAAAGGGGAACATTGCTTCTGAGAATTTTCAAGTTTCTGCATGTGAGACTTTCAGGCCAGAGGCCATGATGTTTTCATTATGCTTTGCTTATATGTTTAGCACCAATAACATGTTTGGAGTTTTTCATCCCATATGTTAACTATTTTATGAAAATGTACATTAGATTTTCTAGAATATAATTTTCATTGGAAGTGGTTCTGCAGGCTTTGGAAAAAATCCCACATTATCCTTAATTGACTGACTCAGAGATCAGAGTGCAGTTGTGAAGTTTTTTGGCAGCTTTGCATTCAATAGGAAACGAAATGTGCTTGAGTTAGAAATAAAGCAGGACTATACATCATCAGGCACTCAAAAATACGTGGTAAGATTTTTTTAATTAAAAAATTGATTTTTTAGAAATAATACTTTCTTGTGACATGTGAATGGATTTTCCTCTTACAATTACATGTCTCTTTCAAGGGCCCCATTAAAGTGACAGTGCAGGAACTGGACGGATCCTTCAACCACACGTTACAGATCGAAGAAAACAGCCTGAAACATGATATCCCATGTCATTCCAAGAGCAGAAGGTAAAAGCAGTCAATCCTTCGCTTTTAGGTTGCTAGTATTATTCATGGTAAGGCTTTATGGCTAGGCTTCCTGTGTAATGTCAGTTTTCCTGGTTTTATGAAAACTTAAAATGTTAATACAATACTGATATACTATAATGATAAATACTTTTGTTTGCCCCAAAAAGATCTAGAATGTTCATGTTAAAAAATAGTTTACTGGATTATTATTACTTTCTCTAATGCTTCTTAAGCCGCTGAAAAGACTTCCATGACAAGGTCTGTGGTATATGTTCTAACACGATTTGCTTTCAGGAAGAACAAATCTGTTATGCCTCTGAACTGACAGGCACATGTTTACATAAGTGAATTGCTAACATCTGCTCCAAGGATAAGGGTATTGTTAGGACACGTTTAATTGAAAATAGGTCCCCCAGTCATTTTGTAAAATTATTGTATCATATTAAACCATTTGGGGATCATGATCAGTACAAATATTGAAAATATTGAAAGGTTACATGAACCCTTTAAGGTTTTACTATATTTTGTAAAGAAAATGTGTGTTTAATCTAAAATTCCGATAATTCCTCTGTTACTGTTATTGAATATTCTGTCCTGAAATGCTTCACTTACACTTCTATGAAACAGTAAGTGATATAAGCTAAACATGCCTATTTCACCCTTAAGATGTTCTTATGCCATGGAATATGACAACATATTTGACATCATCATTGACATCATGTGGTATAACAATATAGAAAAGCAGTACAATACAGACTGTACTTTTGTAGTTTATGATGATGCTATGAAAGCAAGCCTAACACTTTATAGACTGTTTTCCTTAATTCGTGACCCAATAAATTGCTGCTGCAAGGTGTTAGTGGACCAGTAGATGGAACAATTGTCCCTAGTCCAGAATTTCCAAACCAATGGCCACATATACATATATACCAGGGATACAGTACTGAAGGAAGTCTCCTCTTTTGGATGACACTTTAAACCAAGATATTATCTACTTCCCATAGAATTGTAAATCTAGAATTTAAATGCTGCAGTTCTGGCTAAATTAGACTTTTGGCTTTCACGGTCCTGCCACCCTAAATTTGTCCCTTAATACAATCTAATCAAGAAGATTTGTTAAGCCACATCTCCGTCTCCATAACATGTTGACAGTCCTCCAAAATAACACTGATGTAAAAATAATATAACTTGTCTTTAGTGATCAACTGTAGTATTTTAGGCTATGTGTGTATTATGCTGACTGACCTTTAGTTACAGGTTCACTTTGATCCCCTTTTATGTATGGCATTATGTTAGTAATCCTGGTAACTTATTTCATTTTTTCTTTTTTCTAATTTGTTTAATAGCTTAGGGTCTGCTGTTCCAAAGATTTCAATGTTCACTTGTTTATTATCAGTACCAACAGGCATGTCTTGTTTCAGTTTCTAAAGGCTTTGTCAGTGACACACTTGGGAGTACAATCAGAGTGTTTTTTTGTGTCTAAAAGTATTAAAGGTTTTTATCATTTCAGAAACAAGAAAAAGAAGATCCCACTGATGAATGGAGAAGAAGTGGACATGGACTTGTCTGCAATGGAGTAAGTTGTCTGTAGTCATAGCACAGGGTCCTCTGGGAGGGCCCCAAAAACTGGCTAACACATATTTTTGTCTTGATGGATTCTCTTAAACTAACCTGTATAAATGAATTGAAGCAGGTTAAGGAAGAAAAAGGCAAGCTTAATTTTTCAGGCTTATTATTTTCTACAGAAAACAGAGCAGCACAGGCAAGGGCAGGGTCAGGACGGCTCTCTGGCAATTGTGCCTCAACTCTGACATAGGGAGAGGAGCATCTGCCTGGTGAGAATGGATTAAGAGTCACCTGGTCTCTCCTTAGCAGGATTCTGGTTTCTGTTGTCGTTTGATATGCAGGGTTCTGGTCTTAAAATTGAGATGTAGGAGTTTTATTTGAAGGTAAGGTTCAGTAGATATGAAAGGGATGACTACAATAATGCATTGTAGCATGTATCTTCTGTATGTGTTCCACATCTGAAGTATCTTTGCAGGAATAAGATTGATTTATAATAAGATTCCAGGCTGCAACCTTCTGAAAGATGAGCTTTAAGATAAGTCATGGAAGATACTGCTTGGAAGAGCTCGGTTGACTTTACTTATTGCATTTGATCATTTTTTTAAAGAATCCTCTGTCAAAGGTGATCTGAGCCTGCTGATAGATGTAAAAAAGTAGTTAATAGACATTGGTTAGTATTGTTAATATTGAAGCAAAACGTCAACCCACTTTCCAGTCTGAAAAAAGCAGGACTAGTACGTGATCAAAGAAGGCTCTGAAGCCTCAGTCTCCTCTGAGGAGACAACAGAAGCCTTTGTCCAACAAGGTTTCATCAAACATAAATTTATAATTTGTGATTCTTATTATTTTTGGATTTGGCCTGGATGAGAAACATCAAACCTTAGTTTTACTGATTGTCAGCATTTCGGAAAAATAGCTTAAAAACCAAATCATATATAAGAGCGTGGAAGAACTGAAATGCACTTTTCTTTCAAATCGCAGTGCAGACTCCCCTCTGCTGTGGATAAGGATAGACCCGGACATGTCGATTTTAAGAAAGGTAGAGTTTGAACAGGCTGACTTCATGTGGCAATACCAGTTGCGTTATGAAAGAGATGTTGTGGCTCAGGAAGAAGCCATTTCAGCCCTGGAGAAATTCCCTACCCCAGCATCCCGACTAGCCCTCACAGACATTCTGGAACAAGAGCAGTGTTTCTACAAGGTCAGGATGCAGGCTTGCTTCTGCCTTGCCAAGGTAAGATCTTTCATTATGATACTTCTACCCATCCTTGCATTGCCTGTGGTGACTAATTTTGATGTAAAGACGAAAAAGAATGAAAGACTCTGGTTTTAATTAATAATAATAATTGCTTACACTTATATAGCGCTTTTCTGGACACTCCACTCAAAGTGCTTTACAGGTAATGGGGACTCCCCTCCACCACCACCAATGTGCAGCCCCACCTGGATGATGCGACGGCAGCCATAGTGCGCCAGAACGCTCACCACACATCAGCCTTCAGTGGGGAGGAGAGCAGAGTAATGAAGCCAATTCATAGATAGGGGTTATTAGGAGGCCATGATTGGTAAGGGCTAATGGGAAATTTGGCCAGGATTTTGTACAATGTGAGCACTAGCAGAACAGTAATGTAGTTTAATATATTTTCACATGGCTTGATTCATTCAGCCACCATCACCAGCATCTGTGTTGGTGTGCAGTATTACTTTGTTAAAAATGTCTCCCATTATATTTTTTTGTAAATGATTTGTCTAAATTTAGGATTTTTTCTATTTTTACAGCAATAATATACAGTATGTCAAGCTTTTTTTCAAACAGTAGGAAAGATGAATTTTGCTTCAAAAGGGTTTATAAAATGTCTGCCAGTTTCCTCAACCCCAGCATATTCCTAATTGAAAGGCTGTGTTCATTTAAGTTGTTTTCTAAGTGTGTATCCATAACTCCTTGTCTATTGAAAGCAGTTTGCTCACTGCAAAAGTAGAACAGGTGGAAGGGTTCAGACAGTTTAAAGCAGTTTTGCGCTACTGAACTTTTGTTTTTCTACTCTCAAGGACAACATTCTCCATATATATAGTATAAGTGAGAGGCATATTCAGGCTCCTAATGAGCAAATGGATACATGCCAGCTGCTTGTTTTACCGAATTAACAGCAGTAAGACTACAAATGTAGTCGGGGCCCTAATTATCTTGTTTCTAGCCTTATTGTTCTGGACAGTCAGTCCTAACACAAAAAAAAAACGTGTTCTTTGGAATTCTTATTACCAGCCTGCACTCTGTATGTGGCACTCAGTATCTGAATATGTTATTTTCTTTATAATTAAAACTGAAAGGTTGACTAGCACCAAAGGTTTCAAAGACAAGGCTTTCAAATATCTGTTGCCTTAGAGAAGCAAGTTTTTCTAAATTAAAAACTTGGCTGATCTACCTGTAGCTGAGAGGCAATCCTTTAAAAGCTAAGGGAGAACCCCAGAAGATTTAAAATACGTTGATGGAATATACTCTATGTAATGCTTTGGCTTTATGGTGGTTTTACAGTTCTTTACTAACGCTGGCTAGCAACCTTGCTGAACTATTGCTTGAAAATGTTCTTGTTAACTAAATCTAAACTGTATTGTTTACATTTAAAGAATTACTAGTGCAAGGCTTTTAAAGGTAGTCTCAGTTTAGAGTTGGACTCATCATACAAAAACAGCATTATCAATGTAAGGAATAAATGTTTTCCAAGTATGTTTACTATGAATTTTGAACAGATAAGCAAAGTTTGAAAATGGTGAAGTTGAAGGTGTAGTGTGCTTTTCTTCTACCCTAAATACAAACCAGCTGTAGATGAAACAAACTTTTATCTTAACATTTGATAGTGTCAGTGTAAAGTTCTTTCATTTGCTGTTCCATCACTGCCCATTATCTCTCAAGAGCTCTGTCTCATCGGGAAACAATGGGACAGTAATGGGAACTGTGCGCAACTTGACGTTTTATCAGGAGAACATTTTCAGTTATCTGTACAACCAGAGATAAAGGTAATACATTTCATGTGGGTTTTTTTTTGTAAGTGGAAGACACCCAAAGCAGCTTTGAATAGGAGAGCACACAGATTATTTCCTTAGACTGCGGTTTCTTTTCACTTTTTTGTTATGTCAGTTAAAGGATAAAACATGTTTCTCACATATCATTCTGAAATTTATCAGTGATAATGGAAAAAACATACACAAGAGTCACAGGCTTGATCCACTCAGCTGAGTCTTCTTCTATTCTGATGATATTGCATGTTGTAAGTGTTTTATTAGAGACAACTTTAGTTCATACCCTGTATACTTCTGATTGTGTGGGCTGAATGGAACTGTATTACTCAAGCGCTGTTGCCAAACTTTTAATCTGTTAATTGGACATTTGCCCAAATAAAAATGCTTAGATGTGTTTCTCTGCAGGAGTAGCGAACTGAAAATGGATGGATGAAGATATGCTGTGTAAAGCATGTTGTTAAGTCAATGGAAAAGGCTTAGATCTGCATGTCTGTGTGGTTTTGGTCTTTAGGGGAGCAGTCTAAAATTGAACAAGGGTACAAGAACAAACTGAAAAGTCATGAATTGTTTTAGTGAGGATGGGCAGAACAATTGTTGACTTACAAGCCACTCTTACCTGTTAGAAACTATGTCTTAAAAGTCTGGGCTTGTGTAAATATAGCAGTTGGTCCTGTTTCAGAGGAATAATTTAACACCCAATGTGTTATGTATTGCAAAATAGTGAGTAATATGCTCAGGTTTTTCATTACGCATTATAGATTGCCAATGCAATGGTGAGCACCTGGACAGGACCTCCTGCAATGAAGTCTCTCTTCACCAGGATGTTTTGCTGTAAGAGTTGTTCAAACATTGTGAAGACTAACAACTTCATGAACTTCCAGAGCTACTTCCTACAGAAGGTATTTTTTTATTATTTGTGTGCAATATTGTCCTTTGGTCTCAATGTTTCAAGCCTTTAATCAGTTCATTTGTTTGTACAGCCTGCCTTGGTGTGCTTGATCTGTTTATCACTAGGTATTTTTGTGAAATGCAAAAACATCAAATTCAAACAAGTCAAGCTTTTCCTGAACATTATTGCTTAATGCATTAATACATTATTTACACTTGCATTGTGTCTGTATGCTTTCTAAAACTTCATATTTCTACCTGATTTTAGACTATGCCTGTTGCCATGGCTTTGCTCAGAGATGTCCACAGCCTATGTCCAAAGGAGGTTTTGAACTTCATTTTAGACCTCATTAAGTACAATGACAACCGGAAGAATAAGGTGAGGAAAGTCGTTTTCAACATTACGGTCTTTGCTTCCGTGCTTTTCTGCTTTTAAAAAGGGCACTGATCACACCAGTGGAATTAACTTTATATCCCTGCCCCACACAAAGACACACTATGAAGAAAAGTACATTACACAACAATAAAAAACAATATGATTAATTAGTCAGATGACCACAGTGGTTGTTGTTCTTGCCTAGAGTTTTGAATGCATTTTTAAAAATAAATTAGGTTCAAGTTTGAAAACAGGAATTTGTCTGCTGGATGGGTAGTATTTCCACACTAGTTATAGCAGGTCTTATGGGCAAATTCTAGAAATCAGGGAAGGCATCTAGTAAGAAAACACTACAAACAATAGTAAAATTAAACAGTCTTTGGAATGTAGAATTACACAGCACGGTCTTGGCTTATGAAATGACACAATGACAAATGAGCATAAAGTACTAATTGCTTTAATTTCCTTTTTGCTCTCCTCAGTTTTCTGATAATTACTACCGTGCTGAGCTTATCGATGCCCTTGCCAACTCCCTGACTCCAGCCATCAGTATCAATAATGAAGTGCGTACTGTGGACAACCTGAATGCTGATGTCCGCCTTATTCTAGAGGAGATTACACGTTTCCTTAACATGGAGAAGCTGCTCCCTAGTTACAGGAACACCATCACTGTTAGGTAACAACATTCTGCTGATCTTTTTTAAGTCAAACAAAGTATGAGTGTGCATTGGTTGGGACACATCTCCACGTGCTTTGGGGATTTGGTGGGATGAAATCAGAAGAGACACGTCTAGGCACACAGCGCCAGTCACTAGAAATTTCGTCAATGAATGTCGCCATAGGTGTCTTCATTTGTGTACAGATGCAGGTTTTTGGGAAACACGGATATAAACGTTGCTTCAAAGCAAAGATTCTTGAGGAACACAGAAAATACCACTACAAATTGTTGTGCAGGACGTAGTTTGTCCTTTGGCAAAAACAATTCTGTAAGGATTTCTCTTGTTGTGCTGTGTTTTTATATTGCAAAAGCAGCTGTGCCTTTTTCGTAAGCGGATTCCAGTGTATCGTCAGCTTGCTGTGCAGTTTTAACTACCATAGCTGGTCCATTTAAGAGTTTTTCTTACTCCATTAGAAATGTTGGTTGCTGAACTAGTTGAGACTGGAAATTAAAGGAAAAGAAGTGCAAATGTTAGTCACAAAAGTGCATGCTCAGTATTTGCTGTTCCAGTTATACACCACGCAGTTTCACAACCATTGCAGAAATAACCCCAAATTTGTCCTGAAAGTTCTGAAACCTTCTGTTTATGGCAAAACAGGTGACACAGTAACTAAAAAAAAAACATATGCCTACACTACTGTTTGCCAAGGCACATGAGTCTAGTTCACGTCTGCTAACACACATCATTAAGTGTTTAAAAGGCTGTCCCTGTCCCAGTAAACTTTTGTTTTTGTCTTATTTAAAGGGATTAAAAGATGCCAATCCTAATTATTAGGATTGATTTTTATTTTCTTGACATTATTGTAAATATAACAAAACAAAAACTTAAATGCATCTCTGCACATAGAAAAACATTGCTAATGCATTGAAGAACGGTATTGTTTCGTACTTATTCATTTGTTTTGCATTTGCTTGTGTCCAGTTGCCTGAGAGCCATCAGAATGTTGCAGAAGAATGGACACATTCCCAGCGATCCGTCTCTTTTTAAGTCATATGCTGAGTATGGGCACTTTGTGGATGTACGTCTTGCAGCTTTGGAGGCTGTTGTTGACTACACACAAGGTATTGTCCTATCTCTTTGCTGTTCCTAAATACTATAGAACAAAAAAATGATTATGGAATTTCATGTGTCAAAACCGTGATAGACTGGTGTCCCTTCCAGTGTGCACCCCATCTCATCTCCATTGGTTGCCGGGATACACTTTGGCTCTCCAGCAACCCTATTTTGGATAAAGTGGTTAGCAAATGGATATTCATGGATATATGTCAAAATACTTCTTTAAGAGAATAAATCTACAAAATATCTCAAATAGTGTGCCTAAACAGAAAGAATCATGGAGCCAAGTAACGAGATTGTTGGACGCCTCTTGAAATTATAATAATTTTAGTTTTTCTTCCTGAAACTTTCAGATGCTTATAAAATCCAACCCCCTGGATGAAAACCTGTAAAAAGATTAGTTAATGCCTATAGGAATATAGTAGGGTGAAAACCATGCCAATATGATAGGGGGCCATATTGGACTTTTCATTGAACTATGTTAATTTTCAGATATTCTATTGAAACTGATTTCAGTACATGGTGCATTACAATTATTTTGGGATAGGTCTGTCACTTGGTTACGTTCCAATTTTTTATTTTTCAAAACGCATTCAGAAGCCTACTCGAAACCACTTAACCATTTGAAACAAAATTTAGTTTACTTAGTCCTACATAGATTCTTTCTCAAACACCTTTATTTTTAACACCATTTTCTAAATTGCAACTTATATTACAATAGAATGTTGTACGATCATGAATCATCACCGACGCACAACAGTTTATTGAATGTTAAATTTGTAATTAAAATTACATATCATATTAAAGTTGCATATCACTATTAATTTGTCTCTATGTAGTTGCATTTTTTTTCTCATTTCACTATTAGCTATGAAATGTGTAATGTGAAATAAGAATATTTCTGAACTCTATATTCTGATCTCTTGAGAAGCTGGAAAATTAATTCTTATTGTGCCGGAAGCACATTTTTTTCTTGAGGGAATTAATGTACTAAGAATTGTGGAGCATTACTGTCTGGAAATAGTTTCTCAGAGATTATTATTTGTAATGCACAAAGTAGAATAAAAATCCTTGATACCATCTAGCGCAGTGTTGTATGTGGTATAATCTTCTGAGAGTTTCCCCAACCTTAGGCTTTAGGTTCTACAGAACCTTTCTGGGAGAACCTTTTGTTAGACTATTTGGCAAAATAAAAATGGAAAATTAAGCCTTATTTTTCAACTTGAAGAGCAGCCTGCTTGTATCTCTGCAGTATACTTTCTAATAAAGATTTAATTTCTCTTTTCTTTCATTATTGAAACTTGGCTGTTCTGTCCTGCTTTACAATGTAATTAGAAACGTTTCAACTAACAGATGTGCAGTAAATTTGTACAAAAGGAGCTTTTGTTTAAGGAGTTTTTGTCTATCACAGTGATGCAGTGAAATGTATTGCAGTGAGGTTTCTAAATCCAATGACCATGAACAAAGCATGAACCTACAGTTAGCAAGAAAAAAAATCCAGTAACATCTAGTGATAACACTAACAAATCACCTGTTTTAAAAGTCATAACTCCCCCAGTACTTAAGTTCGTTGTGTGTTGTTCTAAAGGTTGTTTTTAACACTTAACAGTGTTTCTTCTAACTTTGTTTACATTCTGAATGTGTACAATTGCTGTACAGCTGTGCTCAGAATGTACTTTTTTGCTTTTTCCAGCTAAATGGCATCATTTCTTTAAAGATGAGCAGCTCTTCCCTTTCCCAGAAATGTAAAATCATCCAACGAACAGTGGCACGTTTTAGCATTTCTGCTGGACTGCTAATATAAACCTCATTAATCAAATTCATGGTCGTTGTGCAAATTAGAATCTTCTCAAAGAATCCTTTATACTGAAGCAAAAACACTTAATGTTTCTTTATATGCTGTTTATTGATAGTTGACAGGAGTTCCGAGGAACTTCAGTGGCTGCTCAACATGGTTCAGAATGATCCTGTGCACTACATCAGGTCAGATTTGCAGTTGGACATTGCATTTTCTCCACCATTACATGTGGTTTCTTTTGTTGTATGTAGGTGTTACATTTTGGGCTTTCACTGTCAAAAATACAGTTGATGGAAAGTACTTTTTCTTGTGAATCTTTTATAGATCTGATTTTTTTATCATTTAATTATGAACATGTACCCTGTCTATTATTGATGTCTCTATCAATAGGAAACCTGAGTATATTGATCACATTATCAGTTGCTCTTAAAAATCAACTTTTGTTTCAGGCATAAGATCTTAAGTATGCTGGCAAAAAATCCACCCTTTACGAAAAACACAGAGTCTCCCCTTTGCAATGAAGCTCTCGTTGATCAGCTTTGGAAGCTAATGAATTCTGGTAAGTCACTTTCAGCCTAATCAAAAGAAGTGCTTAAGTAGCTGTGCTTACCTGTGAAGGTGTGTTGCCAGCTGAGTTCGGATATAGGAGGTCCTAGTTTATATGCCTAGCTGTATTCATGGATACAATTATTAGTAACTTTGAATAGTGTCAGTTAAATAACTAGTTGTAAAAACAGAGTGTACAAAAACCCTTATACTGTAGCATGTTAAAATTCCTTCATGTTATTCACAAACAAATGTATTTCCTTCAAGAATACCCTAGATAACAGCACATAAGCTGTTATGCAGTAGGGACAGTTGATGTATATATGGTGATTGGCCAAAAACCAGGGAAAGATTTCTCTAAAGTGTATTTGTAAAATATAGTTATATTAATGCTCAAAGAATTGCAGTTCATTGGTCAAGTACACCATTTTTTTGTGGTCCACATTGTTTTTATGGTTCGTAGAATTTAATTTGATGTATCAATGTTTTTATATATTTAATGTATACAAGTTATAAGAATATCTATGGCCCCTTTGTTGTCTTTTTCTTATTGACCAATTCTGCCACTGTAAAAAGTCCACTCTTAATTTCACATTTTGTTGTGTGTAGACTGTTTCATATCCAGTATGAGCAAAGAGGCCTTAGGATCACCCTAGACGTACCAAATTAAATATCACCCTTCATGAGAAAAAACAGCACTTTATGACCTGGTTTTGATTACTGGACGCATTTCTTTCAAACATGAGAAAATTAGCTCTTTCACAACATTTGGCACGTTTTGAAAGATTTATGTAACGAACTGCTTCATGGTTTTTCAATGTCTTCTTTTAGTGAAGACTCGTTTCTTTCTTATTACATCGTAAATGTTAATGTGTTAGAGTTTACCGCTATACTCTGATGTCTGCAGGAACTCCTGGCAACCGAGACTGGCTTCTTTTGCCAGACTAAATGAAATCAGGTCTTTGTGGTATGTGTTCAAAGGCTATTGATAATGCTCTCATTTTTCCACCATTAAACCTGACATCCAGGAAGTTAGACTGCTTTATATTTTTATGCATATACTTCTGACCATAACATTAGGCTGAAACTGTCATTTAACATGATAAAACATTTAAAGATTATCTTTCCCCATTTTCAGAGGCAGAGAGACTTTATATTTTCAGCAGCAGCATTACCACCTTGAAGCCCTATATAGCCAGATCACAAAAGCTTAGCAAAGCTGGGTCAGGATGCCTGTCTAAGAGTTGGATGGCACTCTTCTTTCTTAGACAGAATCTTCAAATCAATACCCCAGTGTGGTGACTGGGAACACGGATTTGTAAGTCCTGTCCTTCAGATGGATGAGATGTGAAACCAACATCCTGGCTCCTTAGTCACTAAAGATCCCATGGCAATCCCAGTGTTTTGGTTAAATTTCACACTGGGTGTCTACAATCTGGCGTCATGAAAATTCTTGCTTAATTCAGTTGGAGAAACAATTTCTGATTTCCTCATGTGATAAAAAAAGTACCAAATGCACACTTATTTCATGAAGAATTAAAGTCTGAAGTAATGGAAAATACGTGTTATTCAAGAAGCAAACTTTAAAAAGCCATGTGGTTGAAATAGAATGAACGGTAACAATGTTTCTGTGTTTCTGTGTAGTATAAAAATGGATTACTGAAAATGTATTATCATTGAAATTATTTAAAATCCCAATGATACGGAGACACCATGGTTTGGGGGATTTTACACAGATTGTATTTAGTGTTCTCTGTATTTCCAGGTACCTGTCATGACTGGAGGCTACGCTGTGATGCAGTGAACCTATATTACACTCTCTTTGGCCTCAGCAGACCTTCATGCTTGCCTCTGCCTGAGCTGGGGTTGGTTCTCAATCTGAAGGAAAAGAAAGCTGTTCTTAATCCCACCATCAAACCTGAGATAGCAGCTGGCAACCTGGAGCCAGGGAACAATGCAAATATTCATGGACCCATCATGGGCTTCCCTAGCAGTGTAAGGACATGGTATTAATTATAAATCTCCATTGTCCATAAGCAGTATACTTTACAATTATGAACAGTAGCATGCTCTGTATCCACATGTGCCCTTTTTGAAGACATTTTCATGCAAACATTTGGAATCAGTATCTGGGATATTAAGTCCAGAGTCTTATAATATTGACATACATTAGTCAATTTTTGACTGCAGTTTTGCTTTTTTATTAATTATTTATTAACATTGTCCTCATTCGTTAGGAATTTAACTCTCAGAATGCCTACAACTTCCCCCGTTGCTTGGTTTTCTATTGTTGAACTAATGACAAAGAGGAGGACAGTAACACCTAGTGGGTTTTCCTTGTTTTTCACAGCATGAGGATGAGCACCCAGCTATTGAACTGCCACTCAGTGCACCGACTCCTCCAGTCGGACAGGGGTTGAAGAGAAAAGCAGAGACACCTCTAGGATCCCCGCTGGAGCCTGGTCAGGTACTGGAGAAGGATGACGACAGCAGTAAAGTCAAATTAAAAATCAGAGTAAGGAGAATCTTCAGAAATGCAGACACATGATGTCATTCTGCTGGGTTAATACCCAGCACTGGGTCTCAGCAGTCTTGTTGTACTTTTTATCTATAAATCAGAGACCTACTGAACAAATGGACTTCATTCTCAGTCATGTTCTAATTTTGTGAAGTATTACTTAAAGACATGGCATGTATCATTATTTTGACAGAGCCATTTTCTAGTGCTGATCATCTAAATCCAAATTTTCTCCATGTGTGTCTTTGCTTCATTTCACAGATGGCAGACATACAGAATATAAGAAATAATTAGAGACAGCGATCCTAGTTTCCATAAAGTACTTTATATGGAAAGATTTAGTTGATTTGATTTTCTAATTCAAATACAGGAAAATGTTAAAAATGTTTAAATTTGATATATATGCCAATTACTAACAGTTACTAAACCTGTTAAGCCCTAAGCATAAATAGCATAAAACTTACCTGAAAAGCTGTATGATAAGATCATAGTTGCATACCTGCAAGATCTAATAGAGAACTTGCAAAATGTCCTTGAATCTTTTTTACAGGTATTCTCCAGTGCTCAAACCCAGTTACAAGACAGAATTAAGATAAATCAGTTACGTAATCCACAGTTAATCAGCTTTTCCCAATTTAACCCTGATAAAAAAAGATGAGTGTAAATAAAAATTAAGACTTTGTTTGGCCAAATTCGCCACTCCTCTCTTTAAAACTGAAGTGACAAATGAAGATACTCAAACCAAAAATGCTGTCGTTCCATCCAGTTTTACTCAAAATCACAGAATCTGGAATATAAAACTTGATGACAGCATTAATAGTTTTGCACACAACTGGATTTCTGTGATATTCGTGGTGTATGAGCATAGTCCAACATCTGTTAAGGTTTCATAGACTTAATAAAAATCTTGTCACACACGGATTAAAAGCATAATGAAAGCTGGGAATACAAGTGTTTCTTGCCACTTTCATGCCTCTCAGTATATGAGTGGCAGAATGTCAGATGTCATTGTTTTTGTGCAGCTTCTAGGCATTATTAGTGAATATATAGTAAACATTCCTCTGTAATTAAAAAAAATAGAAATTTGAAAATAATTTTTTAAATCTCAGTTATTTAGTTCGCAGTTTATTTTGTTTCCATTCTATAACATTTTAAATTGCAGGCTACAAACATGTCCCTTGCCTTTAAATCAGGTTTAAATTTACATTTTCTGTTACTGGTAATATTTGTAACACTGGGCAGCTGATAATAGCTAACCTATGGATTTTTAGAAAGCAGGACTGGTTGTAAACATTTTTGCTGCTGTTTGTTGTGGTTCTTCATGTTTCCCTCTTGTTTGACATTTAAGAGAGTTGGAGTGATTTCATGATGTTATCATCCTTGCAAAAATTAGTGTGCTAAAATAGCGTTTCTTCTTAAGATATTTTCCTTAAAAATGATAAGTGGTGACTGATTTCTTCTTTTACAGTTCTCAAATTCGCAGGAGGAGGAAGATATTGATATGGATACAGTCCATGACAGCCAGGCTTTTATCTATCATCATTTAAATATGCTTGAAAGGCCATCTACACCAGGTAAGAGACAACAAAGAAATGTGTACATTTATGGGCAAATAATTCTCCAAAAGTATTCGGACATCAAAGTCAGAACAGTGATTTTGCAATTTGTGTTTGTGATAATGGGAGATATATTAATAATAAACATAATACATGTTTTATTCTTGGGTAATTCCAAGCATTTGGTCATACTGGAAAAAAAACTTTGTGTCCAATCCAGAGTTTTCAAGTGACATACATATTGAGACATGTTTATGTTAAGTAAATTTCAAAGTGTCGAAGTTGATATTAATTTAGGGTACTTCGTCTGCATGTTTGATTTGCCATTTTTACAGGACAACCAGTAATCACACTAGCCTGTTTTTGACAAAAGTACCTCTCTGTTGAAATCATTGTTCTCATGTGCCTGACACAGGGAAAGAACCACCTTGTGTGGAACAAACCATCCTGTCCATGCCAGCGACTCCCCTCTCCATGTTTGGCAAAGAAACCAATTCTTCCTCCAAGCACAGCGACCACCACCACCACCACCACCATCACCATGAGCACAAGAAGAAGAAGAAGAAGCACAAGCACAAACACAAGCACAAGCACAAGCATGAGAGCAAGGACAAGGATAAGGACAAAGAGAAAGACAGGGAAAGGGACACCCATACCTTTATGAACAGCCCTGCTAGCGGTCGGTCAATATGCTCGCCTTCCCTCTCTGACTGAGTTTGCAGGGGAATCTCACAGTAGATCTTCCCTCTGTTTGCCCTTGCAGGAGGTAGGTTTCACCAAGGGCTTCTGTGTTCTGATCGCCCTCGACCGAATGTTCAGATGGATGTGCTTCATTTAGGGCAATGAAACTCTGGTGATTCCTTCAGTTTTGCTTTATTTAATTTCTGACTGCACAAAGCAAATCATTTCCAACACGACTTCGCCGGTTTATGGGCACCCTGCTGGACATCTTGTTCACCATGAGGACCATTAAAGCTGATATAAATCTTATAACAGTTGAGAAATGGAAACGTTTGGCAACTAATTTTACTAGGGAACCTATTCCATTGGCAAAACCCAGCCACTTTCACTTTCAGACAGCTGCTTCCCTTTTCAGTCTTTTTTTAAACTTTCCCTCTACAGGGAGCTTTGAATCTTGGGAAAGTAATTTCATTTGGAAAGGTAATTGAATTACAACTGCAGAGTATTTTTTAAAATTATTTTCATATATGTATTATTTTGTGTTGTCAGTGGTGTATCGTTAAGACAAATCCCTGGCCTCCATTGATATTTCAGCTACTCCAAAAGAAGTACATCTTTTCATTTTTAAAATTGGTAATTGTGTTAATGGACCTACATTTAAAATTAAATTAAAATAAGAGGCTTCTTATATTTAGGCAGCTTTACTGTACCATGGTGGTTAACAGTTTGATTCTGGATATAACATGATGTTACTGATTTAAAGAAACTGTAGTGGTCACCTTAGCAGTATTCTCTGAAAAAATACAAGAACATGCTGTACCTGCAAATGCAAAGGAGTCATTATCATTTTTCTACAGTTCTGTATGATATTTTGCAGCATTTTTGCAATGACGTAAAATTGGGAGCGTACCTTTTCCCCTTTTACTAAATCAAATTTCATTATAACCTTTTATGATATTGTTTGTCTTTTTTCATAGCCATGCCACTCTTTTTATTGTGTAAATTCATTTATGGTAAGTTTAGTAGTTTTACATTGCTTTGACCAAAATTGTCAGAAATAAAAAACTACCAAAGCAAACAAAGTTAATAATATAAGTATTCTTCATTGCCACGTGTGTAACTTTTAACTGAAACCCGAAAATCCAGTATCTTAACAAATAAAGCATTTAATAGTGTGTTCTTTGTTTTTTTCAAATGATCAAAAACATCTTTCAAAATGAAAACTATCAGATATCAGTTTTGCAAGATTTCGGAATATGTAAATTATTTCTGTACCAAGAAGTACCAGTCGACCAATCTAATATTGAGACACATCAGTGGGACACTCGGCCCTTAGCAGTGCAGTCCAGAGTGGAAGGAATTGATTCTACAGACTTAATGACAGTGCTTGATCAAGCCAGAGGCAACTGCATATTTCTACATGCTTTAAAACTGTCAACCACAAAACTATTTTGGAAACTGGTATGGAATAGGGTGGTACAGTGGCGCAGTGGTCAGCATTGCTGCCTCATGTCTCTGGGACCCCGTGTTTCATTCCAGACCTGGGGTGCTGTCTGTGTGGAGTTTGCATGCCTCCCCCCCCAGCTCTCGGTTTCCTCCCACAGTCCACAAACATTATGGTAGGTGAATTGGTTTCTGGGAAAAACTGGCCCTGGTGCGACATGTGTGTCTGTGTATGCCCCAAGATGGACTGGCGTCCTGTATCCTGCCTTGCACCTCTTGCCTGCCAGGATAGGCTCTGACATCTCCACAATCCTGTATTGGATGAAGTGGTTAGAAGATGGATGGATGATATTGGATACCAAATAAATAATAAAATGAGCATTTAATAATAATAATAATAATAATAATTGCTTGACAACTATGACCTATTAAACATGTAAACAAAATGTATAATTCTGTTTTGTCAACAAGCACAAGCATTGCATGTATGGACTTAAGTATGTGTTTGACTACCTTGTGATTATGGGGTTTCCCATTTTGATTACATCAGTAAGTAGGTAAATGATTAAATCAATAATTAAAAAAATGATTATATTATGTAAAAATGTAAATGCAAATGCAATTGATTTCTTGTCTTCATTCATATTTTCAAAAAAAAACTGAAGTTAAACAAATTAGGGGATAAAGTGTTTGAAAAAACCCAGACTTGCACATTTAATTAAAATAGGTAGAGAGACTTAACTCACATGCAAAATCAGTGCTTGTTGTTGTGCATTATCATGAGTTAAAGGCTCCATGTATGGATTGAAAACAGTTAAGCACTTCTACAGTTAGTAGAAAATAGCAGTCTTGTCATTTAAAATTAAAACTGCATCTCCTTGAATTGTATGAAATGGCAAGTACTGTAGATAAAACAAAAACTAGAACAATGTGCTTTTCAGTTTAAATTTGTCATGCAATGCAATTATATTGAAGCATTGTCTCTTCCCTCTGAGCAGAAATATTTATTATCGATACAGAAGGAATTCATAAGGTATCCCTGCTAAGGTTATTATGGAACTTACTGTATATGCTGCTTATGACTATAGTGCATTAAAAATAGCATAAAATATTGTGGAACACGTTCTCACACAGGTGGCACAGTAGCATAGTGGTTAGCATTGCTGTCTCCTTATGCTGAGGTCCTGGGCTCAGTTTCAGACCTGGGGTACTATATGTGTGGAGTTTGTATGTTCTCCCTGTGTTTGTGTGGGTTTCCTCGGGGGGGCTCAGGTTTCTTCCAAAAGTTTGAAAGCATACTGATAGGTTAATTGGCTTCTAGGAATATTGTCTCTGGTGTGTGTCTGAGTGTGCCCTGCGATAGACTGGCGTCCCATCCAGTGTGTATCCTGCTTGGCACCCGTCCTGCGAGCCTGGATTGGATTGACCCATGGATTCTCTTACCCCTTCACCGACTATGGGAATATGTTAAGTATTGTCCCTCTTGTGTGTCTACCAAACCTCACTACTTGGCACAGCTATATTCAGACATGAGAAGTACCCTGTTTTAAGAAAGGGGGCTGATACCTGGTCTCGCTCTAGGAAAATGACTGATGACACAGAAGAGTCCAAGTTTGTTTAAACACAAGAGCCCATTCAGCTGTGTTACTGTTGTTTGCAGATTTCTGCCTGCAGAATATGTTTCACACAACCCTAGTTTTGCAGCTATGGCTTTTTAAAATTCAAACGTTTAAAAGAGGCAGATGTGACCTCTATTGCACATTAAGCACATTGTCATTTACTAGAAAATGTTCCCCGGATTTACAGGAAACGGTCTGTTTCTTGTAAGAGTGCTGAGTTGCTGTGAAGTATCCCCCCTCTTGAAGAAATGGCACTATATACACTATTTTGGTGCCAAGAATAATTTCCAGTGTAATGACCTACTTTCCCATTTTATATGCTAATGATGTTTTTGTGTTTTTTTCTGTTCACAACAGACATATTTTACATCACTTTGGTATACAGTATATATACAATATTAAGAAGAGGAAACAGAAAGGTTCAGAATACGAGCAAAAGTAATAGTTCCTTTTATTTTATTCAATTAAATTCTGAAATGACTTTAAGCCGGATTTGTACATGAAACACTTGTTGAAACCATCTGTAAACTCTCCAGCAGAACTACAGAATTCACCTACTTGAGAGAGGATTATGCACAATTACCAACATCAGACATATGTTCTCATCATGCATCTCTCAAAGGGGGATTGCACTGCCCATAATACCACTCTGTGGCACAAATCAGCAAATGCTCTACTATTGCTAATTAAATCAAGGAACAAACATTACGAATTTCTCCATTGCATCAGGACACAAGACACTCGCTAGGACAGATATTTCATGCTTATTTCTGTGTTTTACAGATTAATTATGCACTTACATAAATTCACATGGGTTAATGGAGATCACATTCTTGTAGCGGAATCATGATGTCCAAAAACGCAAACTGATATAATTGCCTGTGCTTTGGACAGAATTTTTTATTCAACTGGAAGTGTACAACACGGATCATGAATTACTCTACTAACGACTTTCTCTACATACATGAATGTACACATGCATATGATTCAAAGAGATGTCCCAACTACTGTCATTAATTTTATAATTGATAGTTTCATTTTTCCTATCTTGTGTATGTAAATATGTCCTGAAAATACTTAAGAACTGGATTTAAATTCTGTATTATGTTTAAATCTAATGTAAACAGACTCATAAAATCAGTCATTAAGGGAACACTAATTATTGTTAAGCAGTTTGCGTTGGATATATTTTAACTACAGTATATCTTCACCAGTGAACATCTATGTTCAAGTACAGATTAGAGAATAGTAATGTATTAATCTAGATCTGATTGTCTCCTTCGCCTGAAACGCCCTGAAAAACATACAAATAAGCAAAACAAAAGGAACATTCTGATAATCACTGTCTTTTTCACATTTAAATCACTACATAAACATTTCGCAGCATGTTCTATTTAAGAAGTAAGAGATCTATAGCTCGGCTTTTTTTTTACCTTTCTGGAAAACATCTCTACTTAAAGGACATGTGCCAATAGAGCCATTGTCCCCAAGGACAGTTGTCACCATTACTTCATCTGCATTGGTTAACGCTGAAAGCAAACTGAATAATGCAAACAAACTGAAGCCCCCACACTTAGCGCACTGCACAAGCGAGAAGTCCAGGGGACTCCGATTCAATAAAGGGTCAGATCAGGAACAAACAACGTATTTTGAAACATGTTATTTGGAAAACTGGTACGGTAAGATTATGGCTCTTTCCCCCTTTTCTCACAGCAGACTTAAAACAAGCATTTATGAAACAGCATGTTGCGTTCGTGACTTGTTTAAGAGAAGTCTACAAACCCGAGTTTTAAAGTTTGACTAATTATGTTTACCTTCTAAAGCGTTTAACCACTCGAATGCTGCAGTCGAGCCTGACGACGACCGACCCACAGAAAAAAAAAACAATGAACGATTTGAGCGACGAGCATGTTTCGTTAGCTCAGTGACCCTGGAAATACGTTTGTTAAAGCTGGGAAAATCTGGTTTAACAGCTGCTGCTTCACACTTTTTTTGTGCAATTCAATGCAACAGAGACCAAAAAAAAAATAATCGATGCATTTCTAATGCTGGTTTGATATTCATCCTGTGAAGAGTCAGTGTTTTAAAGTAGGGTGGAGAAAAGCACGGAAGTGGGGATGTTTACATTTATGGGGTCCGTGTAGGCAGGTAGACCAGGATTTTTACGGTATTCATTTAAATTACGAGTTTAAACATATTGCAACAGAGATAAAAGTATTAAATTAAAAGACTCTCCCTACACCCACCGCAGCCGTTTTTTTTGTCTTCAGTTTGTAAATCTAGTGCGAAAGTCTGTCCTTATTCCTTTATTCTTGTGAATTTAACTAAAATGTCGGATTAGCCTATATAAAACATTTATCACAACGATAAAGTTTGGTGGCCCTCTGTATATAAATTCAGATGTTTGACCAATTGAGTTGGGTCGACAACTGACCTTTCGGAGCTTGTTTACTCCAGGGTCTGTCCACAGGGCTGAGGGTAACTCCCCGACCACTGTATTCATTGTCTCTGACTAATGTGAAACAATTTATTTTCGGTTTTATATTCACGTTTCTGTTGATTTTAGACAGCTTGATTTAGGTGCAAACTGGTATTAAATACAGCCCCACTTGTTCTTTTTGGTGGTCTTTATTTTTTTTATCATTAGTGGTTAATTGGAATAGACAGAAACAGTATTTATATGTATATTTTTTATATGTATTTTATTGAGAACCTGATGCTCTCAGAGAAACATATACTTCGTGCCATTTTAGTTATGCTTCAAAATATTTCTCACTTAAACATACCTTTTAATTTGTCTGTACAGTAAAATGATACAGGCTTTACTACACACGAATCCGGTGGTTAACAGTCTTTTACTTTTAAACCATGTCCCAGATTAATTTCATCCAATCAAATTTCTGACTTCCTTTTGGGAATAAAGTGAAATTACCTTCTGGACAAATCAAAGACGCCTGACAAGCTGACCAGGTGGGGGATCTGTTGTAATTACAAAAATCAGCCGGCAGTAACAGCGCTTTGCACTTGCCCTCATAGCAGAAGTGCATGCAACACGCTTTAACAAATCTGTCAAAATGCGAAAACGCAATATTGTCATGAAACAGGTAGGACTGACATAAAAAAATATTTTCGTGGAGAATTATTCAAGTTTGTTTCTAACTTCTGCACTGGATTATTTTAAATGAAAATAACACCAAGAACCGCTTTTCTGTTCATTCAGCTCCTGAATAGATTTATCTGAAAGTAGTCATTAGGGTTATTGGTATTTTTATATGTCATAACTAACACGCTCAAATCAGCTGCGAAGGGGTTTGTGTAACCGGTTCTTTTCTTTTTCTTTTCCTCAGGTACTGTGTGTCTTCTCCCTTGTTCTTGGAGCCAACGTTGGTCTGGGATATGTTTATAGTCGCCAGCGACGATCGGGGGAATGGGATGAGGGACCACCAGACCCCGAATCTAGTAAGTGAAAATCTGTGAAATTATTATTATAAGATTTCTTTGTTTTCCCCCAGTCAGTGCCTTCTAGATCGTTTCATCTTTGTGATTTTCTGTAGTTCTATGCGGTATCTCTTGACGCTGCCCTTGGTGAAAACTGACAAACACAACGGGATGTTTCCTTTCTAATCTCAGTTTACGTCCGATCCATTTATCGGGGGGTTCTCCAATGTGCAGAAAAGCGGACCCATTAACAACTCTTTCTGTGTTCCCCATGTTGCTGTGCTGTGCATTATGAAAGCAGGCTACAGACGCACGTGGAATACGAATACTCCTAGGCTTCAGTGAAAGACTTCTTTTATGGAAGCCATTAAATACGGAATTGCGCGACGGAAAAACATAGTTTAAGCAAACATATCATGTAAATTAGAAGCGTAAAAGCTTGAGAGATAAACAGTTATATGAGTAACGGTAGGCAAAATAAAAAAAAATGAAAACTGTAAATAAGCCTTTTATTTTTTGGTTCACAAAAAACTAGTCACACGGTAGTGTATTTTGGAAGCCTTCTATGTATATTGGCTGGAAAGTAAACTCTTTGGTCGACTATACTGATGCCACTTTAAACACGTCAAAAGTTTATAGAAAAATCCAGATCACTGACTGTAGGTCTGGTTGGCTTTAATCAGCAAATTGTATTTTTGTATTCCGTTTTCTACATGCATATTTAGATAGACATGTAGCAATGTTGTACAGTGTTGTTGGTAATTTTGTACACATCAACACACTGTACTATATATGTATAACTATCATCACTTTGCTTCCTTTAGTATTTTAATTTCAGTTAAGGACCATCTGAAGGTATTATAGATGGAAAAGGTATATGAACAGATAAAGCCTATATCTATTTCTGTTTCGTGCTGTACATTTAAACATACGTTCACTGCACAACCTTGTTTATAAAGGTGATATACTGTGTCCAAGGTCACATTAAGTAATATTACAATGTAAACTAAGACTCGTTTTGGGGGGAGGTGCTGAATAAGCTTTAATGGGCTCTCTGTGATGACCAGTTGGATTCAGCTGAAAAGGGTACTGATGACAAACTCTGTAGCCTTGTTCCAGGCTTTGCAGTAATTTTTTTTCTCTTTTGGCGTTTTTGCCCTGTAGCAGTTATACCAGACAAATCCTGCTGAAACTATCAGATGGCAGTTTCCCAGATACACTTTTCCAGCTGCAGTTTGCAGTCTGTGCTAAGACGGTGGCCTCCAGCAGATGTTTAAGTGTTGTTACTGGTGATAGCTCTTTCAGATTCCCCGTGGGTAAGCACCTCGGGATCATGCAAAGGAAGATGCTTTGAACTACAAGAAGCTGAACCTCCTGGCTGCCGCTGTGACAACTTATGCAAAACCTACAACAGCTGTTGCACTGATTTCGATGATCTTTGCTTAAGGACAGGTAACTAACTGTGAAGCCCGTGTCTGTTCTCTTCCAGTTGGTTATTGTTTTTTCTACTTTCTGCTGGTAATGGCAGGGCAATCAGTTCCCGGAGTTCATTTTCCAGTCCAGATTTTATTTTCAGCCCAACCTGTTGTTTTCTTTTCTTGATCTGGTTGGGTTAATTTAACCACTGTTTATAGGAGAAACGTTTCTCCTATTTTGTTCTTGCTAGAGATGAATTGGGCGATTATTATTTTTTTTTGCATGGTTAGAACTAAATCATGTGTCTAATTTGTTGAATTCATATTTCTGTTTATTTGCAGATTAAAACATCAAGCTGCAGCTCATTTTTTGCTATGTTGCTACAACTTACTCTTTTAATAAAACCTGTATGTGCTTAATCTTTGTGAAGTAATTGGGGTGGTGCAATGCTTTATGGACTGTTTTCCTTTTCTCCTTATACTGAATATTTGGTATTTGATTTTAGCTCAAGGCTTTGAATGCAGTAAAGAGCGCTGTGGAGAGACGCGCAATGAAGAAAACGCCTGTCATTGCTCTGAGGACTGCCTGGCCAAAGGCGACTGCTGCACCAACTACAAAGCACTTTGCAAAGGTCTGAGGCTCTCTTCTCGGTTATCTTCTCATAAAGTCTGACGGGAAAACAAAATCGGTGTTTATCATTCCCACTTCTCCTGAGTTTTATCTATTTCAAACATACTTAAATAATCCTGAAGGTTTATAACCTTGCTCTTGACTGGAATTGATGAAACCTGTTTAACCTTTGAAAATGAGCGCAAGTCCTTTTTATCATTGGAAAGGGAGGGAACTTCCAGTTAGGTCTTGGATCTTGACCTGAGGTCATCTCTGAGATTTTCTGTCTTCAAAGAGCTGTTTTTGGGGGTGTGGATTTGGTAGGCATCTATACATTATTTTCCTTAATTGTTGTTAATTGTAAGCAGAAGTATCCAAATCTTTTTTGCTCAGTGTGGTGAGTTTATTGATTTTTTTTTTTTTTAAATCATGAATTGGATTTTTCCTTGAAACTGTGTAGTGCTCTCCGTGTGGCAGCACTGGTGTGAGTGACTGATGTGAGTTTCTCTGTGTCAGGGGAAACTCCATGGGTGCAGGATGAATGCGAGGAGATCAAAACCCCAGAATGTCCTGCCGGGTGAGTCACACGACGTCCCTTCACTGCAGCGCTTTGGTTTATCTTTTCTGTGAGCAACTATGAGGAGTCTGTAACACGAGTTCGGGAGGAGTGACCTCCAGCCAAATTCCCCTTCATCCCTTTTCCTCTTAGGGATAGAAGCCCCTTTCTTTCTTCTTCCTCCTTTCTGCATCCCTCC